GGCTGCTGCTGGAGTGCTGGCCTCCCTGCTGGGCGCCTGGCTGTGTGTGCTCCTGATGCACGTCTTCATCTGTCACACTCTACCTCTCAGAAAATTGAAGTGTGTGTTTAAAATTAAGGCAGAAGCACCAGAACGAAGCTCTCTCCCTCTTCTATACATGTATGTGTGTATCTATGTACATAGATGTAGATGAGCAGGAATGATCAGAGAGTTTGAAGGAGACCAAACAGAACCTTTAGAGAAACAAATAATGGGTCAAATGTTTTGAAAAGTTCAGCCCAGTTCAAGTGTGTGGTTTTACACAGCTGAGGCTGACTCTGTGAACTGGAAGCAATTTATTAAGGAGCGGGCAGAGAGCTGCGAGGTGGGAAGTGTGAGGCATCTGGTGCCATGTCCCCGGGGTGCCATCCACAGCCCCACAGCTGTGGAGAGTGCCAAAGGTTTGCAGAAACGGGACAAGGGGATCTTGAAAAAGTTCCCAGAAAACACAGATTCTGAAGAAACTGCACAGACCTCTATATTCTTTGTGAATCACAGAGAATACATCTCTAACCCAACTTCCTGTGGCCTGTCTGAAGTCACAGCTCTCCACACAGCACACACTACATACTGCACACACATCACACATGTACTGCACACACCACACACTATACATGTCACACACGTACCGCACACACACTGTATACACACCAAACACCACACACACACCAAACACTATACACATCACACACACCAAACACACACTCCACACAGATACACACACCACACACACACTATACACATCACACATTATACACATCACACACCACACACACGTACTGCACACACACTATACACATACCAAACACCACACACCAAACACTATACACATCACACACACCATACACACACTCCACACAGATACACACACCACACACTATACACACCACACACACGTACATGTTCCACCCCATGCCCCCAGCACAGCCACACCACGCTCTGGCCATAACTGTGTAGTTGCAATGCAGCAGCACCCTCCCCCGGGTAAGTCTGTTCTCACTGAGCCGGCGGAAGCCCTTACTGCCTCTCTGGCCACCATTGTGCCTTTGGCCTTTCTGAGAACTTGCTCTGGGCCCTGGCATGGGATCAGTTCTAGAATGTTCCACAGGAGCTGAAAGAGTCTGTTCTGTGCTTCCTGGCACAGTGCCCTGCGCGCCCCTGGACAAAGCAGTCTGTTGTGTCGTCCTGTGCCTTCACAGAGCTGGACCCACTGTTCACTCCACCCCGGCCGGCTTGCTTCCTCCCGGGCCCCATGTTAGGCTGTGTGCCACCGCCGGCGGGGTTGCCAGGCGCTTACCTGCCAAGGCGGGCACTTGGCACACTGTGTCTGCAAGGCTGTAGCTGATGGCTCAAGTGTTGTTGACTTCCTCAGGTCCGAGGCTTCTGACTTCAGCCTGGCCCAACCCTGCCTGTCCAGGGTACCTGGAGTGTGGACCCAACTCTGTCTTTGTCTTTCCGATTAAGCAAACAGATAAACAAGTAACTAAAAAAATGAAATTTTCTGACAATCTGTCATTTTTTTAGGTTTATTCATTTTAGTTGGAAAGTCAGATTTTACAAAGAGCAGGAGAGACAGAAAGATCTTCCATCCACTAGTTTACTTTCCACGTGAGCTGATCTGAAGCCAGGAGCTTCTTCCAGATCCCCCACTTGGGTGCAGGGCCCCAAGGCTTTCCCAGGACACAAGCAGGGAGCCAGAAAGGGACTGGAACATCTGGGACACGAACTAGAGCCCATAGGGATCCCAGCACATGCAAGCAAGGACTTCAGCCACTAGGTTATTGTGCCAGGCCCTATCTGTCATATATTAAGATTCACTTATATTTGAACGGCAGAGTGACAATCTCCCATCTGCTAGTTCACTTCCCAGGCAGCCAGCCACAAGAGCTCCAGCCTCTGGTCTCCTACATGTGCTCTGGCCAGTCAGTGGTGCCACCTCAAGCCACACCCACGTGCCCCCTTGCCCAGCAGCCCGGGCAGGTTCTGCTAGGATCTCTGTGGGCTGTGGCCTCTGGACCCAGTCTTCACTCTCCCTGGAGTGTCCGGCATACCCGGCTCCTTGGGAACAGTAGGCTTTGCCCCTGGTGTGGAGAGCGTGGAGCCACGGAGACAGGTGGGCCTGCCCCAACAGCTGCCCCTTGTGGGGCCCAGGAGGGCTGCACACAGTTCATTGCCATGGCATAGCTATGTAGCCGGGTGCCTGGGGGCAGCAAGGCAAACACTGCTCTCTGGCATGCTCTTCATGCCAGCATTTCCATGATGTTGCCGGCCTCAGCCTTTGCTTTGTAGTCAGATGCCTCCACTGGTCCCCCACAACCCCTCCTCTTGCCCATAGAGGCACCATCTCGCCCAGTGCCTCCTGTCCACAGATGCAGGGATGGGCAGGGGAGCTGGAGACATGCCATGGTGAAAGGTGGACAGCTCCATGCTCTTCAGTGTAATCACTGCACCAGCGAGGCCGGTGGTGCCCTGTGGTGGGCTCAGCCTGCAGCAGGGTGTGGCTGGCACAGTGAGCCAGCCGGTGGTGCCCTGTGGTGGACTCAGCTGGCTGGTGGTGCCCTGTGGTGGGCTCAGCCTGAAGCAGGGTGTGGCTGGCACAGTGAGCCAGCAGGTGGTACCCTGTGGTGGGCTCAGCCTGCAGCATGTGGCTGGCACAGTGAGCTGGCTGGTGGTGCCCTGTGGTGGGCTCAGCCTGCAGCAGGGTATGGCTGGCACAGTGGGCCAGCTGGTGGTGCCCTGTGGTGGGCTCAGCCTGCAGCAGGGTGTGGCTGGCTCAGTGAGCCACTGCTGTTTCCGGGGCTTCTGGTGTACAGAGCGTCCTCTGTTCAGAGCTCCTCCTCCGAGGAAGCTGGAATCTGGCGCCTCCCGCCCACTCGCAGCCGGAAGGCTCTGCCATGAGGCAGGAGGAAGAACCATGTGGGCACCAGCCCCCGCCCCATGTGGACCTGCCTGGCCGTGTGTGGGCCCAGAGTTAAGCAGATATGGGTGCAGGAGTTTTGAGAAATGTGATCACTCACTGAATGACTGCGGCCCATTCTGTTGAAAATGACAAAAAGCAAACCAAGAAGCCACACAGAGCTCTTCCACTTCCTTTGGAACCATCACTCCCTGCTCAGAGAAGCAGAGACTCCGTGCTGGGCAGGCAGTAGGGTCCCCCAGGGGATGAGCCTGCACCCTGCGTCCCTTTGGGACCCTGGTTCGTGCAGACCTCTGCAGGGGTTGCCCAGTGCACACATAGAGCCCACACGCACCCCAGGGCCAGCCTGCAGGACAGCTCTGCAGGGGAGGGGACCAGAGCACAAGCCCATCTGTTGGCCTCTGTCCAGGCCACTCGCGGGCGACCTTCCGGGACATACGACAGCCCATTGTGCTGAATGATGGCACTGTTGAGGGCACGCAGGCCTGGGGACAAAGGCTGAGGGAAGATGTGCTCATCCTCATCTCCTCCCAGAGACCCAAATGAAACAGGAAGGGAAAACAGCACCATCACACCGCTGGCTCCTCCACCTGTCACACCGCTGGCTCCTCCACCTGTCACACCGCTGGCTCCTCCACCTGTCACACCGCTGGCTCCTCCACCTGTCACACCGCTGGCTCCTCCACCTGTCACACCGCTGGCTCCTCCACCTACAAGCCCCAGCTTCCCTTACGGGCACCGGTTTGTGAACCGGCTGTTCACTTCTTATCCGACTCCTGCTTGTTACTGGGAAAGTAGTAGAGGATGGCCCAAGTCCCTGAGGCCTTGTACCTGTGTGGGAGACCTTGGATCAGTTCAGCTGCAGCCACTGAGGAACTGAACCAGCAGATGGAAGATCTTTCTGTCTCATCTCTCTGTAAATCTGCCTTTCAAAAAAAAAAAAAAGTGGTGGGTCTGTGGAGTGGCCACAGCTGGGGGAGGCAGCCCGAGCAAGTGGGACAGCATTGGCTGGTTCACCAAACAGGAGCAGGGTCTGTGGCTCATGGAGCTGGCACATGGCAGGCGTCTGATGAAGCTGAGGGGACCCAGAGGGACTTGGTCACAACCTGCTAAGGAGCTGCCGTCCACCAGCGGCTAACAGGCCAAGACTTGGGCCCTTTCCTGTACTCAGCTCCTGGGGAGCTGCTACAGCAGGCAGGATGAACCAGACACTGGGCTCGGGCCAGGCTTGGACCTTGCATGTGGCCACAGCTGCCTGGCTGCTGTCCTCCAGTGACAGGTAGACCAATCCTTCATTCTTAATAAGGACCAGTCCTCCCCACTGGCCTTGGTCGTAAGGCTGCAGGTGGCAGGTACACTGAGCTACTGCTCTGAAAGCCAGCATCCCATGTTGGAGCCAATTCCAGGGTCTAGTCCTGGCTGCTTCCTGCACCCACATGGGAGACCTGGAAGAAGTCCCTGGTTCCTGGCTTCAGCCTGGCCCAGCCCTGGCTATTATGGCCATTGGGTGGGTGAATCAGCAAATGGAAGACTTCTCTCTCCTTTCTATAACTCTGCCTTTCGTATAAATTTGATTTCTGAAAAAATAAACAAGACCCATTTTTAAAGCTGTTATGAGGAGCAGGCATCTACAGCAGCTTGGATGTGGTTGGGACACAGGTGCCATTTGAGTGTCAGAGTCTGGGGCCTCGCTGTGAAGACAATGCAGCAGGCAGTGGTGCCAGGCCCCCAGGAGAGACCTGGCCAAGCCTGTGGCCAGCATGGGCACTGAGAGAACGAGCCCTCATGGGGGAGAGGGTTCTGTAACTCTGCCTTTGAATAGAACTGAAATCTTGTGTGTGGTGCAGGGAGAGGTCGAATCCCCCGATCTCAACGTGGAGTGGCCTAGGCTGCTCGGAGGCTGTGGGGAGGCCCCCGGTTCCCTTATGTTTGCCCAGCGCTGCCCGGGAGAGGTCTGCATGATGGGTGACTTTCTCCACCACACCCCATGGGGCAGCATGGCCATAATAAGCCATTCATGTCCACAGGGCAGCACTTTCCTGCCTGAGACGGTCCTGACCGTCCACTGACGCCGTGTGTCTGCCCTGAGGAGCAGCCGGCCATGTCTCAGGCACCAGATTATGAATGCAGGAGTCACAATGTGGACGGGCCCGAGCCCCGGACATCGGGATCCAGCACCAGGTAAGGGAGTTCCAGGGACCTTAGAAAGGGGGGCAGCCAGGAGTGGGGCTTGCTCGCCCACTGCACTCCCCCAGCACTTGGCACTGGGCCTCGCTCTGCCAGTCCTGGGCACAGCCACACCGCAGCCCTGAGCCCTTGCTGCTGGGGTCCCTGCCAAGCTGGTACTGGAAGCTTCCCCCAGGAACCAGCCCAGCTCCGCAGACCCCTGTGCCACTCAACCCACACTTGACCCCTACGGCCCTCCCCACACTGCCTGTGCACACACACACATACACACCCCTTGCTGGGGCCCTCCCCACACTGCCTGTGTGCAAACACACCATGTTGGGGCCCTCCCCACACTGCCTGTGCGCACACACACACACACACACACACCATGCTGGGGCCCTCCCCACACTGCCTGTGTGCAAACACACACACACACATACCCCATGCTGGGGCCCTCCCCACACTGCCTGTGCGCACACACACACACACACATACCCCATGCTGGGGCCCTCCCCACACTGCCTGTGCACACACACACATACACACCCCTTGCTGGGGCCCTCCCCACACTGCCTGTGTGCAAACACACCATGTTGGGGCCCTCCCCAACAATGTGTGCACAGCCTTACACTGAATCCGTGTCCCATCAGCTCCCTTTCTCCGCTGATGGCATGATGCTCAGGAAATGATGTTGAGTGGTCTTGTGGCAGCTCACTCCCTCCGGCTGCTCTGCACCCCCAGGGCTGCAGGAATGCCCCTGTGTTCTGGTGTGGGAGGTTGGATGCCCTGTGTGCCTCCATGGGAACTCTTGCAGAAGCTGCAATGTCCTCTGCCTGTGCCTGACCCTTCAGCTCTCTGCAGAGGTGCGGTGTTGGTGGCCGTGGGTGGAGGCAGTGCCCGGGCCACCTGCAACGCTCACCACCTTGTCCCGTAGGCTGGAGTGGGTGGAGATTATCGAGCCGCGCACACGCGAGCGCATGTACGCCAACCTGGTGTCAGGCGAATGTGTGTGGGACCCGCCGGCCGGCGTGCGGATCAAACGCACCAGTGACAACCAGTGGTGGGAGCTCTTCGACCCCAACACGTCCCGCTTCTACTACTACAATGCCAGCTCGCAGCGCACCGTGTGGCACCGGCCACACCACTGCGACATCATCCCGCTGGCCAAGCTGCAGACCCTGAAGCAGCACACCGAGTCCCCACGCGCCTCTGCTGACAGCAGCCCGGGCCGCGGCAGCAGCGTCAGCCGCGAGGGCAGCACCAGCTCTTCCCTGGAGCCTGACGAGGCAGACCGTGCTCAGGAGCTACCGGCCAGGCCCGGCCGTGGCCAACCAGTGCCCTTCGGGGCAGTGAAGGAGGACAGTGGCAGGTGAGGAGGGCAGAACCTGGCCTTGGGAAGATGGGGCAGGGTCGTACTTGTGGCGGATGCTTGGGGCCACAGCCACACAAAACGCTCTGTGCCCTTGCGTTGGCAGAAGGCCGGTGCTCCAAGTCCAGAGGGCGACCAGCCTCTCAGCATGTGGCCTCCTGGCTGCCTGGCCTGAGGACTGTGCACTGGCCACTGCCCGCCCCTGTGCTCAGTGGTAGACACCCCATGTCTGGGAAGGAAGGGGGCTCCTGGGAGCCTGCCCCATGCTTAAGCTGGAGGTTCTCACGGTCCCATCTGTGGGGCAGAGGGCGCCTGAGGGCACACAATACTGCCTTCCACAGGGGAGGTGCTGTCACTCTACAGAGGAGAAAGGGGGATCAGGTGAGGACAGGCAGGAGCCCTGCCGGGGTCAAGGAGCTCCATGAGGAAGCTGGGCCCTGAGACTCTGAGGCTCCTGGCAGCTTTGGCCCGAGTGTGCAGCTGAGCCCAGCACCCAACCTTGCCACCGGCACCTGTGGTGCGTGGTGAACAGAGCCACCTCCTGGTGTGAGGGCAGGATTGGGGCAGCTGTGCGGGCCTCACTGCCCAGGTGAGCCCAGTGATGAGCAGCAGTGCCCAAGGATAGGATGGCCAGTGACCCCTGTCTACCCCTCCAGGACCTCGTCGCTGCGCTGGACTGCGGGCACCAAGGAGCGCATGCTCATCAAGGTGGCTGACCGGGAGCCCAGCTTCCTGGCTCCCCAAGGCAATGGCTACAGCCCGGACAGCCAGCCGGGGGCTCGTGCCCGTAGACCCTCAGGCAGCCAGCACTCACCTGTCCTGCAGACGTTCACCCCGGATGCAGACGGCTCCGTGTTCTTCCCCGAAAGGAGGCCGGCCCCGTTCCTGAAGAGGGCCGAGCCCCTGGGAAGCTGCTCCCCACTGCTGGGCCAACCCCGGAAGCCGTCCGGCGACTCACAGCCATCCTCCCCGCGCTATGGCTACGAGCCCCCCCTCTACGAGGAGCCTCCTGTGGAGTACCAGGCCCCCATCTACGACGAGCCACCCATGGACGTGCAGTATGAGGCCGGCTCCCCTCAGAGGTCCCCGGGCCGCAAGCCCCGCGCCCTGCTGCCGGCGGCCCGGCAGGCGCCCACTTCGCCCTGCCAGCAGCTGGTGCTCACCAAGCAGAAGTGCCCCGAGCGCTTCGTGGGCCTGGAGTACAGCCCTGTGGGCAAGGAGTATGTGCGACAGCTGGTGTATGTGGAGCAGGCCGGCTCCAGCCCCAAGCTGCGCACAGGCCCCCGGCACAAGTACACCCCCAACCCAGGCGGCGGCTCCTACTCGCTGCAGCCCAGCCCCTGCCTGCTGAGGGACCAGCGCCTGGGCGTGCGCTCTGGGGACTACAGCACCATGGAGGGCTCCGAGCCGCGCCACACGCAGCCCCGGGCCCGGGAGGACGCCATGTCCTGGTCCAGCCAGCAGGACACTCTGTCCTCCTCCGGCTACTCTCCGGGCACACGCAAGAGGAAGAGTCGGAAGCCCTCCCCATGCCCGCCGCCCAATGACAGTCCCGGGGACCTGCTGGGCGAGCAGCCGGTGGCGGAGGAACACACCGCAGGCCTGGCACAGCTGAAGCGTGCTGAGGCCGAGGTCGAGGCCGGGCACGGCGCCACGGAGCCGCACCTGGCACAGGCACAGCTGGCCTGGGAAGCCCAGCAGGCTCACTTCCACATGAAGCAGAGGGGCAGCTGGGACTCACAGCGGGACGGCTCAGGCTATGAGAGCGACGGGGCTGTGCCCATGCCCATGCCCGGGCCCGTGGTGCGTGCCTTCAGCGAGGACGAGGCGCTGGCGCAGCAGGATGGCAAACACTGGAGGAGGGGTGCCTTCGAGAAGCTTGGCTTCCCCCAGGTCCTGCTAGAGAAGAGTGTGTCGGTGCAGACCAACCTGGCCTCCCCGGAGCCCTACCTCCACCCCTCACAGGTGGGTGCCCACGAGGCTGGGATGTGGGCCAAGGCCTCTAGTGAAGTTCCTTGAGCAGGAGCCGCAAGCCGTATTCTCCCTGTGGCTCCAGGAACAAGCCATTGGTCCCCCCAGGAGGCTGCTCCCCTGTCCAGCAGTGGGCATGCAGCGGCTCTTGGTCCAGCAGAGGTTCCAGTGGCCATTTTCTCACCTTCACACTAAGCTGCTGCAGGCTCAGACGGCCAGGGAGAGGTGGGCGAGGGCTCATTTGTGTCTGGTCTCTCCAGTGACCTGTATGTCGGGCTTTCTCAAGCTGAACTGGCTAGTCCATCTGAGCCTCCTGGGAGGCCATGTGGCCTTGGTGTTGTCACAGTCTGGGAGGGTTGACAGCGACACAGGCAGGGGAGAGGCCCGCAGGAGGCGGGAGCCTGAGCCTGCAGACCTTGGACCAAGGGCGGTTGGGACTCACAGCATCGGGTCAGTCCTGGCTCACACAAAGGGGGGTCTAGAGGCTCACTCTAGCTCTCTCGCCATGCTGCATGCCTGGTCCCCTCCTGAAGACTGGCTGAATGGGAGCAGCACAGCACACATGTTGCCTAAGTTCACTGACCACATGGCTGCCCGTGGGCAGCAGGCTATGATGTGGGGAGCCGGCTCTGATGTGTCCACCAGACTGGCCAGCCACTTCTCACCTCAACAACCTTAACTTAGCAGTGAGTTTGAGTGACTCACACCCCCTATGGCTGGTCCACGTGCTCACACCCCTGTATCTGGTCCATGTGCTCACACCCCCTGTATCTGGCCTATGTGCTCACACCTCCTGTGGCTAGTTCATGTGCTCACACTTCCTGTGGCTGGTCCACGTGCTCACACCTCCTGTGGCTGGTCCACGTGCTCACACCCCTGTATCTGGTCCATGTGCTCACACCCCCTGTATCTGGCCTATGTGCTCACACCTCCTGTGGCTAGTTCATGTGCTCACACTTCCTGTGGCTGGTCCACGTGCTCACACCTCCTGTGGCTGGTCCACGTGCTCACACCCCTGTATCTGGTCTATGTGCTCACACCTCCTGTATCTGGTCCACGTGCTCACACCCCTTGTGGCTGGTCCACGTGCTCACACTTCCTGTGGCTGGTCCACGTGCTCACACCCCCTGTGGCTGGTCCACGTGCTCACACCTCCTGTGGCTAGTCCACGTGCTCACACCCCCTGTGGCTGGTCCACGTGCTCACACCTCCTGTGGCTGGTCCTCGTGCTCACACCTCCTGTGGCTGGTCCACGTGCTCACACCTCCTGTGGCTGGTCCACGTGCTCACACTTCCTGTGGCTGGTCCACATGCTCACACCTCCTGTGGCTGGTCCACATGTGCCAGGTCACACCTGTTATAGCTGTGGTCCACATGTGCCTGATTGCACAGTCCTAACAACCAGCGTCTTCTATGTCCTTCCCAGTCTGAGGACCTGGGTGCCTGTGTCCAGTCTGAGAACGGCCGGCAGAGCCGCACCGTGGTGCCCAGCTCCAGCTGTGTTTTCCCCACCTTCGCACTCCGCAAGCCATCTTCTGAGACTGACATTGAGAACTGGGCTTGTGAGCACTTCAACAGGCATACCCAGGGTCTGTTCCGCCGCAAGGTATCCATTGCCAACATGCTGGCCTGGAGCAGCGAGTCCATCAAGAAGCCCATGATTGTGACCAGTGACCGACATGTCAAGAAGGAGGCCTGCGAGGTCTTCAAGCTGATCCAGATGTACATGGGTGACCGGCGGGCCAAGGCGGACCCACTGCATGTGGCCCTGGAGATTGCCACCAAGGGGTGGAGCGTGCAGGGACTGCGCGATGAGCTCTACATCCAGCTGTGCCGGCAGACCACGGAGAACTTCCGTCTGGAGAGCCTGGCCCGTGGCTGGGAGCTCATGGCCATCTGCCTGGCCTTCTTCCCACCGACACCTAAGTTCCATTCCTACCTAGAGGGTTACATCTACCGGCACATGGACCCTGTCAACGACACAAAAGGTAAGAGATGTGTGTGGCCTGTGGCCCCACCAGCTGAGGTGCCACAGCCACAGGGAGGGCCACCAAGAGGGCTTGCTGGCGGTGCCATGCCACCGGTCACTCAGCCAGCAGGGCCCAGAGCACAGCACTGCCACGGACACACGTGTGCACACACATGCTACTGCTCAGGCCTCTAGGGCTGTGCTTCACAGTCCAGCCTAGCCTGGCTGTGGTATCCACAGAGCCCAAGTCCTGCTCAGGCCTCTCCTTGGCTCAACCGTGGGGCTGGTCTACCTGCTGGGAATCCAGATGTGGAAGCAGCGGCAGTACAGGGTGGGTCTACAGCCTTCCAGCATGGATCCCAGGTGAGGCAGTGCCTGCATTAGGGACCAATGCCCAGCAGCCTGGGGCTGCCTGGCCATCAGGGGTGGCCAATGAGCTGTTCCTTGGACCCTGCCAGAGGTACAGGCAGGCCAGTGCACACTGGTTGGCATCAGGAGGGGCCAGAGCTGTGCCATGAGCTGCAGGAGTGTCGTCACAGCTCAGCTCAGCCTGGCCATGGCCCTCCCGAGGGGCTGGATGTCCAGCACCTGGCAGAGCCCTGGGCCAGACCGAGCAGCACAGGGGGCCTGGTGGGCCTGCTGCAGCCGCCTTGGCCTTGCAGGATATGTGGACGTGGTACGGCCTGTAGCACAGGGGTAGGCATCTGGCTGAAGTGGAGAGGACCCAGGCCCTCCAGCAGACAGGACTCCCTGAGGAGCTTGACCACCACCTTCTGAGAGGGTACACGCGGGTATTGGGGCACCTTGTCCCACCAGCTCACTACAGAAGCCTCTGTGTGACCCTTTACTTTGAGTCCCCCTAGGCTGGGCAAAGGCCACAGGGAGGGCCTGGGCTTTGCTTGGTCCTGCAGCAGCCTGGGTCCTCCTGCAGGTGGCTGCTGCTTTTCAGCCTTGAATCCTTCAGCCCCACGTCAACCAGCTCTGCCCTGGCAGTACTGCCTTCTGAGTGTGACACGTGGGCCCAGGAGGGGAAGCTCGGTCCCACAGCCCATTCTGGCTGTGTGAAGTGTGCAGAGACAGGCAGAAATGGGACTGGTTCCTGCGCCTGGCACATGGCCCTGGATTGCCCCCAGCATGTGAGCACCATGCCCAGAGACGGGGAGCCACATCTCAGTAACTTCATCTTGTCCATGGGGCCTCTAATGTGGCTGGGGCTGTGGAGGAACGCTTGGCAGTGCACACGTACACCAGAGTCCAGCACGCGCTCAGAAGCACCTGGGTGGATCCCCCGCCATGAACCGGCAGTTCTGCTCCCCAAGAAGGGAGGACAGACTCCCTGGGGCCTGTGCATACTGTAAAGGGATGGTACAGGGGCTCCTGGGTGCTCAGGAGACAGTGCTGGGGTGCGCGGTGACTCATGCAAATGCCGGCAAACTGCACCACCATGCTGAAACGGCTGGCCGTGTTGTTGCTGCAGACATCACACACAGGGCAGAGAGGACAGAGGAAGGAGACCCGTTTCCAAGCAGCAAAGGAGACTGGCAGATTCAGGGATGTGGCTCGCTCCTCAGTCACTTTTTTTTTTATTGAAAAGTCAGACTTGGGCCCGGCGCGGTGGCGCAGTGGTTAAGGTCCTTGCCTTGCACGTCCGGGATCCTATGTGGGCACCGGTTCTATCCCGGCAGCCCCGCTTCCCTTCCAGCTCCCTGCCTGTGGCCCGGGAGGGCGGTCAAGGACGGCCCAAGGCTTTGGGACCCTGCACCCGCATGGGAGACCAGGAAGAGGCTCCTGGCTTCGGATCAGCATAGTATCGGCCGTTGCACTCACTTGGGGAGTGAATCATCGGACGGAGGGTCTTCCTCTCTGCCTCTCCTCTCTGTATATCCTCCTTTCCAATAAAAAATAATAAAAATAAATCTTTAAAAAAAAAAAAGAAAAGTCAGACTTGCAGAAAGGAGAGACAGATCTTTGTCCACTGGTTCACTTCTCAAGTGGCTGCAATGGCTGGCCAGAACTGCCGATCAGGGGCTTCTTCCAGGTCTGCACACAGGTGCAGGGTCCCAAAGCTGGGCCGTCCTTGACTGCTTCCAGGGAAACAGGGAGATGGGAAGGAGGTGGAGCACCCATATGGGATCCTGACTCATGAAAGGCGAGGGCTTTGGCCAGGCCCCTGAGTGGCTGAGAACCCATGCGGGAAAGGGAAGGGGCAGAGGTCAGCCTCAGTTCAGGGGTCATGACGTAAGTTCTGCATCTGAATCATCCCAGCTGTGCCAGTCTAGCCCATCCTAGTCAGGCCATAGACCGTCTCAGCATTAGGAACCAGGGACTCAGGTGTCTTGAGGTCCCCAGCACCAGGTCGGCGTTGAGAATGAGCTCAGAGACCCCAGTGTCTGTCATCCAGAGCCTCTCTGATCAGCTTGCACGTACTGTTATTAGAAAGGTAGATGGTGTCCCCTCTGCTGGTTCTCCCAGCTGCCTGCCCCGGCCAGAGCTAAACCCTGCTGAGGTCAGCCTAGAGCTCCGCCCAGGTCTGCCCGGGGAAGGGTCAGCCCTTGAACCCAGGTGCCCTGATGACAGTGTGCACGTCCCAGAAGCCAACTGCCCAGCCAGAAACTTCTTAAGAAGGAAACTGAAGGGCAGGGTAGACATCAGTGAAGGAAAAAGCAAAATCAGATGAAATGGATGGGGTGGGGCCAATTGTCTGAGGGACTGACGGGGTGCTTAACCCTAACAGATGGCCAGTGGACACTGGGTACTCGTCAGCGTTGGCTTAGTCACCCATCAGAAGCAGGTGCCTGCACTCATGTGAGAAGGGGCCCAGAGCCAGGGAGCAGTAGTTAGAGAAGCTCCCAACCCTGATGGCTTGCTGGACTCATCCTGCCGACTGACTCAGGTCTGTGTGGCCCCTGGCAGCAGAGTGGGTCGTCCTGAGTCGGCACCAGAGACGGCCCAGAGGAAACCCTTGGGGTCGTCACCACAAGGATGGAAAAGCTCTTGACAACTTCCCCATCCCTCCCTCAACAAGCTTCAGGCAGGGCAGGCTAAAGGTTGAGGGGCTACTGCTCTGCTGGCAGGCGCTGACAGCTTATGGGAGCAGCCGTGAGGCCAGCAGGAGACCATGGCAGAGCCTTGCCCAGCATGGCAAGAGCCAGGTTGTCACACCTGGTAGTGGTTGGGTCCAGGACACCTGCACATCATCCAGTTATTCTAAAGTGTCCTCAGCAGGCACATGTGTAGGCACAGCGGTGGCTGCAGGCGGGTGTCCTGCCTGGGGGAGGGAGATGGTAGGGAGGCTTGCCTGGTGGATTCAGTGTATCCATGCTTCGTAACCACACCTGGGAAGCAGCTCAGTGTCGAGCTTCCGGCAGTGTTGCAATGACACATTCATGGCTCGCGTGACTGTTCAGGCCATAAACGCTTTCCACAGAATAGGATGAGGTATTCCAGTCTTCACGCTGGACGGCCTGGGCAGGTGCTGGGAGCAGTGGGGACGCGTGCACCTGTCTCAGGGTCCTGGGACCAAGCCAGCTCCTGCTGATGCTCCTGCTGCTGTGTCACCTGGTTTGCAGGGGCTGTTGCAGCCAGTTGAGGAGTGAAGGAGTGAACCAGCAATGGGAATTAATGTGTGTGTCTGTCTCTTAAATGAAAACAAATCATTTTTAAAATTCAGGCCCAGGGTTGGCCAGATGGAGTGCTAGCCCCTCTAATTCCCTTCTTGTAGTTCTGGGAAGACATGGTGATGGCCCCAGTGCCTGGGTCCCTGCACCCACCAAAGTGTCCTGACAGTGGTTGGAACAACTGGGAGGGGGCGAATCGGCCTATGGAAGGGCTTCTCCCTCCCTCCCCCTCTGTCACGTTGCCTGTCAAGTGAGCCGACATCTCAGGAACACACCCATGTGTGCCCCTGGTATTGACACGCGTATCTGCCCTGTCTTGGCTGACTGGACCTCCAACACTTTCATCTCTAAGAAGCTGCTTCCATGACCAGGGACTGCAGAAAGTTCACTCACTTTTGGCCACACAGCATTCTCCATGAATCCCACCTGCACTGGGGAGTGAGCGGCACAGGATGACTCAGGTCTGGGCCTTGCTACCATAGAGGCCCCAGATGGAGCTCTGGCCTGGCCCTGGCAGTGAGGGGTGAGTGGCACAGGACGGCTCAGGTCCTGGGCCCTGCTACCCCAGATGGAGCTCTGGCCTGGCCCTGGCAGTGAGGGGTGAGTGGCACAGGACGGCTCAGGTCCTGGGCCCTGCTACCCCAGATGGAGCTCTGGCCTGGCCCTGGCACTGGGGGGTGAGTGGCACAGGACGGCTCAGGTCCTGGGCCCTGCTACCCCAGATGGAGCTCTGGCCTGGCCCTGGCACTGGGGGGTGAGTGGCTGACAGGAAGCATCAAGTGTGTGGATACAAAGAAGGTTATTTTTATTCCAAGATTTATCTGTGTGTTCAAAAGGCAGAACTACAGTGCATCCACGGACTCACTCCCAGATGGCCGCAATGGCCAGAGCTGGGCCAGCTCAGAGCTTCCTTCAGGTCTTTCCCACGGGTGCAGGGTTGCAAGGACTTGGGCCATCCTCCACTGCTTTCCCAGGTACATCAGTATCATGCTGGATGGGAGTAGCCAGGACTCGAAGCAGTGCCCATGTGGGATGCCAGTGCTGCAGGTGGAGGGCTGGCCTATGCCACTGTCAGGTGCTGGCAAGGAGGGCTAATGGCAGAGCAGGTGGAAGCACAGAGTCGCAGCAACGAGCGAGTGTGGGCCCTGGTCTCTGACTGCAACTGCACCAGAGCCTCACCACACATGCAGCCAGCGGGCTGAGCCGAGCAGGTGCCTCCCGCCTGGCCCTGCGTGTGCCTGCACAGTAACAGGCCCCTCCTCGGGCGCTGAGCCTGGGGCCCTCACCGCTGTGTTTGCTCCCCAGTGACGCTGCACATGCGCCAGCTCCTGGAGAGGAACGCTAAGAAGAAGTGCAAATTGAGAAAGAAACCCAAGCCCTATGTTGAAGAGCCGGATGGTAGGGTCTGCCGGCCACAGTGCCGCCTCAGCCAGCTCTGCTCTCCAGCCCTGGCCGCCTGGCCTGCTCTCTAACCGCTTCCGGGCTGGGGGGGATGGGGCACTAACCAAGCTGCAGCCTCTCTTGTCCCCGCCTGGGGAAGGAGGGGCCATAATGGGCCCAGGCAAGAGGACAGACCTGGGGAGTGGTCACACCCAGGGCCAACGCAGGGGGCTGTTCCTGCACCCCAAGTGGGGAGAGCCACACCAGGACCACACACTGGCAATCTCAGAGGAATCCTGCCAGTACACCTGCCCTGGAGCAGCACCTGGCTGCCCCCTTGGGCCCGTTCCCCTCCCCGAGACCCGTGGTGTAAGCTCACCTTCCTCTGGCAGGCCCTCTGTGCTGTGGGTGGGGTGGGAGGGATAGGGAATGGTTAGGTCCACCCCCACAGTGACCCCACAGGGCTACCCCCTCTTCCGGTGACTCTGGGCTCTGCAGGAACCACTCCAGGCAGGGGTGCCCCGAAGGTTCCAGTTCTGGGCACTGAATCCTAAGCTGGCTGAGGCTCTGCACCTGCAGTTTCCTCCTGGGGTCTCCTGCTGTGCTCTGCTCTTGGGGTCTGCACCTGGAGTTGCCTTCTGGGATCTCCAGCTCCCTGGAAGAAGCCTGGAGTCCATTTGGCCGAGATTCAGTCTCTGTGGAAACGTTTATTTCCAAAACCCTCTTGTGCACCCAGAGGGGGCTACCCAAACCTGCACAGATACCCCAGGGTCAGGACCCCTGCTGCAAGGGAGTGGGGGAGGAGGAAGTCCCAGGGATCCTGCCTGGGGGTGGGAGACTGCAGAGAACCTGAGGGCCTGGACGCTGAGGGCCTCATCCAGTGGCCGAAGCAGAGTCCTGCCTGATGGGTGCCTTCGCCTTGGCCCAGCCCTGCCCTACCAGCACCTTCTTGGCCAGAGGGGTGGTGGGGGTTGAGGCACAGGACACTCCCTGCAGGCCGGGTGCCCAGGTGACAGGTGCGCCTTCTCTTCCAGGGGTGGCTGTGAGCACCTATGCCAAGTACTGCTACCACAAGCTGCAGAAGGCGGCTCTGACGGGGGCCAAGAAGGTACGGGTGCTGACAGGACGCACAAACTCCGGCGGGGGAGGCAGGGGCAGGGCGGCAAGCCCTGGAGAGCCTGGTCATCTGTCCTGACCCTCCTAGTCACCTGCCCGGAACTGGGTGGGCCAAGGCTGCCCCCTGGTTGGAGGCCCAAGCAGTGTCCCCGGGGCGCAGCCCCTGCCCACCTTGTGGCCTCACAGCGGGGTCCACCCCTGTGAGAGGCTGGGACGGAGGCCGCGCTGTATCCGCAGGGCCTGAAGAAGCCCAATGTGGAGGAGATTCGCCACGCCAGGAATGCCGTGTTCAGCCCGTCCATGTTTGGCAGCGCGCTGCAGGAAGTGCTGACCATGCAGAAGGAGCGTTACCCAGAGCGGCAGCTGCCCTGGGTGCAGACGCGACTCTCAGAGGAGGTGCTAGCGCTCAACGGCGACCAGACTGAGGGCATCTTCAGGTGGGGCCAGGGGCCCACTGTGAGGACGGGGAGGGGGCTGTACGGACGCTGCCCTGGGGGACCCTGCAGGCCCAAGTAGTCTCCCTGGACTGCAGAGAGCCTGAGGGGGTCTCTGCCTGGCAAGCTGCTAGTCACGAGTGCAGCTGCAGCCACCGTCCTCAATTGTGGACACGCGTGTGCAGGCTAGGGGGCAGCCAGGGTGGGGGGCATGCCGGCTCCTTGACGCCCGCGCTGCCGCCAGGGTCCCTGGAGACATCGATGAGGTGAATGCCCTGAAGCTGCAGGTGGACCAGTGGAAAGTGCCCACTGGCCTGGAGGACCCGCATGTCCCTGGTGAGTCCCTGGCAGGTCCCTGCCCTCGCCCCGCGTGACCGGGTTCCTGGCTCCATGCCCGCCCCGCTGAGCCCGCTGTGCCCGCAGCATCACTGCTCAAGCTGTGGTACCGCGAGCTGGAGGAGCCGCTCATCCCGCACGAGTTCTACGACCAGTGCATTGCGCACTACGAGAGCCCCGAGGCGGCCGTGGCAGTGGTGCACTCGTTGCCGCGCGTCAACCGCATGGTGCTGTGTTACCTCATCCGCTTCCTGCAGGTATGCGGGGAGGAGGTGCTGCCTGCGCCCAGCCCTGCGCCCTCGGTGCTGCCTGCGCGCCCTGCACCCTGCACCCTCAGCCCTCGGTGCTGCCTACGCGCCCTGCGCCCTCAGCCCTCGGTGCTGCCTACGCGCTCTGCGCCCTCAGCCCTCGGTGCTGCTTACGCGCCCTGCGCCCTCAGCCCTCGGTGCTACCTGCGCGCCCTGCGCCCTGCGCCCAGCCCTCAGCCCTCGCTCTTCGCAGGTGTTCGCGCAGCCGGCCAACGTGGCGGCCACCAAGATGGACGTGAGCAACCTGGCCATGGTGATGGCGCCCAATTGCCTGCGGTGCCGCTCCGACGACCCCCGCGTCATCTTCGAGAACACGCGCAAGGAGATGTCGTTCCTGCGCGTGCTCATCCAGCACCTGGACACGAGCTTCATGGAGGGCGTGCTCTAGCGGCCTGGCTACCCCAAGTGCCTCCCGCTCGGGCCCCACGCCGGGGGCCCGCGCGTCCAGCTGCGCCCGGCAGGTGGAACCTGAGCCCGTCTCCGCCGCCGCCCCAGTCCCCGCCCCGCCTGTGCGGAGCCTCCCCACCCCCCCGACACACACACACACACACACACACCGTTTTATATATTTTTAGAGTTGAGTTTTTATTTATTAAAAACGAGGACACCCAGCCCGCGGGCGGCGGGCCCCGCCGTGTGAATAAAGGAGACGGATCGCCGCTGCCTCGCCTTCCTGGGGCCGCGGGCGGGAGGGCGCCGGCACGGAGCCAGGGCGCGCGGCCGAGGCGCACGGAGGCCGGGTTGCGCGCGGCGCCGCCCGCTTCCGGCGAGCAGGAGGATGTGGCGGCCGTGCGGGGCGCTGCGGGCCGGGCCCCGGGCCTGGGCGCAGACGCGGGCAGCCCGGGCTTACGGCGGCGGCGCGGGCGTCTCCTACACGCAGGGCCAGAGCCCGGAGGCCCGCACGCGCGAGTACTTCTACTACGTGGACCACCAGGGGCAGGTGCGGCGGGGGGCGGCCGGGCGCGGGCGGAGGGCCGGGAGGCCGCCTCGGGGCGTGCGCGCTCAGGGCCGGCCCTCCGTCCTCAGCTGTTCCTGGATGATTCCAAAATGAAGAACTTCGTCACCTGCTTCAAAGGTACCGGGGCGCCCCGCAGCCGCCCGGGGCCCCCCGCGTCCCGCGAGGTCAGCGCCCGTGCCCCTTGTCCCCACAGACCCGCAGTTCCTCGTCTTCTTCTTCTCTCGCCTGAGACGCAACCGCAGCGGGCGCTACGAGGCCGCCTTCCCGTTCCTGTCGCTCTGCGGCCGCGAGCGCAACTTCCTGCGCTGCGAGGATCGGCCCGTGGTCTTCACGCACCTGCTGACCGCGGGCCGCGGGCCCCCGCGCCTCTCCTACTGCGGCGGCGGGGAGGCCCTGTCCGTGCCCTTCGAGCCGGCGCGCCTGCTGCCCCTGGCCGCCAACGGGCGTCTGTACCACCCCGCGCCCGAGCGCGCGGGCGGCGTGGGCCTGGTGCGCTCCACGCTGGCCTCGGAGCTCAGCGCGGCCTTCGAGTGCGGCCCCGGCGAGCCCGCGCTGCCCTCGCACGTGCGCTGGCAGGGCCGCCGCCTCGCCCTCACCATGGACCTGGCCCCGCTGCTGCGCGGAGACCCTCCCGCCTGAGCAGCGCGGGGTGGCCCTCGGGGGCGCCCCGCGTCGCGCCGCCGCTGTCCGAGGTGCGGGCGCGGCCCCGCGCCAGGCCCCGCTCTCGCCCACGTCGCCCCGCACGCCCGCTCCGCGTGTCCTCGGGATTGGCCCGCGCTGGCGACGTCAGGCCCGGGCGAGCCGCGCGGAGCCGGTGCGCGTGCGTCGCCCGCCCCCTCCCCGCCCGGCGCTGCTCGGGCTGGGCCGCCGCGCGCACCGCGGGGAGCCGCCGGCCACCGGAGCGCAGGTGAGAGCGCGACCCAAGGTCACCGGGGCGGGTGGGGCGGCGGAGACCACGCCCTCCCCGGACCCGGCCAGGTCCAGCGGCGCGGGAGCGGGAGGTCGGAGCGCCGGGGCACCAGGACGGCCCGTGGCCGTCTCTGCACGATGAGGCCGGCGAGACGCCGCTGGCCACCGCGGAGCCCTACGCGGCTGGATCTGGGGTGGCTGCCGGCCTGAGCATTGCAGTGCGAGACCCCTTGGGCGGGCAGCATGGGCAGCGGCCCTCCCCTGGAGCCCCCGGGAAGACAGCCACTGCCTCTACTGGAAAGCTCTGCCGTGGGTGTCTGGCACGGTCAGGCTGAGTCCTGGGACACCAATCCCAGGGGCAGCACTGGGTGTCCCCACACGTCCCCACCCTTGGAACCACCTACACCTGAGCCAAGCAATTCCATTAAACTTGACTGCTGTACTGCCCGCCTCCCTGGTGACTTCAGACAACCCGAGGGACCCTGTGTGCTCCCTGGCCCTGTCCTGGGTCCCCCACCATTCACACTGGCCTGCTGGCTGCCATTCCCAGGTGCCAGGGGCTCTGCTGCATGTGACACTAAAAGCCACACTTGGTGACTTCAGAGCCCACTAGGGACCCTTCGTCCGGGGCCCGAGTCCCTTTTGGGGAGGTAGTGGGCATCCCATAGCTGCTGAGTCCCTGTGGACCTCTGCTTCCAACCTGCCGACAAGTGACCCCAGTAAAAGTCTGCTCACCATCCCCCATCAGCACCTGATGTGCAGGGTTTGTGTGCCGACCTCCGAGGGACCCAGCAGCCCACCTTACTGTCCAGAAGAGTAGGGTGGGGCAGCAAGGGACCAGTCCTAGCGCCCGCAGGGCCGTGACAGGCCCATGACCCAGGGATGCTCCCCACCCCAGATCCACATCCTGGGAATCCCGAGTGAGCCCTCTGCACTTCACCCCTAGCTGGAGGGCAGCAAAGCCTCTGCTGGGGTTTCTTGAGCTGATTTGTAACTTTCCAAGTCAGGCACAGTTGGCACCCCTTGGCACTGCAGGAGCCCCGCTGGGGCTGACTCAGAGGGGCAAGCCTATGGTCCCCAGCGGCCTACAGGAAATGGCCCCGGTGGCTCTCGCGATGCTGCTGCTGCTGCTGTTGCCACAGCCGCTGTCCGGGCCCCTGGCACGTGCGGACGCCTGCCCTGCCGCCTGTCGCTGCTACAGCACCACGGTAGAGTGTGGCGCCCTGCGACTACGTGGGGTCCCACCCGGGATCCCAGCTGGGACACAGGTGGGCACCAGTGGACAGAAAGGGGGAGGAATGAGAGGGTTAGTGTGCAGGCCGCCTGCAGAGGAGTAAGCCCCCCATGCCTGGCCCACAGACGCTGTTCCTGCAGGACAACAGCATCGTGCGCCTGGAACCGGGTGCCCTGGCTCCGCTGGCAGCCCTGCGCCGCCTCTACCTGCACAACAACAGCCTGCACGCCCTTGAGGCAGGCGCCTTCCGCGCACAGCCCCACCTGCTGGAGCTGGCCCTCACCCGGAACCGGCTCCGCGGTCTACGGGGCGGCGCATTCGCAGGCCTGGCCCAGCTCCGCGTGCTCTACCTGGCCGGCAACCAGCTGACGCGGCTACTGGACTTCACGTTCTTGCACCTGCCGGTAAGTGCCCACCTCTGCTCCCGCCCCGCACCGGGCAGCCCCGACCTGACCCACTGCCTCTGCCTCAGCGGCTGCAGGAGCTCCACCTCCAAGAGAACAGCCTGGAGCTGCTGGAGGAGCAGGCCCTGGAGGGACTCTCCTCTCTGGCCCTCCTCGACCTCAGCAGGAACCAGCTGGGCACCATTAGCCGGGAGACGCTGCAACCCCTAGCGAGCCTTCAGGTCCTGCGCCTCACAGGTACTTGACGGGGACAAGGCCACCAGCCTGGTCACAGTTGAGGGCACGCTGGGCCAAGGTGCTCCGTGGCCTGCAGCAGGTGTCCAGGGTGCTCAGGCAGGGCAGGACAGAGGGAGGCGGTCAGCAAAGGCCAGGTCAGAATGGGCTGGAGGCGGGACAGTCACCCTAGATGACCCTATGGACTGTTGCCAGCAGAACCCCAGCCACGCAGGCCCCCCTCTTCCCGCAGAGAACCCTTGGCGCTGCGACTGCGCCTTGCACTGGCTGGGCGCCTGGATCAAGGAGGGTGGCCAGCGGCTGCTGGGTGCCAGGGGCAGGAGGATCACGTGTGCCGAGCCGCCCCGCCTGGCACTGCAGAGTCTGCTGGACGTGTCGGGCAGCAGCCTCGTGTGCATCCCGCCCTCCGTGCACGTGGAGCCCCCGGAGCTCACAGCCAACCTGGGGGACGACCTGCGGGTGGCCTGCCGGGCCTCGGGCTACCCGCAGCCCCTGGTCACCTGGCGGAAGGCGCCACTACCGCGCGAGGGCAGGCTGCAGGTTCGGGCCCAGCGGGAGGGCGCGGCGCACGGCCACCCTGAGCCCGCGGTGGCTGACACGGGCAGCGGCATGCTGTTCCTGAGCAACGTCACGCTGGCGCACGCGGGCCGGTACGAGTGCGAAGCGGCCAACGCCGGCGGCGCCGCCCGCGTGCCCTTCCGCCTGCTGGTCAACGCGTCCCGGGCCAGGCCCACCGCCCCCGTGCCCCTGCCCGCGCACCCGGCCGGTGACGAGCCGCAGCTCGAGCCGGGGAGCCTGGCCTTCCGCGCCCTGGGCCTGGCCACGCAGACGGCCGTGGCGGGGGCCATCGCGCTCCTGGCGCTCACCGCACTGCTGCTGGCTGCCATGATCTGCCGCCGGCGCCGGCGCCGCAAAAAAGGCTGCGTGCCACAAGGCGAGGGCGTGCTGTTCGCCAACGACTACTCGGACGGGCCCTGCACCTCGGCGCAGCTGGAGGAGCTCCATGGCGAGCGTGGGCATGCCATGTTCGTCATCAACCGCTCTAAGCCGCTGCTCGCTGAGGGCCCGGCCGAGGGATTGCGCCCAACACCGCACGGAGCCTACGAGATCCACTGCTGAGCACCACACGGCTTGGCGTCCACCAACAGCCGGCTTGTGGGGGACTGGCCGGCGGCACGCGTGCTCACTCAGTAAAGGTGGAACCCAAACTCAGACCAGTGAGCCGAGCCGTATGTGGGGCGAGGGGTCGTGGGAGGGCAGTGTGTCCCAGGGTCAGCAGGACTGGGGTGCCATTGCACCCTGAGGGTTTCCCCTGGCCTCCAGGATGACCCTGCGAGGTGGGGTAGGGCAGCATGACCAGGGCCTTGCAGGGGTCAGCAAGGTTGGGGGCACCGCCTACAACAAAGGAGCCACGAGACTGGTTGCAAGTTCTGCACTTCTGTGCCATGAAGACAGACACGGCTTGGCCCCTGGGGGGAGCGTTTGGAAAGACACCATGGTCTGGGGGTGGTCCAGCCCGGTCGGCAGGGAGCCCACACAGTCAGTATGCAGACAGACGCGCCCACATGCAGGTGACCAGCAGCAGAGGGGCCGCCCCCGCCCTGAGAGGCCCACGAGGCTCAGAGGCTGAAGTAGTCTGCCGCCAGGCGTCCATAGATGTCCGTGGTCCAGAGCACGTGGGTGCGACCTGAAGCCAGCAGCAGCTGCTGCAACTCGGCCTCCACGCGGGCAAACTTCTCCTCATTGATGGACGCCTCCAGCAACACAGAGGCAGGCGGCGGCCAGGGCAGGCCCTCGTAGCAGTCCACGGGGAAGGGGTGTACCACCGTGCGCAGCTCAGCCTGTCCTGCTGAGTCCCGCAGCAGCTCCTTGAGGCCCGCCGTGGACAGCGGGTTGCCGTACAGGCCGAGGTAGCGGAGGCTGGCACAGCGGGTCAGCATGGGGAGGGTGGCCAGCAGCTGGGTGTCGGCCAGCTGGCACTCGGTCAGCTCGAGGTGCAGTAGTGTGGGCGCCGTGGCGCGCAGCAGGCCCTGGAATGGCACCAGCTGACTGCCAGACAGGTCGTTCCCACTCAGGTCCAGCTTCTTCAGGTGGGCGGCGTGGGGGCTGCGTGCCAGGCAGCGCAAGTCCTCGGGCAGCAGGGCACAGAAGGCTAGCTCCAGGCTCTCCAGCGGGCTCTGCAGGGTGCTGTGGGGCAGGTGCCGGGCGGTGGGGTCACAGGACAGCCGGCTGAGGGGAGGGGGCAGGGGCGGGGCGGGGCGGGCTCACCTGAGCAGCTGCTCCAACCTCCCTGAGAGCAGCGAGGAGCCCATGCTGAGCTCCCGCAGGCAGGTGAAGCGACCCATCTGGGCCAGGAAGTAGCGGAAGTTGTCCTCGCCGTCCACGGAAGGCTGCCGTGAATCCCCGTGCACGTAGTGCAGCCGCAGGCTGGCCAGCTGCTGGAAGCGAGCCACGTGAGGGATGATGACCGACAGGCCCCGCAGGCCTAGGTTGTTGAAGCGCAGGTCCACCCGGCGCAGGCAGCCAGCGTCCAGCAGCTGCAGCAGGGCCACCGTGTTGCGCATGGGCAGGTCCTCGGCCCGCAGGTCCCGGCAGCACAGCCTCAGTGGGCTGCCCACACTGCTCCGCAGGGCCTCCCCCAGGAAGGCATAGGAGGCCCGGTTCACTCGCAGGTCCACCCGCACCTCCACAGGCTCGGGAGCCGGCCCAGGCTCCCCTGCCCCTCCCTGCTGCTGGGCAATGCAAGTGCGGGCCACTGCTGCCGTGCAGTCCCACATGCTCATGGTGCCAGGGTCCTGCTCCACGCCGTCGTCCAGCAGGCCCGTCATGTCCAGCACCCGCAGCACCTGCTTCCTGCGGGGGGAGAGGCCTGAGGGAGGGCCAAGGAGGCAGCGCCCACATCCACTACTCACCATTCCAGCACAGAGCAGGGACCTGACCCTGATGCAGGCCTCAGGGCACCCACAGCCCTCCATGGGACAGACTTCCGGGGGGGGGGGCGCCCTACTTGGCTAGCGCGTACCTGCAAAGGGGCCGTGTGCCCGTCTCAGCCTCGGACGTGTGCAGCCGGGCAGTCAGCCCCAGGATCACGGCCTGCACGCTCTCGGTGCTGGGCCGCTCCTGCAGCAGCGCCCGGCTGCAGTGGGCACACTCCTGCAGCAGCTGCTGGAAGCTGAGCAGCGGGAAGGGCCAGGTGTGCACCAACTCCTGCAGCACTGCCGTCTTGCGGTCCATGAAGGCCACCTTGAAGAGCAGCGGGAAGAGCTCGCGGGGCAGCAGTGGAAGGGCCTGGCAGGCGGCCGACTGACACTGCAGCACTTGCCGTGTGCTCAGGAACACCAGTGTGTGCATGGCGCCGGCCACGCCAAGGCCACCTGCAGGAGAGGGACGAGACCTTTAGTGGGGGCGACCTGCTGGGCCATGCTCGCCTGCACCCCACGGCACCCGGCACCAGGTCAGCAGTGGGCGGGGGCCTGGCACAGCCAGGCAAGGGGTGGGCAGCCAGGACAGTCTGCAGGCTCAGAGGGCCAGGCCTTCCCTCCAAAGGGGCCCTTTGGGCACCGGGAACAGGGATGTCCGGCGGCAAACAACAGGCTTGGCAGGAAGGGCCAGGCCGGGAGAACTGGCCAAGCCCTCCCACCCACTGTCACCGGGCAGAGACCCCAAAGCACAACACTGGCCTCCGCTGTCCGCTCCACCCCTACCTCTCTCTTGGGAACCGCTGTGGAGAGACCCACTGTCAAGTCCACGCAAGAGAGCTGCTCGTGGCATTGCACGGGCCCCTGGGCCCAGGACACCTGTAGTGTGCCCCCACACCGCCCTGCTGAGGCCTGCGCGCCGGGCACCTCGCAGCTCCGTGGCGCTCACCCCAACTCCACAGCCGGCCGACTGGGCCGCGTCCAAGGTCATGCCACGAGCGAGGGGCCCTCGGCCGCGCTCTGCTCCTGACCCGATCTCGCGAGGACGGCACACCCGCGCCTCCGTCACGCCAGACGGAGCAGCCGGCCGCGCGCAGCCGCCACAGGGGCACCGCGCGCTCCGAGGCCCTGCCACCCTCACCCCAGGCCTTCCCGGAGTCCGCCCCGCCCCGCGCCCCGCACCCTGCACGGCGGCCCGAGCTCACCGGCCGCTTCGCCGCGCGCCCCGCCTCTGCCTGCCGCCCCGGCCCGCCCAGCGCCGCGGCGCGCCGCGATGAGGTAGGCCCCTCGCATTGGCCGCCCCGAGCGGGCGCCCCCATTGGCCGCGCCCGGGCCGGCGCTGTCGCCGCGGGAGATTCGCGGGCGCGCCATGGAGCGGCTGCGGGAGGTGCGGCTGCGGCTGCAGGCGTGGGAGCAGGCGTTCCGGCGCGAGCGCGCGCGGCGGCCGGGCCAGGTGCGGTGCGCGCCGAGGGGCCGGGGTCTGCGGGCGCCACGCCGCGCCTGACGCGCTTGTTCCACAGGGGGACGTGCAGGAGGCGCCCGAGGAGATCCGCGGTGAGCGCAGGCGGGGGCGGCGGGAGCGCGGGAGCGGACCGGGCACTGACCGGGCGCTGACCGGGCGCTGACCGACCCTGCCCACCCGCGCAGCACTTTATCGGCAGTACCGCGTCCTGAAGAAGGCCGTGCGCCAGGCCGGCGACCCCCCGGCGGAGGCCCAGGAGGTAGCCAGTGGCCCTGCGGTCGGGGGGCTCCTGGTCGCCAGTGGCCCTGCGGTCGGGGGGCTCCTGGTCGCCAGTGGCCCTGCGGACGGGGGGGCTCCTGGTCGCCAGTGGCCCTGCGGTCGGGGGGCTCCTGGTCGCCATTGGCCCTGCGGTCGGGGGGGCTCCTGGTCGCCAGTGGCCCTGCGGTCGGGGGGCTCCTGGTCGCCATTGGCCCTGCGGTCGGGGGGGCTCCTGGTCGCCAGTGGCCCTGCGGTCGGGGGGCTCCTGGTCGCCAGTGGCCCTGCGGTCGGGGAGCTCCTGGTCGCCGGTCCGTGCTGGGACCTGCCCGCCCCTCCCCATCTCCCCCTGCAGGACCCGGAGTCCAGCTGCTGGGGATCACACCTGAACCGGGCGGTGGCCGGGAGTTCTCGCCCGACCCCTGGGCAGAAACCTCCGGCGTCTGGGCAGGACTACGGGGAGAGACTCAAGGCCAACCTGCAGGTGAAGGTGAGAGTGAGACGGGCTGGCCGGTGGGACCTTGGGCTGGGCTGGGTCACCAAGTGCCACCGCTCCCAGCGTCCCTTCTTGCAGGGCACAGCCCCACGAGGCAGGGTGGGGACTGCGCAGGTCTGGGAGCCCAGGGCAGCCTGGCTACTTGAGGTGCTGCCTAACGCCTGTCCCACTTCTCCCAGGCAGGGCTGGCCCAGAGCTGCAGACTCCGCCTTCCACGGAAATCCAACTCAGAGGCCTCCAAACCTCCTGGCCCGGAGGCCACCCCCACCTCAGCAGGAGGAGGCCGCACAGTGTCCCCACAGTCCCCACAACCTCCCGAGCCCCCCGAACCCTCCCAGTCCCCGGGGCCTCAGCCACGGCCAGGCCGGCTCCAGCAGCTTCGGGCATCCCTGAGGCTCCGGCTGGGCTCCCTGGACCCTGACTGGCTGCAGCGATGTCACCCTGGGAGCCCTCGCAGTCCTGGCCTGGAGCCGGAGGGATCAGCTACACCGATCACAGGCCAACAGAGCAGTGTGGACCCCATCGCGGGCTGCGAGCCCTCAGCCACACCAGCAGCCCATGCCCATGGAGATGGCCTCCAGCCCAGGCGGTGCCAGAAGCGGAGCAGGAACGAGGGGCCTGAGGGCAGCCTTGCCTGTGTGCAGCAGGACAGCGGCCAAGGAGACCACGAGAAAGACGCTGCAGAAGGGGCTGCAGGGGGCGGCAGCCCCTCCCGTGGGGCCTGCGTGGAGTGGACTGTGGGGATAGCCCCCCTGTGCAGCTCTTCCAGGACAGGAGTCCAGGACCGGGGCAACTACGTGCGGCTCAACATGAAGCAGAGACGCTACGTGCGGGGCGGGGCCCTTCGGGGCAGGGCCCTCCTTAGGCAGGTGAGTGGTGGGGTATGTGGGTGGGTGGGTGGGCGGGCATTCCTTACCCCTGGGTCTCTAGTGGGCCAGTGTTGCCTCCTTCCTCTTCGTCCCCCTTAGGCACGGAAGCAAAAGTGGCAGAAGAAAGCCGCAGGCCTCACTGGGGGCGGGCCCAAGGTCACCTCCAGGGACTCTTGCTTCCGCTGTGGGCAGCCTGGCCACTGGGCGTCCCACTGCCCCCAACCAGGTGAGGCCGTGGCTCTGGAGACTGGGGTGTCCCACATTTGGCAAAGGTGCCCAGGCCTGAAGCTCCACCATGTACACCCTGCCCAGCCCTCCAGGGGGAAAGGAGAGAGGACAGGGAGGAGACCTCAGAGGAAGCCACCCAGTGCCGGCCCCCAGGTGGGTTGGGCAGCGGGCCCGGTGACTATCTAGAGTGGCTCTGTCCCATCCTGGATCTCCACTGGACCCTCTGCCATGTGCCCCAGGTGACAGGGACCGGGAACCTCCTGAGCTGGAGTCACCATGCTTGCCCACCCCTGTGCCGCCCCTTTACCCTGTGGAGCCCTCGAGGCAGATGGCTGGTAAGCACCCCTACCTCCTGCCCCAGAGCCTGGACCTGGGAGCCAGGGTACCCGGGCGGCAGTGACTGCTGCCCGCTTGTGTATCCGCAGAGACCCCCGCTGAGGTGTACCAGGCCCTGGAGGAGCTTGGCTACCAAGCCTTCCGCCCGGGACAGGAACGTGCCATCATGCGGATCCTGTCGGGTGAGTGTGGCCAGAGGGGCCAGGCTGGGCCGGAAGGCCAGCAGGCTCGGTGCTGACCCTTCTCCTTCCCAGGTGTGTCCACCCTGCTGGTGCTGCCCACCGGTGCAGGCAAGTCCCTGTGCTACCAGCTGCCGGCCCTGCTGTTCGCCCGGCGCAGCCCCTGCCTTTCTCTCGTCATCTCTCCCCTGCTGTCGCTCATGGATGACCAGGTACGCTGCACCCCCACCAGGGCCCCCAGTGTGAGGGCTGTGGCTGTGACAGCCCTGTGTCCACCTGCAGGTGTCGGGCCTGCCCCGCAGCCTCAAGGCTGCCTGTCTGCACTCGGGCATGAGCAGGAAGCAGCGGGACTCTGTCCTGCAGAAGGTAGAGTACATCCACCCGATTCCCCGGGCAGGGGAGTGGTGGGTGAGTGCCTGGGGCACACCCTGACTCTGCCCGCTGCAGGTGCGGACGGCCCAAGTGCACGTCCTCATGCTGTCCCCGGAGGCTCTGGTGGGAGCTGGGGCCACCTCCCTAGTCACCCAGCTGCCACCTGTGGCCTTCGCATGCATCGATGAGGCCCACTGCCTGTCTCAGTGGTCCCACAACTTCCGGCCCTGCTACCTGCGCGTCTGTAAGGTGGGCCGGGTGCCCATAGGGCTGGCTGGGCCCACCTGGCCCTTCCCCAGGCTGGCTGACCTCCCCACTGCCCACCTCTGGTGCAGGTGCTGCGGGAACGTGTGGGAGTGCGCTGCTTCCTGGGCCTCACAGCCACGGCCACACGCAGTACTGCCCGTGATGTGGCCCAGCACCTGGGTGTGGCTGACGAGTTGGGGCTCGGGGGACCCGTGGCCGTGCCCCTCAACCTGCATCTCTCTGTGTCCATGGACAGGGACCCAGAGCAGGTGAGTGCACGGTGCACGTTCCTGGGGTACCCCCCACCCACGGCCCTGGCCGATGGCCACTCTGAGCACTGCCCCTTGCCAGGCCTTGGTGACACTGCTGCAGGGCGACCGCTTCCGGGTGCTGGACTCCATCATCGTGTACTGTCCCCGGCGTGAGGACACAGAGCGGCTCGCCGCACTGCTCCGGACCTGCCTGCGTGACACTCCAGAGGCCAGGGGTGAGGCCGAGCGAGGCCGGGCTGGGTATTCTACCTGAGCAGCCCACTTTCACACCACCGTCCACCTGCCTGCCTGCCTTGCCCTACAGGTCGCGACCCCGAGGTCATAGCCCAAGCCTACCATGCTGGCATGCTGAGCCAGGAGCGGCGGCGGGTACAGCGGGCCTTCATGCAGGGTCAGCTGCGAGTGGTGGTGGCCACCATGGCCTTTGGCATGGGGCTGGACCGGCCGGACGTGCGGGCGGTGCTGCACCTGGGGCTACCCCCGAGCTTCGAGAGCTATGTGCAAGCTGTCGGCCGCGCAGGGCGTGATGGGCAGCCCGCCCACTGCCACCTCTTCCTGCGTCCACAGGTGGGTCCCAGTCCCCCGGGCGGGGTCCCAGCACTGGAGCCCCCCCTCACGGCCGTCGTCCTGCCACAGGGGGAGGACCTGCAGGAGCTGCGCAGGCATGTGCACGCCCATGGCACTGACTTCCTGGCTGTGAAGAGGCTGGTGCAGCGGGTGTTCATCCCCTGCACATGCCCCCAGCTGCCCCCGGATGGAGAGGGACCCATCTCTGGGGAGCCCCCTCCCAGGGAGGCCCCAGCGTCTGGGAGAACGTGCCCTGGCCACGAGCGGATGCTTCCTGTGCAGCAGATGGTGCAGGCGCTGGACATGCCTGAGGAGGGTGAGGGACGGAAGAGGGCCTGCGGGGAGGGCAAGGAGGAGGGCCCACGGAAAGGGGCCGGAGGAGGCTGAGGGCCAGAGGAGGGCCTGCAGGGAGGGGCGGGGGCGGGAGGAGGGCCTGGGTGTCCTGACTCCATTCCGACCTTAGCCATTGAAACGCTGCTGTGCTACCTGGAACTGCACTCCCAGCGCTGGCTGCAGCTGCTGCCTGCCACCTACGCCCGCTGCCGCCTGCACTGCCCTGGTGGCCCCACTCAGCTCCAGGCCCTGGCTCCCCGGTAAGCACACCCTGCACGCAGCTCCAGGCCCTGGCCCCCCAGTAAGCATGCCCTCTACCAGCTGGGGCCGGAGGAAAATGCTGCTGTTTGCACAAGTCTCCTGCCCTGGCACAGGTGCCCCCCTCTGGCTCTGTGCTTGGCTCAGTGGCCACCCGGGGACCGCCGGCGCACCAGCAGCTCTGTGGAGTTGGACATGGGTGAGCTGCTGGACTTGAGCGGCTGGGAGCTGGCCTCAGTGCGGCGGGCTCTCCGCCAGCTGGAGTGGGACCTTCAGTCTGGGACAGGTACAGCCCCCTCTCCTGCCCCCAGCCCTTGCGCCTTGCTCGTTGCCAGCTGGGGACCCACTGATGCATGTTCCATCCTGGCAGGTGCACCCCAACGCACAGGTGTGCTCGTGGAGTTTGAGGAGCTGGCCTTCCACCTGTGCAGCCCCGGGGACCTGTCGGCAGTGGAGCTGGACCAGGTCTGCGACTTCCTGTATAGCTGCGTGCAGGCCCATGAGCACAAGGGCCTGGCACGTCTGTGCCACGTCTCCCAGGCCTTCCGCAGGTGGGCCAGCAGAGGCCGGGGCGGGGCCTCCCGCAGCCTTGGCGGAGGTTTTCACAGCCTTGTGTCCTCTCAGCGTGGCTTTCCCCAGCTGTGGACCCTGCCTGGAGCGAGCTGACCCGGAGCGCAGTGCCCAGCTCAAGGCCCTGCTCAGCCGCTACTTTGAGGAGGAAGAGGAGACTCTGAAGCTGGGGCTTGAGGAGCAGCAGGGCCCCGAGCTGGGGCTGGCCAGTGTGAGTCCAGCTGCTGCTAGAGCAGAACCCGGTCCCAAGCTTGCCGTGACTATGCACAGTGCCCGGAAGCCCTGAGGGTGGGGTTTGACGTGCTGCCCCCATCCCAGCTCCAGGACTGGGAAGACCAGGTCCGCCGTGACATCCGCCTGCTTCTGTCCCTGCGGCCAGAGGAGAGGTTCTCGAGCAGAGCGGTGGCTCGCATCTTCCACGGCATCGGTGAGGATCGGAGGCCGAGACATGTGCACCGTGTGGGCCAGCTGGCCAAGGGTGCTCAGGTCCTGTCCCTCTGTCCCCCACCCCCCGGCAGGGAGCCCCTGCTACCCAGCACAGGTGTTTGGACGGGACCAGCGCTTCTGGAGACGGTACCTGCAGCTGAGCTTCCAGAGCTTGATGCGGCTGGCCACAGAGGAGCTCATTCGCACAGGCCACTGACAGCTCTGCACAGCATGGGGAGCCGGCCACCAGGTGGACATCCCATCGGGAGCGGGGCCCCCACTGGCCTGCCAGAGTGAGGTCAGGTTCCCAAGTGCAGAATAAAAGGCACAGTGTGACTCCTGGGTCCATCACAGCACGCATAGCATGCTTGCTTTATTGGCCATGCCTGCCAGCAGCTCCAGCCAGCATGCTGGGGGCCAGGCCCAGGTCCAGCAGGGGCAGGGCCGAGAGGGTCAGCAACAGACAGAAGCAGAGGCGCAGGCCCAAGCCGTCAGCCAGTGCTCCCGACAGGGCACCCAACAGCAGCTTCCCAAGCAGCTCCAGTGTGGCCAGCAGGCTATAGTGGGTGGCCTGTTCGGGGTGGGGTAGTGGTCAGGACTTGGAGGCTCTGGGCGGGCCCCTCCCCCAGCACCAGCCTCACCTGCAGTGCCCTGGGGGCCAGCTGACTGCAGCGCATCATCACAGTGAAGGTGGCTGTGGTGACCAGGCCCCCCAGGAAGTGCTGCAGGCACAGACTCAGCAGAGCGGCTCCTGAGGTTGGGCAGTGGTCAGCTGAGCCCCAGGCACCCGGCCTGCCCTGCCCAGCCCTGCCTTCACCAGCCCCTCACCTCGTAGCATGGCAGTGGGGCCAGGGCTAGGACCGCTGTCTGCTGCATCCAGGTGGAAGAGCAGGAGGGTCTGGCAGACCAGGCCTCCGAGGCGGAACTTCAATACCAACTTCAGCAGGGGCAACGGCTGCCTGGGCCAAGAGGGGACAGACACCACACAGCACGTCAGCAGGGGAGAGACACCACACAGCACGTCCAGAGGGGACAGACGCCACACAGCCCATTGGGAGGGGACAGCATGTCCGGAGGGGACAGACACCACACAGCCCATAGGGAGGGGACAGTGTATATAGGGGGTGGGTAGGTGCCCAGCGGCTCACCAGTGCTTGGCCAGCAGTGCCCCAGCCAGGGCAGAGCCAATGATGGAGCTGCCCACCGCACCCACACCATTCCACAGCCCCAGCTCAGGGGCAGGGGTGCCAAGATCCAGCAAGAGCAGGGGGAACAGGCTGCTGGCACCCTGCTCACCTGTGGGGAGACAGAGCTGCAGCAGACTTACCCCCTCCCTGCCAGGACCTTGTGCCACAGGTGCTGGGCACCAGCTGAAGGCAGCAAGGCCAGCCCATACCAGGATGAGGGCCCCCCACGATGCTTGTCGGGAGCTGACCCCAGGCTCCACTCACCCAGCTTGTAGGTGGCCACAAAGCCTGCTGTCCACAGGGTCCCTGGCACAGCCAGTAAGTCCTGCAGGAGATGAAGGGGCTTCTTGGGGCCTGGGGGTTCCGTGAGCTGTGGCGTGGGCAGCTGACAGAGGGCAGGGGCAGCCCAGGCCAAAGCAGTGGCCAGCCAATAGGTGGTGGCCAGGAGCAGAAAGAGCAGCGGCCAGGACAGAATGGGCAAGAGGGTAAGCAGCCCTCCCCCGGCCAGGGCCGCTCCCACCTTGTAGGCGACCACCTGCACCGTGTTGCCAGGTCCCAGCTCTGCGGGCTCCAGGAGCTGCACAGCCAGTGCGTCCAGGGCCACGTCCTGCACGGCTGCGGCCAGGTTCAGCAGCAGCAGCAAGCCCAGCGTGGGAGTGGGCATTGTGGCCTGGCTGGTGGGAGCCAGCGTGGCCAGCAACCCGCACACCAGGCCCAGGGCAGCCGTGCTGAGCACCAGCCAGGCTCGCGGGGTGCCCCTCCTGTCAACCAGCGGGGCCCATACGAGCTTGAACAGCCATGGCGCATATAGCACCTTGGCCAGCCCCACGCGCGTCAGGGAGAGGCCGCGGGCTCGCAGCAGAATGGGCAGCAGGCCAGACTGGAGCCCGTAGGGCAGGCCCTGCACCAGGTAGAGGCCGGCCAGCGGCAGCAGCTTCCCCCGCATGGCCCGGCCAGGCCGCGCCCGGGAGTCGGGCCCCATCGGCCCGCGGCCAGGGGTCACCCGCTGCACCGGGATCCGGCCTCCCCGGAAGCGCACCGCCCGCTCTCCCCGGCAGGCCTTGCGCGACTTCCGGGCGGGGCGGGGCGGAGCCTCGGCGACCTGCGCGGGGCGGAGCTTCAGTGACCTGTGCGGGGCGGAGCCTCGGCGACCTGTGCGCTCCGGCGCGTCCCGCTCGCCGGACCCCAGCCTCTCCCCAAACGCAGGGGCCGCTCGGTCGCCCAGCCCCGGGCCTGTCTGCTGCGCGCACACGGCTGCCCCTCAGGTGTTGTGGCCGCTCAGCCTGGGACCCCGGGACCTCACTGGTTCCAGGGCATGGCCCCCTGCTGGGGGCGAGTCCCGTCCCTCACCCTAGCTCCCTCCTGCAAGAGGAAGCTCCACTTCCCGCGGCCTTGGGTGCTCTCCCCCGCCTCTGCCTCTCAGCCCTGGCCCTGCGAAGGGGATGTGTCCTCCGCGTCCAGCCAGCTGTGTCCTATGGACCCAGACAGCACCGACAGAGGCCGCCCCTGGAGTCCCCGCGCCTCACCTTTCAGGGAACCCCTCCCTGACACTGTCATTCCAGAGGCGCTTCATCCACGTAGCTCTCACACACTGCTCCCAGGGGACAGGGCATCACACACTTTATTGGGGACCCACAGAGTTGGGGCACCCCCACCCGCACTCAGGAGTACTCCTGGGTGAACTTGGCGTGGAAGTGACTCAGCTTCTCCAGCAGCGGCCTCAGCTTCTCCATAGGGGGCAGGATGGTCATCCTGAAAGGGGCGGGGGTCAGCTGCAGGGACCAGGGTGGGGAGCTGGGGGCTGGGAGGAGGTGCGGACCTCACCGGAAGTGGTAGGTGCCCTCCCGCTGCCCGAAGCCGCTCCCGGGCACCACGCAGATGCCCGTCTCCTCCAGGAGGCGCAGGCAGAAGAACATGTCCGGAGCCATGCCCAGCTCCTGCGGGCGGACAGGGCAGTCAGGACGGTCAGCCCCGGCCCGCCCTCCGACTGACCGTCTCCATCTTTGGCCCTACCCACCTGGGCCCGCCGCACAGCGCGTGGGGGGAGCTCCACGCGCGGGAACGAATACATGGCACCCTGCACCGGGTTGCAGTGGATGCCCGGGGCCGCGTTGAACACCTGCTCCGTGAGCTTGGCCTTGGCAGCCAGCTCGGCCAGCACCGTCTGCCTCTCCTGCAGCCGCAGAGGGCAGGGATGCTGATCAGCGCCTGTCGCGCTGGCACCCCACTGCCCTGCTGTGGCCCTGCTCACTTACAGCCTGGAACTGGGCAAAGGAGGGGTCAGAAGGTGCAGGTGGGTTGACTACCATGTCCAGCAGCGCTTGGCCCGGCACCGGGGGGCAGAGCCGCACGCTGACCAGCTTCAGCATCTGCTGCTTGACAGCGGGGTCCATGTTCACCACCTCGACGTAGCCACCACGGAACCCGCACCTGCGAGGGGACCGAGGCTGGGCATCGAGGCCAGGCGGCCAGAAGAGGCACAACTGCCACTGGGCTCGGCCCAGATGCCCCGCACGCACTCGCCCATGTAACCCTTGGAAGCCGAGTGGAAGGAAGCGAGCTCCTGTTGCTCCGAGTATGGCGACCCCATCTCCTTTAGCACCTTCTTGAACGAGTGGAACTGCGAGCCCTCTGCATACACGTTGTCCTGGTACACCTGGGGAGGGGAGTGCCATGGGGCCGCCGGCTCGTGCCTCATCCACCACCCGCATCCACCCGGCGCACGCATTCCGGCCTGCACCTCATCAGCCAGCAGGAAGAGGCGCTCCTCGAAGGCGAAGCGGATCACTGCCTCTATGCACTCGCGGGTCTGCACCTGCCCTGCGGTGCGGGGGAGAGGCACCAGGGAGTCGGCCGAGGGTGCCGCCCGCTCTAACCCCGACCCTAACCCTGCGCGCATGCCCACTCCGGAGCGGGCAGGGAAGCGCACCGGTGGGGTTGCCGGGGTTGATGACGCACAGTGCGCGTGGGCAGCAGTGGTCACGGGCTTGGCGCACCGCGCGCCGCAGCTCGGCCACGTCAAGCGCCCAGGCGCGCTCCTCGTCCAGGTAATAGTCCACCTGCACGGCGTCCAGCTCGGCCAGCGCAGCTGAATAGAGCGGGTACTGCGGGATGGGGATGAGCACGCCGGTGCGCGTGCGCCCCTCCCCAGCCACCAGCAGCTTCAACACGGTCTGTGGGTGGGGGAGAGGTGAGGTTGGCGGGGCACGCGGCTGCACCCAGCCCCCAACCCCGCGCTGGGCGGCAACTATCCCACACCCCTGTCCCAGGGGCCTGACTCACCACGATAGCATCGCTGGCACCCGTGGACAGAAAGATGTTGCTGGGGTCGGCGGGGATGCCTCCATCACGGCTCTGGATGTACCGGGCCACATCCTCGCGGATCAGCTGGATGCCAGAGCTAATGCTGTAGGCCCCTGCACCCCGCGGAGGGTATGGAGACAGGGCCGGTTAGGGCAGCCTTCCCTCTCAATACCCCAAGGCGGCCCAGCGGGCGGCAGACATCCTTACCAAGACTGTGGCCCCCGCATGCCTGCAAGATGCGCTCTGCCCTTGTCTTAGCATCCGCTGGGAAGTCGGCACTGTGCAAGAGGTTGGGGTTGATGCAGAGGGCCAGTACCTGGGAGGACACGCGGGGAGCCTGAGCTCATGGGCAGGTGGGACAGGTGGGACAGGGCGGGCCAGCAGGCAGCAGAGTCTTACCTGGCGCAGAAAGGTGATGGGCTTCTGCCCCATGGCCTGTGCATCGCCGATGTTGGCCCGGACCACCTCTGAGAACGGCTTCTTCACACCCTGGGGGCAGAGGACAGCAGGGAAACCTGGGCCCACCACCACGCCCCATGCTGTGGCCTGGGGAGGGGCAGCAGGGGCCGGGCCCTACCTGCAGCAGCTCCTGCTCCAGCTCCAAGGCCCGTGCCACAATGGGGCCCCGCACGGCATACTCCACCCGCTGCACACAGGGGTTCATGCTGTCCAGCGTCAGCACCTTCTCCTTCGGCCCCCGGGCCTGCCTCTGCTCACCTGCTCTCTGGGCCATGGCTCTGCTCACAGCAGGCAGGAAGACAGCTCAAGAGTCGCCAGGACCCACAAGGGGCTCAGCAGGCTATGGCAGCCTGAGGAGCCCGCGTCCTCTCTGCCAGAGCTTGGCTGGAGGAGCCAGGGCTGCGGGCGTCCCGCTCCAGCTGTCTGGGCACAGTTCTGCCCCAGGGAGCCAGAGGGAGTGGGTGAGGCAGTAGGCGGGGCTTGGGGCAAGGCCCAGTGCAGGCCCTGCATCCCCACAGCAGGGGAGCTGGAGACCCACATGGGGGGTGGGGACAAACGAGGGGCCACAGCTCTGAGGGACTGGGAGAGAGCAGTGGTTTACCCTAGCAGGGCCCGGCTGAGGCTTAGCCCTCACAGTATGCCCATCTTTGCTGGGGCCAGCAGCCTGGTTTCCTAGGTAACTGAGCCAGGCCTTAAGAATCCTGGGGGGTGCTGGCAAGGGGGAGAAGACAAGGGGGACCCAGGGTGATTGGACCTTGGCCCCCATCAGCACCGGCCAAGGCCAGCCAGGAGCCTTGCACTCCGGAGCTGCCCTTTCACCGGGCACCGGCCTGCAGCTGCCCTTGGGGCCACACCCGGACCTGAGGTGACCCAAGTCTCCCTTCTTTCCTGCCCAATTGGCAGAGCGAGCAGGAAGTCGGCTATGATAGGCCCCTGGAGCCCCACCTCCACTGGCCTGCAGGGAGCTGATAGGCCAAGTCATGCGGGCCAGTCCAGCAGCCAGAGTGGCATAGGAGCTGGTGGAAGGGTCAAGGAGCTGGCCCCTGAGCAGGGCTGTGGGCAACCGTCAGGTCTCCCTACCAGCTGGGAGAAGCCATCAGGACCCTGGGGTGACAGACCCCCAAGTCTCACCTCATGCCTGTCCACTGCCCAGGCACAGACCCGGCCCAGCGGGAGCACAGGTTACTATGGCCCTCCTCCTGGCAGCAGGGCTGGAGAGGCAACCGCGAGGCAGGTGGACCTTGGGCAGCTGTGCTGCCCTGCACACTAAATTTAACCAACAGCCAGCTCCTGGCCCTCCCCCAGACCTGAAGACACCAGCTCACCAACCACTGTGCTGGGAGAAGGGCGGGCCCTGGGAACAAGGACCGCCCCATCGGTGCCCAGCAGGGGGTGGGGTGGGGCAGGGCAGGGTGGCGGGCAGCTCAAACCCCAGCAGCCCTGCACCAGCGGGTATGCAGAGCCGAGGCCATGGACAGGTACCCACAGTGCCCTCAGTCCTCCCTCTTGAGACCCCTAAGGGGTCCCCTCACCCTGGCACATTGTGCCCAGCCAGCTCAGAGCCTGTGCCCTGTACCCACCCCAGGCGGAAGCTGGCAGCCAGGCACAGGATCAGGGCTGCTCGCCAGTGAGACGACCCACCCCCTCCCCCAGGGAAGTGCCTGCTGCCAGCCCTGGGCCTGCTGCGCCCCTCTGGCTCTGGCCCAGCATCCCTCCCAGGCCATGGTCTCCGCCCCCTGGCACAGCCCCCATGGGCGCCCCTCCAGAGCCCTTGCAGGCAAGGGGCAGGTGTTGGCTTCTGCTGGGCGGGGGCCTCCCTCCCACTCGGGGGCCAGAACTGTCACAGGCGAGCCCCGGCACGCAGGCACCTGCAGGCTTCTGCGTTTATCGGGAAGGCGGGGCCCAGCAGGCAGCACACCTGCTCCTGGCAGGAGGGGCGGCCCAGTCACCCCTCACAAACACACAGAGGCTCCTTGGTAAACAGCCCTTTATCAAGAATTCCCACACAAAGGCTCGCGGCCACACAGGGTGGCAGTGAGAGCAGCAGCAGCTCTCACATGAGCCGGCAGCATGGTCTCTTCTCCGCAGGGGCCTCTTCCAGGGGGGCTGTGAGCCTGAGCAGGGGTGGGTCCCCGCCAGTTCCAGAGCTGGTGTCGGGCTGGGGTGTATCAGCTTCGGGTGCTGAGCCAGGTTCCAGAGCCTTGGGCCCTTCGGCTGGAAGTCTCTGCAGCTTGGCAGCGGCCCGCTGGCGCTTCAGCTCGGCCAGCGTGTGGTGGGCCTTGTCCCGCAGCGGGGGCTCAAGTGTGCTGCTCTCCAGGGGGCCCAACTGATAGGAGACGCTCCGGTCCAGTCGCTTGGAGTACAGGTGGCCGCCAGAAGAGCCCCCCACTCGGCCGTTGTGGGGCCACACCGGGTCCAGGTTATCCTGTGGGCAGGCCGGGGCCCCAGAAGCAGTCAGGAGGCGGTCCTGGGTCACAGGGGAGGTTACTGGCTGGGCCAAGCCCCTGCATGCTGACCTCAGAGGCCACTGGCCGCAGTTCGGCATCCGTCCATCGGTCCTCGTCGTCCTCAGCAGGCTCCGGCTGCCGCCACACCATGGCCTCCTGGGCATGCTCCTTTCGGTACAGGTGAGTACGCTGCGTCAGGCTCACCCTTCTTACCACCTTCCTGTGTGGGGAGGGTGGGAGAAGGTCACCTGGCCAGCAGGCGGCCACTGCAGGGCCTAGGGGTGGAGGGTCCACTCACCCGCGACTGCCGGCACTGGACGTGCGTCGGCGCAGCAGGGAGCGTTGGCGGCCCTGGCCTCGCAGTAGAGCTTCGTGCTGGCGCTTCAGCTCCAGCAGCTTGGCCCGCACCTCCTCGTCCCCGCACACATCTGGGGAGGGTGCAGAGGGTCACAGGAGGCTCCCCGCTGTCCCCTCTGCCAGCTGCAGACTGTCCCCATGCTCACCAAGGGGTGTCTCATCCAGCAGGGACTTCGCATTCAGGTCAGCGCCATGTGCTACCAGCAACTCCACTAGCTGCACCTGGTGGTCACCGGGGGGATGCAGCCAGGACTGCTCCCAACACGCCCATGGGGGGCTCCTGGAGGGGCTGCAGCCAAGACTGCCCACGGGGGGCTCCTGGAGGGGTTGCAGCCAGGACTACCCACGGGGGCTCCTGGAGGGGCCGCAGCCAGGGCTGCCCACGGGGGGCTCTGGAGGGGCTGCAGCCAGGAGTGCCCACAGGGGCTCCTGGAGGGGCCACAGCCAGGATTGCCCCTTCCCACACGCCCACGGGGGGCTCCTGGAGGGGCTGCAGTGAACACTGCCCCACATACCCACACCCACCTGGCCCCAGTAGGCGGCAGCATGCAGTGGCTCCCAGCCATCACGGTCCCGGGTGCGCAGGCTGGCTCCGTGCCCCAGCAGCAGGACGGCTACCTCACCGAAGCCATTGGCCGCCGCTACGTGCAGCTGCAGGCACGGCCCAACACTGAGTTCTGGCTCCCTGGCAGGCAGCTCCTCCCCCACACAGTGGCAGGGTCCTTACCAGTGTGGCCCCATGGTCCAGGGGCTCATCGAGACCAGCCCCTGCCTGCAACAAGCCCCGAACGTCCTCCAGTACCCGTCGCTCCGGCACAGCCCGGGCCTCCTCAATGCTTTCCTGGGTGATGCCTGCAGGGCACAGGGCTCAGAAGGGCTGCCCTGACCCCGCAACCACAGGCAGACCCAGCCTGTGGAATGCAGGGTTCAGAGGGACCGCCCTGTCCCTGCAGCCGCAGGTGAGCCCACCCTGTGGGGTACAGGGCTCAGACGGGCTGCTGTGTCCCGCAGCCGCAGGCAGACCCAACACTCACCGCGGTCAGCCATGGCCGTCTCCAGACAGTCCAGTGTCTGCTCATCCTCACACAGGTCATAGGGCATATTCCCATCCGTGTTGACTGCCAGAAGGTCGGCACCACTGCAGGCAGCACAGGTGGGCTGTTGGCCCTAGAATGCCCCTGCCAAGCAGGCTTCTCATAGGGACAGAGACCCCAGACCACCCTGGCTGCCCCAGGCCCAGGCACCTGTCTGTCCCCAGAGGTAGGTGACACCAGCCACCTGTAGGAGTGCACAGTGGGCCCTGACGGCCACCCTGCAGGCTATAGATGGGTCCCAAGCTCACAAAGACTCCTTCAGGCACCCAGCTAGGCAGCCTGTGAGAAAAGCCCTTGCCCAACAGACACCAGCGGGTCCTACCGGGCAATGAGCAGCTCCACCAGGTGCAAGTGGCCGCAGGTGGCCGCAGCGTGCAAGGGTGTCCAGCACTCGCTGTCCCGGGCGTTGACGTCAGCCCCCGCGTCTAGCAGCTGCTGCACCATCTCGCGGAAGTCGTCGATGCAACACTGTGCACCCAGCCACCTGAGCCACACAGCTCTGCCACGGGCCCCCACCCCAGGTCCACTATGACCTTGTCGCGACCCTCATCCCTAACCCCCAGTTCCCCATGGCTACCCACAGTCCTGCCGTAGCACAGCCATCTTTGGTATGGCCTACCTGGTGTAGGGCCGTCAGGCCGTCCTCGTTGGCCAGGTCAGGGCTGACCCCGCTGCTGAGGAACTGGCGAACTGCAGGAAGGGGGGTGCGATGTCAGGGACAGGCCAGGACCACGCTGCTCAAGGGCTGGAGGCCTGAGCTCGTCAGGTCATCCTGAGACAGTGGCCTGCGACAGTTGCGCCTCACTGGGCCTGTTTGCTCTCTCCATCCCGGCCCAGACCCTGGTAATACCTGCTGCCCAGTACACTCAGAATCTCCTCCTCCCCACCTCTCAGGAGGACCCCTTTCCCTCTGCCACAGAGGTGGCAACAAGGCCAGAGCAAGGCTGCCGCGCAGCAGAGGTTGCAAGCTCAGGCTGCACACTGAGCTGGGGGGCCCCATGCCCAGCCAGGCAATACAGCAGGGCCTTCTGCAGGGCACCCCCTCCCAAGTAGGACACCACTGTGGCCATGCCCAGGCACCCTATCACTGTGGCGCGTCACGCCCACATGGGCAGGTGTGGCCCCGCTGTACACTGCCCTGCAGCTCCGCCAGACTTACCTTCCTCCAAGTCATTCCGGGCAGCAGCCTCCAGAAGGGCCACGCTGGGCGGGAAGAGGACCTGTTTCCGGGGCTCAGGGCTAGCCGGCAGCTGGCCCTTGCCGCCGAGGGCCTCCTTCTCCGCCTGGGCCCACCTCTTCACCTGCTGGGCTCGCCGCTTCTGTGCGTGCTTCAGCCGCTCCTGTGTGCTCATCCTGCCCACCAGGGGCATCTCTGCCAGCAGCTCCAGGTGCTCGGCCATGGCACGGGCCGCCTGCCCACAGAGTGGGGGGCTCGGGGGGCAGGGCGGCTGGTTGTACAGGCACTCGCGAGGGCATCCCCTTGCCCAGGCTCAGTGCCCTTGGCCCTGGCAAGGCTATGACCAGGAACGGGCAGCCTGGGGCAAGCAGCCCCAGCACAGTGAGGAAGGCACCCCAGGCCGGCCTGTACCTCAGCAGCTCAGCCCACGGGGCCACGGCCCCAAGACTTGGCCAGCCACAGTCCAGGGTCTGACTCTAATTACCCGGATGACAAAGTCCCAGCTTCCTGGCACTGTGCCGGGTGGGAGGGGAGCAGCCACAGGCAGAGCCTCGCTCCCAGGCCTGCCTCCCACAGTCAGTGCAGCAGCTGGGGCTGGTCAGAGGTCTTGGGGGGATGTGAAGATCCCTGGGCACAGGTAGGCCAGCAGCATGGTCCTTCAAGCAGCCACACACACCTGAGAGGCAGAGATGAGAGGCACATCAGGGCCCTGCCCGTGCCCCACCCTGCCTCACCCATGACCTCCAGAGAGGGTCCCCCCAGGACCAGGATGTCCTCCGTACCCTCACCCACAGCTGCTCTGAGGCCCCGGGCCTCAGCCCGGCAGCTGCTGTCCAGCTCTTCTTACCAGCTCCCTGGACACAGGGCAGCAGTGAAAGTCCTCCAGCTGTCACAGGCCATGCTCTGCCCACAGGCTGCCTACCAGAGCCCCACTAGATCCTGGGCAGGCCAGCAGAGAGCCACAGCCTGTCCTGTTCTCTGCCACCTGCAGCGCTCCTCCCCTCCTGCGTCCCTGGAGACCCACCCAGGACAGACAGGGTGCGGCCCCTGCCAACTCCATGCTCTAAGCACACAGGTTTCCAGGCCACGCTGGGTGTGGCCGGGCAGGGCTGGCATGGAGGACTTTGACCTCTCGCTGTCAGCTGTTCTGGGCCTGCCGGGAAAGCTACCCATCCCATGCCCACCCAGGGAGACCCCAAGCCAAGGGCAGAGCAAGCAGCCCATGGGACCACACTAGTTTACCAAAGAGGGCTCCAACAGGCTGCCCCGCCCACACTGGGAAGACACACCTGCAGAAGGTGCCCGGGGGTACCCAGTGCAGGCTTGGACACTGCATATGGGGATGAGCCCCACTCCAGGGCCATCTGCCTATCAGGAGGGCGGACACAACCAAGGAAGACGGGCCCTCTTTGGTGGTTCGGCAGTGTCTTCTCCCCCGACTGCCCCGCTCCTTCTGACTCTTGCTCTCACTGCAGGAGCCCTGACAAGTGCCTTTTTCCTCCACTAATGGCATGAGTGGGACCAGATGACCTGCTGGCCCCAGATCCTGTGCCATGGGATAGGGCCAAGGGCAGGGGTCGCCACTGACCAAATGCCTGAAACTTGGCAGGGATGAAGTTTAAAATATGTTGTTTTTAAGATTTATTTTATTGAAAAGTCAGATATACAGAGAGGAGAGACAGAGAGGAAGCTCTTCCATCTGTTGATTCACTCCCCAAGTGGCCACAATGGCCAGAGCTACGCCGATCCAAAGCCAGGAGCCCGGAGCCTCTTCCGGGTCTCCCACACAGGTGCAGGGTCCCAAGGCTTTGGGCCGTCCTCGACAGTTTTCCCAGGCCACAAGCAGGGAGCCAGATGGGAAGCAGGGCTGCTGGGATTTGAACTGGTGCCCATACGGGTTCCCTGCACTTGCAAGGTAAGGACTTCAGCTGCTAGGCTACTGTGCCAGGCCCTAGATTGTGTTTTAAAATGTAATTTTTAAGTCTTTTTTTATTTAAAAGTAAAGCTAACTTCCCAAATGCCACACCAGCTGGTGCTGGGCCAGGCTGAGGTCTGGACGCTGTAGCTCACCCTAGACCTCGCACATGGCTGCAGGGTCCAGAGTGGCTGTCCCCCAGGGTGAGCATGGCGGGAAGCTGGACTGGCAGCAGAGTCAGGGCTCAAGGCCAGCACCCAAGACGCAGATCAAGGGCAGCTCCAGCACTGGCCACCACCTGTTTCTGCTGTCCAAATGAAGGATAAATGGGGCCCGGTACGATGGGCTCAATGGCTAAATCCTCACCTTGCACATGCCAGGATCCCATAAGGGCGCAGGTTCGTGTCCCAGCAGCCCCGCTGCCCATCCAGCTCTCTGCCTGTGGCCTGGGAAAGCAGTGGAGGACAGCCCAAAGCCTTGGGACCTGCACCTGTGTGGGAGACCTGGAAGAGGCTCCGGGCTCCAGGCTCCTGGCTTCAAATCAGTTCAGCTCTGGCCATTGCAGCCACCAAGGGAATAAACCAGTGAATGGAAGATCTTTGTGTCTCTCCTCCACTCTGTAACTCTGCCTTTCCAATAAAAATAAATAAACATAATTTTTAAAAAGGATAAATGTTCCTGCAGCATGTAATGAATCTCCTCCATGGAATCCGTGACAGCAGATGGCCCTGTGGGAGGTGAGGACCCAGGGGCAGCAGGGACACAATGACGGTCCCACCAGGACAGCTGTGGGTGGGATGACCCAGGTCAAAAGTCAGATATGAGAACCCGGCCTTAGACCTGGGGGGCCACACTCCCTGGCCAGGGTGACCCCAGTCAGCCCCGTACCCCTCCCCCTGGCCAGGGTGACCCCAGTCAGCCCCGTACCCCCCCACCTAGCCAGGGTGACCCCAGTCAGCCCAGTACCCCCCCACCTGGCCAGGGTGACCCCAGTCAGCCCAGTACCCCTCCCCCCACCTAGCCAGGGTGACCCCCAGTCAGCCTCGTACCCCCCCCACCTGGCCAGGGTGACACCAGTCAGCCCAGTACCCCTCCCCCTGGCCAGGGTGACCCCAGTCAGCCCCGTACCCCCCCACCTGGCCAGGCCATCCCACTGACCAGCCTCATGAGTCCCAGCTCTATGATGTACAGGAATGGAGTCTGTAACAGATTGGACATACAGGTTCACGCAGTGTACCAACATCCCTTCCTTAAATCCCTCTCACTGTGATTTAAAACGGAAAGGCCAAAGTGTACAAAATGAACCCACAACCCAGGTACAACCAGGAAGACACCCCGGAGCCCCACAGGGCTCCTCTCACACCATACCAGTGCCCTTGCCCTGGTCACTTCATGGCCTTACCAGTCCGCAGGTGAAGCTCTGCTCCTTCAGCCAGATTCAGGCAGCATTCCCATTCACTCACGTGCCCTCCCACCACGGCGGGGCCAGTGTCAGTCGGTCCCCTCAGTGAGGCAGCAGCCTGGCCCTGCTGCTGCCCATGGGGCTCGTTCTGGGCCAGTCCTCCCCACAGCTGGTAGTATCTCCCCGTAGTCTCCATCGCATGTCTGCATCTTTCCAAAGAGTTCCCTCTATTTATTACTTATTTATTTGCAAATCAGAGTTAGAAGAAAACGCGGTGAGAACTGGGCCAGGCTGAGGGCAGAAGGCTGGAGCTCCCCAAGAGCGGAGGAGCCCCAGGCCCAGAGCGACTGGCATCGCACACACACACCAGTGTGCCGACTACTCCACTCCCCTTCCATCTCCCTGCTTCTGACCTGGGAAAGCAACAGAGGACGGCTCAAAGCCTTCGGAACCCTGCACCCATGTGGGAGATCTGGAGAAAGCTCCTGGATCCTGGCTTCAGATCGGCTCAGCCCTGGCTGTTGCAGCCACTTGGTGTTGAACCAGCTGATGCAAGAGCCTTCTCTCTGTGTCTCCCTCTCTAATTCTTCCTATAAAAATAAATAAATCTAAAAAAAAAAAAGTGTGGGGACCCCAATACTTGGCGCATCCTCCACTGTGTCCCCAGGCACGTGGGCAGGGAGCTGGAACAGAAGCGGAGCAGCAGTCAGCAGATTCTCACGGGTCCTAAAACCACGGCAACTGGTGCCTAGGCACAGAGCTCACATGCATACCTAGTGTGACACTGTCCCTTGCAGACAGCTAGTCCCCTGCCCAGGTCCAGCATACAGAAGGGCAGGTAAGGGTGCAGGGGGCACTCCAGGGCTTCCTTGTACCACTCTGGAAACAAGACGCAGCCACATGGGCCCGGCGCGGTGACGCAGTGGTGCAGTGGTTAAGGTCCTCGCCTTGCACGCCCGGGATCCCATATGGGTGCCGGTTCTATCCCGGCAGCCCTGCTTCCTTTCCAGCTCCCTGCCTGTGGCCTGGGAAAGCAGTCGAGGACAGCCCAAAGCCTTGGGACCCTGCACCCGCATGGGAGACCCGAAGAGGCTCCTGGCTTCGGATCGGCATAGCATTGGCTGTTGCGCTTACTTGGGGAGTGTATCATCGGACGGAAGATCTTCCTCTCTGTCTCTCCTCTCTGTATATCCACCTTTCCAATAAAAAAAAAATAATAAAAATAAATCTTTAAAAAAGAAAAAAAAAAGATGCAGCCACCAAGTCTTAGCACGTGGGCATGAACCTCAGAGACCTCGAGCCAGAGCACCCAGTGGGTGGTTCACATCCCTGACACAGAGTGCAGAGCACAACTCCCACCTTGTTCCCAAGCTGACCCTTCCTGTACACCTGCAGGGCCCCTCAAGACCAAGTTCCCAGCACCGGACTTGGGGGCCATTGGGACTGTGAGCTTCTACGGCAACACCCACCAGGGCTGGGAACCTGGGATGGCTCCTCACTGGGAGCCAAGGGAGGCTGCGCCAACCTCCCTCCCACTCCCCTTCACTACATCAAACGACTCCGAGACAAGTGCAAAGTTGCTTAGGCTGTCAGAGGCCTCCAGGGGCCAAGCCGGAGCCCAGGCCAGACCTGGGGAGGCGGGCAGGGAGGGTGCCACTCAGGGCCAGCCAGAGCCTCGCCAGGAACAGAGTGGGTGGGGGTGGGCAGGGAGGGTGCTGGCAGCCTCCTGGAACCCTGGCCCACCATGCCTGTCCTCCCTCTTTGTACCAGGTGTAGTCCGACATCAAGCACAAGCAAGAAGGAGAAGCAAGCTGGGCAGGCCACACTTAGACTCATGCCCCAGGAAGCCCAGGCCAAGGGGCATCGTACCAGGACGTCATACCAGGTGTGGGCCCTGAGACGCCACAGCCAGAGGTCAAGGAGGAGGGCTAGGCCCCTAGCAGAGCTCACCAATTAGCCAGCACATTTCTGGATATCAGAGGGCAGGACAGTGGAGGCTAGCGAAGGGACAGGGCCTGTGAAAGTCACGCAGAAGTAGAAAGGTTTCAGAAAAGGGTTGTACAGTACATGGCAGAGGGGATGCCAGCAAGAGTGTGGCAGTTTCCCTCTGTGGGGGACTCTACCTCCGGACATTTTGCCTGGCCCTGCGTGAGGAAGGTGTGGCTGCCCAGGGTTGGGGCTCCGCTGACCACAATGCAAGCACAGGGCTCCAAAGCTGAGGAAAGGCACAGGTGTGGGCACCACCCTGCACATTCAGCAGTGGGGACTGCCCAGGTGCCCATCACACAACAAACAAGACAGGGACTTACCCACAACTCGGGGACCGCAACACATTTCACACATAGTACACGAGACCTCCACAGGCACCTCACAAAGTGCAGGCAGACTCTGATACACGCTATACAAAGCCTGGGGAAACCCTAACAGGCGCCTCACACAGCCCGGGGGAACCCCGACACGCACCTCACACAGCCCGGGGTGACCCCAAAAGCACCTCACACAGCCCGGGGAGACCCTAACACAGCCTGGGGAGACCTTGACACAGTCCGGGGTGACCCCGACACGCACCTCACACAGCCCGGGGGGACCTCGACACAGCCTGGGGTGACCTCGACAAAGCCCGGGGTGACCCTAAAACGACCCTCACACAGCCGGGGAGACCCCGACACGCACCTCACACAGCCGGGAAGATCCCGACACGCACCTCACACAGCCCGGGGGGGCCCTGACACAGCCCAGGGAGACCCCAAAAAGCACCTCACACAGCCCGGGGGGACCCTAACACAGCCTGGGGAGACCTTGATACAGCCCGGGGTGACCCTAAACGACCCCCACCGGGAGACCCGACACACCTCACACGCCAGGACCCGACTGCCCTCACCCGGGGGACTCGACCAGCCTGGGGACTCGCAGCCGGGGAGACCCCGATATGCACCTCACACAGCCTGGGGGGACCCTGACACAGCCTAGGGGGACCCCAACATGCACCTCATGCAGCCCATGGGGACTCGGACACACACCTCACACAGCTCTGACACTGGCACACCCAGATGCCCTATTTCTTTTTTTTTTTTTAATAAAGATGCATTTATTTTGATTACAAAGGCAGATATACAGAGAGGAGGAGAGATAGAGAGGAAGATCTCCCATCCGATGATTTACTCGCCAAGTGAGCGCAATGGCCGGTGCTATGCCATTCCGAAGCCAGGAGCCAGGAGCCAGGAACTTCCTCCAGGTCTCCCACACGGGTGCAGGGTCCCAAGGCTTTGGGCTGTCCTCCAGTGCTTTCCCAGGCTACAAGCAGGGAGCTGGATGGGAAGTGGAGCCGCTGGGACTAGAACCGGCACCCATATGGGATCCCGGTGCTTTCAAGGCGAGGACTTTAGCCACTAGGCCATGCTGCCGGGCCCAGCTGCCCTATTTCTAACTCAGCTCCTTGCTAGTGCACCTTGGGGGCGGCAGAGGACAGCAGAGTTACAAGGTGCCCTGACCCCCATTTGGGAGACCCAGATGGAGTTTCTGCCTCCTGTCTTCATCTTCACTGTTGCAGCATTTGAAAACAGGAAATGGGAATTAAAACCAGAAACCTTTGAGAAGGAAGTGGGTCAGGGAGGCCCCAGGTGGCAGCCTCCCTCATGTGGCTTGTGCCCCTTCCAGCGGGAGGCACACCCCGTGATGGTCAAAAGACCCGCAGACACGGACGGCCCACAGCTAGCAACGGACACCATGGATCCACACACAGGTGCACTCACAGGGGCAGCACATCCTCTCTAGCCCACACAGCAGGACGGCAGGCATGCCACGTGTCCACTCCACAGGACTGAGGGGACGCAGGAACCAGAGCAGCAGGCCGTGTCACCTTGCCACTCGAGGACAAAAGACACCGCTCCTGGCCCTCATAGTGCACACTGCCAACAGGTCCAATCTACCCCACGTAAACAACATCCCAACAACACGTGCCATCCTGGCATGGCAGGAAAGCTGCTGGGTACAATGCTACCATTCCACATGGGTGCTGTCCCAACTCCCACCTAAGGCACCAGGAGAGCAGCATAGTGACCCTAGAGGGGGAGCTCGGGCCTGGTCCAGCACGAGCGGCTGCAGCCACTGGAAGAATCTCCCGCTCTCCTCTCTCTACCTTTCAGAGAAACACAGTAAGTCCACTAGCCCAAGGCTGAACCTTACGTGCTGTCCAGATCTCACACTGGCCCTGGGGACACAGTATTGCGGGAAGAGGGAAGGTGAGGCAGTCTCTGGACCTCAGCAGCCTCCACCCCTCACCTGAAAACTCACGGCCAGGGGCCCCAACCCTAAGCAGTCTCGGGGAGGACTCAATAAAGCAAACCAGGAAACAGCAAGCAAGGCTGAAGCTAAACCACCACTAAACCACCACTGGAACAACAAGTTCCCCTTTTATCACCCCCTAGTCCAAAGCGGCAGCAATGTCGGGAGCATTCGAGAGAGACCACATGAGGGCACGACGCAGTAGCCTAGCTTGCTAGAGCCCTCCTCCCGCATGCGCCAAGATCCCATATAGGTGCTGGTTCAAGTCCCAGGGGCCTGCTTCAATTCCAGCTCCCTGCTGGGGCCGTGAGAAAGCAGTCAAGCTCAGCCCAGGGCCTTGGGAATCTGGCAGACGGAAGCTCTGGTCTCGGGTCAGCCCCGCACTGGCCGCTGTGGCCACTTGGGGTATGAACCAGTATATGAAAAATTCTCCCGTCTCTCCTCTCTGTACCTGACCTCCCAATTTAAAAGATTTTATTAACTTAATTAAAAAGACCACATCACAGGGAAGTCTGAAATCTCTATCAAACTATTCCTACTAGACATGGTCTCCTGTTGAATCACACCACTGAAAATTTCCCCTGTACACCCTGTCCATCACCATCACCCCTCCCCTGCACCCTGTCCACCACCATCACCCCTCCCCTCTCCCCCACACCCTGTCCACCACCATCACCCCTCCCCTGCACCCTGTCCACCACCATCACCCCTCCCCTGCACCCTGTCCATCACCATCACCCCTCCCCTCTCCCCTGCACCCTGTCCATCACCATCACCCCTCCCTTGCACCCTGTCCATCACCACCATCACCCCTCCCCTCTTCCCCACACCCTGTCCACCACCATCACCCCTCCCCTGCACCCTGTCCATCACCATCACCCCTCCCCTGCACCCTGTCCATCACCATCACCCCTCCCTTGCACCCTGTCCATCACCACCATCACCCCTCCCCTGCACCCTGTCCATCACCACCATCACCCCTCCCCTGCACCCTGTCCATCACCATCACCCCTCCCCTCTCCCCTGCACCCTGTCCATCACCAGCATCACCCCTCCCCTCCACCCTGTCCGCATTCATCATGCCCTGTCATGTGGTGATCCCTTTACCAGTTGACCCTTAACCCCGAGCTTCCCTGCTTGTGACCCAGGAAACACTGGATAATTGAAGACACAAGGTCCGGGGTCAGGGAGGGGGCATATCTACCGGCTGTGCCGGGCCAGCTCCGAGGATACTCCAACATACAGCGTGAAGGCCTGAGGTCCGTATCAACAAACAGGCCTTGTCCCGTTGTACACGTAGCTGTTCCAGGGGCACACCTGTGACCCTGGGGGTCACCCAAGAGGCCTCAGTGGTCACCCAGGCCACAGCAGGCACTGGGCGAGATGCCTGGGGGCCCCAAGTTCCCTGAGTCTGCGGTGGACACCAGGGGCACCCCAGGACATAGAGCCCGCAGACTGGCAGGCAGCAGGCTCCTGGTGCCCCAGAGCAGGTGCAGGAAGGCAGCTCATGAAAGCTGTCTCCTCATTTCAGCGGGCTCTGCTGGAGCCCTGATGGCCCGCTCGGCCCCACACTGACCTGGGACCCCCTAACCCCGGCAGGGCCCCAGGAGAGCGCGCCCACGGCGCCCCCGGCGCCCCAGGCCCCCAGGAAAGCCGGCCTGACTCTGCATCTCCCGTGCACACGAGCCTGGCGCAGCCGGCAGTCGCGCGGGCCGGGGTGCCGGCCGAGAAGCCCCTCACTCGTTCCGCGGAACTGGACCCGCCTCCCGTCCTCCCGTCCTCCCGTCCTCCCGCGGGTGCTCCGGCAGCCGCCGCCCGGGCCCACCGCCTCCCCGGACCCGGGCCCGCCGCCCCTCCGTCCTCGCGGGCCCACCTCACGGCCCGCCGCCCCTCCGTCCCCGCGGGCCCACCTCACGGCCCGCCGCCCCTCCGTCCCCGCGGGCCCACCTCACGGCCCGCGGCCGCCCTGGTCTCATCGCCGCCGCAGCTCAGTCGGATCCGCGCAGCCCTCAGCGCCGCGGGGGCGGGCCCGCGCCGGCTTCGCCATGGCAACGCGACACTTCCGGCCCGCGCGGCCCTAAGCCGGAAGCCGCGGTGCCCCGCGGGAGCCGGGGCGGGACAAATCTGGGCTCAGGGGCGGGGCTTGCTGCGGCTGGGGGCGGGGATGCCGCTCCTGGAGCGGGACTTGCGGCGATTCGGGGCGGGGCCTGTCGTTCCTCGGGCGGGGCTTGCGGCGGCTCGGGGCGGGGCCTGCAGCTCCTGGGGCGGGGCTTGCTGGGGCCAGGGGAGGAAATGCTGAGGATCCCCAGGAGGTTGGTCCTGTGTTTAGGCTGGAATCTTTGAATTTTTTTTTTTTTTTTTTAAGATTGGAGAGGCTGATATACAGAGAGGAAGATGTTCCGCCCGATGATTCACTCCCCAAGTGGCCGCAACGGCCGGTGCTGCGCCGATCCGAAGCCGGGAGCCTGGAGCCTCCTCCAGGTCTCCCACGGGGGTGCAGGGTCCGAGGGAGCGGAGGGCCTCGTGGGCGGGTGGACAGTGCAGCTAGAGCAGCGCCAGAGGCCCCAGTCGTGGACAGCCTGGGGAGTGGTCAGATGCCCGCCCTGCACACCCAGGGCTCAGCACAGGAGTCCTGGCCTGGTCCCTCTCGGTGCACTCAGCACCCCAGCGTGCAGCCTTCATGGCTTCTGGGTGCCTGCACCCCTCCCGGAGGCCCCCAGGGCTTGGAGGCGAGCAGGCTTTGCAGGGCACAGCTGAGGGTGGATGGCCTGGGCGGAGAGGAGCTGACCTCCTCCTCAGACCCAGGCTCCTGGAGCCGACCTGCGCTGGACTCCAGCGGCCCTACTGCACGCCGAGCGGCCAGCTCGCCTGGGTGGGCACGTCTGTGCCCCCCTGTAGAGTGGGCACCTGAGGCCTGACCCCGGCCTCCATCCTCGGCCCTGCCAGGGCTCCCAGGAAGGCCTGCTGAGGGGACCGACCTCAGGACGCCGTCCCAAGTCACCTCCCTTTCAGATTAATCGAAACTTGCTAATTGTGCGGCCCCAGCATGTCCCCTCCCCCACGGCGTCGGCCTCCCTCCCCTCCCCCTTGCATCCGAATGATAAAGGGCCCGGCCCCCTCCGGCCTCCGGCCCCCTCCGGCCCCGGCCCTTCTTGCCACTCGGCCCTGCGCGCTCGCCCGGGCCTCCCCGCCCATGGGGCCCTGCAGGGACCCCGGCCCGCGGCCCCCCGAGGCAGAGGCGCCCTCCCAGCCCCCCAAGCGGAGGAAGAAGCGGTACCTGCGGCATGACAAGCCGCCCTACACCTACCTGGCCATGATCGCCCTGGTGATCCAGGCCGCGCCCTCGCGCAGGCTCAAGTTGGCGCAGGTGAGGCCCCTTCCCCCTTCCCCGCCCGGAGCGCGCATCCCCTGCGCGACCCTCCCCGGGAGCCCCTTCGGGGGTCTGGGGCGCCCCGGGGCCGGGCCCGGGCTCAGCGTCCCCCTCATGGCTGCAGATCATCCGGCAAGTGCAGGCCGCGTTCCCCTTCTTCAGGGGCGACTACGAGGGCTGGAAGGACTCCATCCGCCACAACCTTTCCTCCAACCCGTGCTTCCGCAAGGTGAGATGAGCGGGAGCCGCGCAGGGCGTCGGGGCAGGCCGGGCTCCCGACGCGGACGGCCCACCCACGCCTGCCCACCCCCGCCAGGTGCCCAAGGACCCTGCGAAGCCCCAGGCCAAAGGCAACTTCTGGGCCGTGGACGTGAGCCTGATCCCGGCCGACGCGCTGCGCCTGCAGAACACGGCCCTGTGCAGGCGCTGGCAGAGCCGCGGCATGCGCAGGGCCTTCGCCAAGGACCTGGGCCCCTACGTGCTGCAGGGCAGGCCCTACCGGCCGCCCAGCCCGCCGCCCCCGCCCCGCGAAAGCTTCAGCATCAAGTCCCTGCTCGGGGACCCCGGGGAGGAGCCCACGGGGCCTGCACCAGGCAGCCCCACGCCGGCAGGGGCCAGGTGCTGGGGCGAGGAGCCAGTACCCACTGCACCGCCCCCCTCCTCCAAGAGGTTTCCGTGGCCGCAGCACCCCCTCCCCAAGCCTAGCAGTGCGGGAGAGAGGGAGACAGCCCAGGGGGCTGTCTTGGGAACCCCTCCCCTCACCCCAGAGCCCAGGGCCTGGCCAGTCCATTTACTGCAGGGTCCCCCAGAGCCTGGGGCCCTGCCCAGAGGGGCTCCTGCAGCCTCGCTGTGGGGGCAGCTGCCCACCTCCTACCTGCCCATTTACACGCCCAACGTGGTCATGCCTGTGACCTCACTGCCAGCCACCTCCTGTCCCCAGTGCCCACCCTCCAGCAGCCCAGCCTACTGGGGTGTGGCCCCCGAGACGCGAGGCCCCTCAGGGATGTTCTGGGACCTGGATGCCCTCTTCCAGGGGGTGCCGCCTAACAAGAGCATCTATGATGTCTGGGTCAGCCACCCCCGGGACCCAGCCACCTCTGCTCCAGGCTGGCTGCTGTCCTGGTACAGCCTGTGATGGTCCTGGGGCAAGAGCTGCCCAGCCCCACCCCCCCCAGCCCACGGCCAGCCCCCCAGGCTCCACGCGTCAGGAATCCATGTTGCGGGTCAGGCCTGTTTTATTAGGGCGCCAGGAGGGCGCACCCTGGCTGTCCTACCCCGCCCAGGACCAGCCCAGGAGGGCAGGGCCAGTGGCCCTCAGCCCCAGGAGTGCACTATCACAGCTCTCCTCACTGGCTATGGAGTGGGTCCCACCGGCCCTTGGGTCAGCACCTTTTTGGGAAAAGGGGGAGGGGTGAGTTCTGGATCCCACCTAGCAGGGAGGGGCAGTAAAGGAATTTTACAACATGAGAGCAAGCGGCAAGCCTGACTTTGGGGGCGGGGTGGTGACTTGGGCAGCTGCTGGGCCAGCACTGGGGCCTGGCCCCTGGGGTTCTGCCAGCCCCTGCTGGGCTGTGATAAGGACAAATGGTGATAAGGAGGGAGCCTGTCGCCTGTGGCCTCCTGGCTGCCCCCTCCCCATCCATGACACTAGCTGGGGGCAGGGCCCCGGCCCCCAGGTCAAAGGTTGTGCCCTCCGAGTTTGGGTGGGGTGACTCTGCCAGCAGAGGTGTACCCTCAGACACTCAGGCGAGGCTGCCACCCTCTCCTGGTGTCAGGGCCGAGCTGGGGCTGGGAGGGCTGCCTGCAGGCGGTGTGGGGGTGAGTGCAGTGTCCGTGCTGAGCGACGAGGGTGTCCCGGGACGTGGTGTCCTGCGGCGCCGGGCCGGACCCAGCTCCACCTGGCCCACTCTCTCTGCGAACTTGAGTGAGCACACCGTCTCCCCGAGGTCCTCTGGCCGCGTGGAGATCTACGGAGGGATGAGGAGGACGGCTGGTGGCTGGTGGGCTGGCCCAGGTCGGCTGCCTCCCGCACACGGATGGCCCCCAGCGCCCCACCTGCAGCAACAGCACCGCCGTGGTGCCGGGACCCAGTGCCGGTTGCAGCAGGCGAGTGAGCTGCGAGTCCCGGAAGGGCACGTGCGGCCTGCGGGCCCGCAGTGCGGCCATCACGCCGCCTAGTGCCAGCAGTGAGCGGTTGATGGTCTGTGCCTCCCGCAACCTGCGGGCACCTTCTGGGTCTCCCCGCTGAGCTCCCGCCGCTGCTCCCGTCTTCCAGGCGCGCTCCGAGCCTGCCAGGTCCACCAGGTGCAACGTGCCTGCGGGGAGGAGTACAGGCCATGGAGAGGGCGGCACCTCCAGCCTGCCAGCGGCCTGCTGGGCTCCAAGGCCCTCAGAGGTACCTGCAGTGCCGGGGGCGCACGGCGGAGACAGGGTCAGCGTCACCAGGGCATGGGAGCGGGAGCTGTGCTGGTTCATGGCGGTGGCGGCTGTGGCCCGGTTGCTCCTCCCAAGGCTGAGCATCTGGAGCGTGGGCAGGGAGGAGAGAGCTCCCTGGGTGCCTGGGCCATGAGGGACGGGGCCAGAGGTCTCCTGGACAGCCTTACCTGGTGCAGTGTCTCCAGGTTGGGCACGTCCCACCGGGTGAGGCCGGCCACCTGCACCCCTCCCTGGCCAGCTGGGCCCTGCCGCACTGCCAGGCGCTCTGGGGGCCCAGGGGCCAGCAGGTCCCTGGGGAGAAGGGGCTAGGGCTAGGCTCGGAGGGAAGGGCAGGCCACCGGGTCTGAGAAGGGATGGTGAGGAGCTGCCCCCATCTGACCTGACCGCTTCATTGTAGATCTCCACCATGCTGAGGGTCACACGCTGCTGCCCTCCAGCTCCCATCTCCTGGAACAGCGACTGCAGTGCCCTGGGAGCTATGCCAGGGTCCTCAGGTGGGCCCTGGGGACAGGCAGGTGCCACGCTGGGCTCATTGGCAAGCCCAGCAGCCCCCATCCCCAGGAGCCCTGAGGCCTCTCGTAGCCACCTCCATGCTATAGGTCTTCCCAGTTCCCGTCTGGCCGTAGGTGAAGATGCAGACGCTGTAGCCATGAAGACAAGACAGGACTGCTGGTTCTAGCTCCCTGAAGACCTGGAGGGGCAGGGCAGGGGGAGCAGGTCCTGAGCCCTGTCTCAGGTGGGGTGGGGCAGGACTGAGGTAGTAGGGAGAAGAGACGAGGGCCACCATGCAGGCACATTGAATGCCAAGGCATGGAGGGGGGACCCAGCGCTGACCCCCCACCAGTTGCCACATTGTCCCCCATTAGACCGGCTGGCAGCAGAGCTGAGTATGTGCCACTGCCAGCTCTGTGCCCAACGGGGTCCCTGCCTGCTGGTGTGCGAGCGACAGTGGCCCAGCGTGTGTCCTTAGGGACCCCTCACAGCCAGAGATGGGGCAAGGGAGCGCCACTGCCTTCCCTCTGGCCTGTGGCCAGCCCTGCCACTGTAGCCTACACAGCCTCCTCAGTTTCTGGGGACATGAAACTTGCATCCTTGGCCTGCCCTGTCAGATCCCTGCCCTCCTGGGTGGAAACCAGTCTCTGAGGGAGGGCCAGGACAGACGAAAGGAAGACGGCCAGCACCTCCTCCTGGCTGGCATCAGGAGCAAAGACCCAGTCCAGACGGAAGCAGCGCTGGCGACCTCTGTAGCAGGTGGTGACGGTGCCCCTGCGGCCAGGCTCCACGCTCACCAGGTGGGATGGCGCCCCCGGCCTCAGTCGACACAGCAGCCGGATATTCCCTGCACGGAGAGCGGGACCATGGACTCCTGGCCAGCTCCAGGCCGCCTGGCCTGCCCCCCACCAAGCCTTCCCAAGCCAGCCATACCCCTGAGCTCCAGCAGTCGCCCTGGGCATCCGGCAGGGGGCCCTGGCTGCCCCTCAGGGAGCTGAGCTCCAGCTTCTGTGGCTGACAGCGCACCCAGGGCCCAGGTCACCTGAGGAAATGGGATGTGAGGAAGGCAGAGGAGCAGCCTGGCAGCCACCACAGGGCCCCAGGGCTCCCAGGACAAACAGGATGATCATTGCCTCTTCTGGGGTTCCCAGCACCAAGAGACCCACTGTCTCCAGCCTAGCCCAGGACACAGGGAGCTGAGGAGCACGGTGGCCTGTGGCCATCCCGCTCTCGGGACTGGCAGGGACAGGCAGCAGGTTCCCTGGGCTGCTGGTGGGCAAGGGTCCTGACCTGGCCACGGGCCTCGCTCAGGGAACCCTGGCAGCTCTGGGCGAAGGTGCTGACCAGTCCTCTGAGGTCCCCGCAGCCCTGGCGCAGACCGGCCATGCGTGCCCGCAGTCCTGGAGGGGAAAGGCTGTTTGGAAGGGAAGCCCAGGCCCCCCCGGGGTCTCCCTGCCCCACCCCACCGCACCCCTACCTGCGAGCTGCTCCTGCACCAGCCGCAGCTCCCGCCTGCAGTTCTGCTCCGTCTCCTGCTGCAGCTGCTGGAGGGCCCCTCGGAGGCCCTGCAGCTGCGCCTCCTGTGCCCCCAGCTGCCCGCCCCGCCCCGGCCCTGTCACTGAGGAGGCAGGCCCTCGCCAGGTCCTGCCTGAGCCCCCGTCCCCAGGTCCCATACCCACCTGAACACGGAGGGCTTCTGTGGTGTCCTGGGCCTCCTGCAGCCGCCCCTGCAGCTCCCCCAGAGCCTGTGCCGCCTCCTGCTACAGACAAGGTGAGCAGCAGGAGCCCCAGCACCTGTGCTGCCCATGGCAGAGGTCATGTGTCCCTGCTGCAGGTGCTCTGGCATGCGCCTGCCAGCCATCTAGGGCCCAGAAGGTGAGGCCGCTGAGTACCTGGGGGGCTCGGGCTGGGGGACTGGCACCCCAGTGCAGGAGTAATTCCCGAGCCAGGCTCAGGCAACGTTTCAGGGCCTCGTTCTCCACAGTGAGGTGCTGCACCCTTTTCTCAGAGTCTGTCGCTGCCTGGTGGAGAGGGAAGCCCACAGACTTGGGGGGCTGTGCAGATAGCACCCCCCACCATCTTCCTGCACAGCCCCCCATGCCCCTCCCTGCACTGGCAGCTCCTTCTCGTGGCACAGCCGGGTGGGACTGGCCTCACCTGCCCGAGTAGGAAGTGCTCCAGGTGCTGCCAAGCCCGTTGGTCTTCATCCAATTCGGCCTCACCTCTGGTCACCTCCCCTGGCCCCGGGGCAAGGTGAGAGGGGCCTTCCTGTGCGGGCAGGGACCCTGTAGCAGGGGGTGGACCCAGGTCAGCACTCTCAAGTCTCCAGATCCAAGGATGCCACCCCCGACTTCATGCCCTTCGCACATGCTCCAACTTACCATCCGGAGGGGGGGCTGCCTGTGGCGCCTGCAGCAAGGCCTGCCTTCCCCTGGGACTCCGAATCCAAGTCAGGAGGGCCAGGAGCTGACTGGTCACTGTCCACAGCGCAGGCATCTCGCCGGGCTGCAGGGGGCAAGACTAGGTCAGAGAACTGCAGGGCAGGTGCGTGGGCGCCCTGGGGGGTAAGGGCACACGCTCGCTCACCTGGCCCGGGTCCGAGGCTGCCCCGCAGCTGTCCTCCGGCCCCAGCTGTGCCGCCAGGAATTCGGCCAGCCGCGTGAGGGCCTCCTCCAGGGACACTGTGGCTTGGGGGCGCTCGGCCCCAGCCTCGGGCTCATCTTCGGCTTCTGGGCAGCCTGAGCAGGTACGGAGGGGGCGAGTGATGGGGAGCCATCCACCGGCACCCCACCCGACCCCCGTCCAGTGCGGGCGCAGCGCTCCACCTACCGGCCAGGCCGCTCAGCTCGGCCCAGAGCTCCGGCGCCAGCTGGCTGGGGCGACGGCGACCCGCGCACTCGCCATCCGCTGCCTGGTTGCGGGGCAGGGGGCAGCAGGGGTCGCGCTGACCACGGGCAGCCTGCGGAGCCCCTCCCTCCAGGGCCCGGGCGTGCGAGCCACCCGTGCGTGGGCGCCAGGGACGCAGTCCGCTCACCTGGCCCGGGTCCCCCGTGGCCGCCCCACCATCCCTGCGGAAGAGGCTGTAGAAGATGTAGATAAGCAGCGAGTAGAAGGCGTACATGGGAGCGCGGGGCGGCCCAGGGCCCCGCGTCCCCGCGCCGCGGCTCCGCACCGCCCGCCGCAGCGCCCGTGCGCATGCTCGCCGCGGCCGCCCCCACGGGCGGAGGGCGCCGGGGCGGGTGTGGGCTCCGGGGGTCCCGGACAGGTGTCCTGCAGCGCGCGTGGGGCGACCCGCTTTCCTCGCGCTTCCGGCCAGCGCCTCCCGACCCCCGAGTGGCGGAGGGCGCCATCCCGGCCCCCGCACCTGCTCCAGCCCGCTCTCCGCCAAGGGAGACGCCCGCTAGGCCCGGCGTCCAGGAACCCGCGGCCCCCGGGTGAGCCCCCCGTCCCGTGCCCCTGTGCCCCGTGCAGGCCCGGCCCTCCCGCCCGGCCGTCCCAGGCTCCGCCCCTGTCGCCGGCCCGACCCCACGGCGAGCTCGGAGGACGCGCCTGGCGGGGCAGGGGGGGACCCGGGAGCCGCCGCCGCACGGATCCCCGGCCCACGGCCACCGGGCTGCAGGACCGCGCGTCACGCCTTCCCCTTCCGCACAGGTGCGTGCAGCGGCCCAGCCCACGCGGCCGCCTGGTGATGGGGGTCTAGTACGCAGCCGCCTTGCAGAGCCGCCCCAAGCGCCCTATGGCCATGGCCCTCGCCCCCGAGCCGGGGCCCGACTGGAGCGCAGCCCTGTCCCAGCTGGTGCTCGCAGCGGTGTCCCTGCACGCGGCCGTGCGCTCCGCCCCGGTGAGTAGCAGGCCGGGCAGGGTCACCTGTGCGCTTCCCCCAAGGAGCGCCCCCCCCCCCGTCCGGAAGCCGAGTGGGGCCCCACTCCTGGCCGGTAGGGGCTGGGTTGGCTGGGGCAAGTGGGGTGCCTCTGGCTGTCGCCCCTGACGTGTCCACCCTCCCCCTGTGTCGGCAGGCCAGTCGCGGGGCAGCTGCCGGCTTCCTGCTGCAGGCCTTGGCCGCCACATGCACGCTGGCGCCGGGACTGCGGACGCGCGAAGACTGTCCGTCCGGAGCCTGGGTGGCCACGGTCATCGGCCTGCCCCTGCTGGCGTTCGACTTCCACTGGGTGAACGGGGACCGCTCCTCCGCCAACCTGATGCTGGGCGCAGGCATGGCGCTGGCGGTGGCGGGCGAGCACCTGGGCCCCGAGGGCTGCTCCGTGGCGGGGCAGGCGGTGCTGCTGGTGGTGGCCGTGACCATCGCCATCGTGGCCGTCTTCACGGCCAACACCTACGGCGTGTGGGGCGGCGCCCTGCTGGGGGCGGCCGGCCTGCTGAGCAGGCTGGACCAGGACGGGCTGCCGCTGCCCAGGGGGGACGCGTGCCGCTGGGCTCTGGCCGCAGGCAGCTGGGCCTACTGCCGGGCCCTGCGCACTCAGCGCTTGCAGTGGGAGTGACGGCTGCCCGGCTCGGGCAGGACGAGGACGTGCATCCAATAAACCTGAGCGTGTTAGCAGGAGTCTGGAATCGGCCCGTTCTTGGGGAGGCCCGGGAGCGCGGGGCGCGTCGGCCAGGGCCTCGGCGGGCGCGGGAGGGCCACACCGCGACCGTCCCCGGGGTGAGCGCAAGGCTCCGAGGAGGGCGCCCCTGCTCCCCGCGGGCCACCCCGACCCCGGCCCCCGCGGGCCACCCCGAACCGGCCCGGCCCGGGGACACAATGGCGCGGCGCCCGGAGTCCGCTCCGCAGGGGGCGGGCCCTCCGCCGCCCGCGCGCGCCCATTGGCGCAGGCCGCCGCGCCGCCGCGGGCCCGGCGGCGCTCCTATTGGCTGCGCGCGCGCCCACGTGACCCGGAGCCCGCGGGGGCGGCGGCGGGGGAGCGCGCAGCGAAAACAAAGATGGCGGCGGCGCCGGGGCCGGCGGCCGGGGCGGCTGCGGGGAGACGCGCGGCCCGGGCCCTCTGAGCGGCGCGGCGGGAGCGGGCGGCGGGGCGCGGCGGCGGCGGGAGCGGCGGGAGCGGCGGGAGCGGCGGGAGCGCGCGGCGCCCCGACTTCCAGCCGCGGGAGCGCGCCGGCAGCCGCCCGCCGGGCCGGCCGGCCGCGATGTCCGGCGCCGAGGAGGCCGGCGGCGGGGGCGGCCCGGCCGCGGGGCCCGCGGGCGCCGTGCCGGCCGGGGTCGGGGCGGCCGCGGGGCCGGCGGCGGCGCTGGGCGAGGCGGCGGGGCCCGGGCTCCCGGACGAGGCCGGCGCCCGGCAGCTGCAGGACGCGGCCGGCGACCCCGACGCGCCGCCCAAGAAGCGGCTGCGGGCGGCCGAGGCCGAGGCGGCGGCGGCGGGCAGCGGGAAGCTGGAGGAGCGGCTCTACTCGGTGCTGTGCTGCACCGTGTGCCTGGACCTGCCCAAGGCCTCCGTGTACCAGGTAGGGCCGCCGGCCCGACCCCGCCGGCCCCGCAGCCACACCCCCGTCCGGCGAGGCCCGAGTGGGCGGCCGGGGAGACCTGCGGGTCCGCGGCCGGGGAGACGTGCCGGCCCGCACCTGCCAGCGCCTCCGGACAAGGCCGACTCGGCTCCGACTGCCTGCAGAGCCCCTCCCTCCAGGACCCGAGCGTGCACCCCCGCCTGGCCCTTCGGTGCCGCCGGCTGCAGCCCCCGCGCCCCGGGCCTCTGCGCTGGCCCGAGGACCCCCGGGGCGGGCGGGGGTGGACTGCGGCATCCTCACCGAGCTCCTGGGCAAGGGGGCAGGGAGTGCCAGGAGAAGGCCCACCACCACGCGGGGTGCTGGCTCCGGGGGAAGCCACCCGCCTGGGCCAGGGCCCCTCTGCTAAGCACCCTCCAGGCTCTGCCACCCTCTCCTCCCTCCGCCCTGTTTTCCTCAAGCACCTGGACCCGAGGCAGTCGGAGGGAGGCGTGTGTGATTATGGGGGACCTTGGGCAGCGCCAGAAACCTGTTCTGGCTGCTGGCAGATCCGCGAAGTAATATGGGGCTTGGGAGGGAGTGGTGGTTGTGTGGTACACTGGTAGGGCAGCTCTCTGCTGTGTGCAGTGGCCGGGAGCGGCCCCCACTGACCAGTGTCGTCCCTCGTCTTCCACTTGCCATGGCTGCTGGGCTGGATTGAGGCGTGTCAGTTCAGGGTCAGGTCTGGACCCGTGTCCAGCCCTGGGCTGACGGCAGCAGGCGGGTGGCCATGCCTGGGCTGCTGAGGTGCATGGCCACTCGAGGGTGTCACCTGTGCTGGTGGAAGGAGTTGTGGGGTACCACTGGGCCTGCCGCCCATTTCCCCAGTTGACATGGTGGTGTGACTAGAGTTGGGAGCCTTTCTCAGTCCTCAGGTGGCCATGGCCGCCAGGGCCTGCATCTCCCAGTCAGGCTGCGTGGTGGGTGCTAGCTTGGGTTCTGTGTGTGGGCACTGGGCTGTTCTGGGGGAGCGGCACCATCCAGACTCCCAGGTACTCCAGCTGGAGCTGGTCTGCTCCTCATCTCTGCTCAGCTCTGCTCAGCTCTGCTGGCCTGGTACTGCCCCCAGGGTAGAGTGTGGCTGCCTGCCCATGTAGTCATGGAAGGGGCCCCAAGATTCCTGCCCCTCACAGGGCCTTCTTAAGGGTAGGGTGGGTCTCAGAGCACCTCCGTCCCTCTGTGGACCGTGCGTGGTCCAGCCTGGGTGATGTAGCTGCATTCCTGTTGTCACTCCTGCATCTCCTCTGCCTGGGTCCCCGTGTTATCCAGCTGAGCCACACCCCTTCTGGAGGCCTCCTCTCCCTGCTATAGGCCCTTGACACCTTGGACCTCCGTACAGGGGCCCGTTACCTGACAGGCAGGACCTGTACCCCAGGGACCCCATGGGCCCCTCCTTCAGCTCTCAGGCAGCAGCGCATGGCAGGGTTCTGGACACGGCTGCTTTGGCATCTGACTGGGACGTGGCAGGAGAGGCGGTGTCTGTGGCAGCTTGATGGGCTGCGTGGCCAGCAGATCCAAGTGGTGAGAGGCCTGCTGTTGGGGCCTGAGGACAGCAGACCCTGTGGTCAGCACCCCAGACCTCTCCGCTCACAGGACCTGGGAGTGCTCCACAGTAGACAGGCTCACTGGCCCCTAGTGGGTGTGAGGACTGCACAACCTGTCAGACTATGCCAAGCCAGCAGTGCTGAGAGATGGCTGCTCAAGGCTCCTCACGTTTGAGCCTGTGGAGACCCTGGTCAGAAGCAGGCTGGGCACATGAGCCCCATGGTGGCAGTCTCAGCTGTGGCTACCACACCTTGTCCCACCTGGACAGCCCTTACTGTGTCCTCTTTGAGGCCACCAGCTGGGGAGGGACGGCACTGATGCTGGTGCCCTGGAGGCGAGCCCGTGCTGATTCCAAGTATCCAAGCTGGGAGACTGGTAGATAGAACAGGCTAGCCTGTGCTGTGTGCTGAAGTCTCCCGGGGCCCAGCTTCTGGCTCAATAGTGGCACAGTGTGGGCAGCTGGGGTGTGGCCCAGGCAGTAGGTATGAGCTGCCCTGTGGTGGACAGTGCGCATGATCACCAGACCACTGGTGGGGGCTGTGTGTGGGCTTGAGTGGCGGGTGTACGTGGAGGCCCCTGCCCCCGTGAGGGCCCTGTGTTCCATTCTGGTCTGGTTGCACTGCCTGGAAGTGCCACAGCACCAGGCTACAGCTGGGAGGGGCCTACCAGGCGGTCCTGTCCACTTCTGTGGTGCACAGATGGCCAGCAGCAGTGCGTCCCAGGACAGCATGGCCACCGCTGCTCCCCATGGACACTTCTGTGGACGGAGGAGGATGACCTCCCCGCTTCTCTCCTGTGCTGGACAAACTGCAGCCTGTCCCAGCCTTGCCAGGATCAGCCAACCCAGTGTGCCAGGCTGGCACTGGCCAGCACCTGCAGCCTGGACCCAGCCAGCTCTGGGTTAGGGTTCATGCAGGCTTGAGGCCCCCAATCCCACCAAGAGGCCTAAGCAGACCCTGGGGTTGGGTCACAGTGTTGGGGGTCCCCTGGCTTAGGAAACTGCAGGGCTTCTCTGGGGGCTTGTGTACAGACCCCTCCCCGACACCTGTCAGCCTGGGCAGGCCCCCACTATGCTGCACCCTGTCCTTGGGGACGCTGGACCCCAAAGGAAACATGAAGTGTGGGGGCCTTTCCAGAGCCTTCAGCCCACAGGGCTCTGGCCCCTTCAGGCTCCCTGCCCCAGGTTTTCTAGCCCCAGCTGGGTTTCCGTCTGTTGATGTATCTGGTTCCTGTCGCTTGCCATGAGCTCCCATGTCTGAGTGAGCAGCCCCAGCAGGAGCCCAAGCTCTTACCCCTCCTGTTACCGTTCTGGTCCAGCATGGCCTCCTTCTTGAGACCCCTGTCAGAGTGATACTACACAGGGCTGAGTTATAGATGGGCCAGGGGGCCAAAGTGCTCAATGGACTTGTGCCTGCCTCAGCTGGGGGGCTGTGTCCACCCTCACTAGACAGCCAGTACCCCTGCTTCCTGTCAGAAAGTCAGTCGTTTGTAAGGAGGTCCCCAAGCCAGGGTCTTGGGAGAAAACCAGACTCCAAACATTGGTGTGAGCAGGCCAGTCACCTTGAAGAGTGGAGATCTCTGGGTGCAGCTGCCCTGGCTTGGTCCCTCCCCAGCAGCTGTCTGCACTTGCTGGTGCCCTGGCGACCCAGGAGAAGAGGCTCCTGCTGGCCGGCAGGAGCCCTCCGGATGGCTGAGCCTGGCCGCAGTTCCATCTTCTTTTCCTTCTTCACAGTGTACTAACGGTCACTTGATGTGCGCTGGCTGTTTTATCCACCTACTAGCAGATGCCCGGCTGAAGGAGGAGCAGGCCACCTGCCCCAACTGCCGCTGTGAGATCAGTAAGAGCCTTTGCTGCAGGAACCTGGCCGTGGAGAAAGCCGTGAGCGAGCTGCCCGCAGAGTGTGGCTTCTGCCTGCGCCAGTTTCCTCGCTCCCTCCTGGAGAGGCACCAGAAAGAGGAGTGCCAAGACAGGTGACCGGGAGGGCCGGGGCGTGCCAGAGAGCCAGCACGGGTGACTGGGAGGGCCGGGGAGTGCCAGAGAGCCAGCATGGTGATCGGGAGGGCTGGGGGAGCCAGAATGAGTGACTGGCTGCGTGGACCGAGAATTGGGCTTGAGGATCATCTGAGCAAATGCAACCCTTGCCATGGTTCCCATGGTCATGGGCCTGGGGCAGCAAAGCCAACTCGGGAGCCCTCAGCCAGAGGGTCCAAGACTAAGCGGGGTCCCACACTACCATGGCAGCCACTTATGCTGAGCAGAGGCGCTGGCCCAGACCCTGCCAGCTTCATCCTGACGTCTGTCCATCTCCCCCGTTGGAATGGAGTGAGGCTCACAGCTGAGTCTTCTCCTGGGTGAGAGAGGCCATCCTGGACAACAGCTGGATGTGGGTGCTGGTCCTGGGAAAGGCCCTGACTGCATGCCACCTCCCCCAGGGTGACACAGTGCAAGTACAAGCGCATCGGCTGCCCATGGCACGGTCCCTTCCACGAGCTGACCGTGCACGAGGCTGCATGTGCCCACCCCACCAAGACGGGCAGCGAGCTGATGGAGATCCTGGACGAGATGGACCAGAGCCACCGCAAGGAGATGCAGCTCTACAACAGCATCTTCAGCCTGCTCAGCTTTGAGAAGATCGGTTACACAGGTGAGGCCCCACACAGGTGTGGGGGCGGGCACTCTGGGCCAGCTGCTGTCCTAGGCTGCCTCCTCCCAGAACAAAGACAAGCTTACAGTTGAGCAGGCAGAGGGACTGGGCAGGACCCCAGGGCTCGCCAGAGCCTCCCCACCCCTCCTCAGCGAGGCAGGCCATTCCATCTGCTCCCGAATAGGTTGCTATCGGGCCTGGAAGCCGGAGACAGGGTGAGCACCCGGTCCAGCCCAGGTCCAATGTCTGGGCAGTCAGTGCAGCAGCCACTCCTGTGGTAAGACAGAAGATGTTGAGGGAAAGCCCCATTGAAGTGGAGGGTGCCCAGCTCCTGAGGTAGAACTGTGGCTGTCCAGTGGGCATATGACACAGGCCCTCTAGACCTCATGGCTCCCAGGCCACTGCTACCACCTTTGACTGTGCTGGGAGACAGCACCCAGGTCAGGCCCTGGCACAGAGAACAGCAAGAAGCACCTGCTGACCCTGGGACACTCGGGGAGACCGCGTCCCTCCACTGCTCAGCGTGCCAGGCTGGCCGCGGGCAGCCAGTCCCACCACCTGCTGACCTGCAGCAAGGCATGGGCCTGGGTGGGCCTCAGAGGCCAAGGCTGGGGTTGGTAGCAGCCCTGGCTATCCTGCAGGATGTTATGGTGCCTGCAGTCCACGCCAGGCCTTGAGGCTCTGGGAGGGCTGGAGCACATGGCTGTTGTCAGGGGCCAGGCGGGAAGCCCCGTGTGTGCAGGAAGGACTGGCTGCCGGGCAGCGAGCCCACACCTCCTCGGAGGGACTTGCCAGCCTCGGCTGCGGGCAGCAGGAGAGGACTCTGCAGAAGCAGCCTCCAGACCTGGCCCGAGCCCATGGAGGCTGCTCCCCTGGTGGGGCTGCACGCCACATACCTGCCCATCCACCTGCCCGCCCACCCACCGGCTTTTCTGGCAGCTCTGTATCAGAACCAATAAAGTGCACTTGTTCTCGGAACCGCATTCTGTGTGTGTGTGTGCTTGCCCCGCCCCTGCGGGCCCAGGGCAGGGGAAGGAGGAGGCCCGTGTGCTCTCGCAGCCTCCAGCCCTCTTCCACTAACACGTGTCCATTCTGTTTGTAGTTGTCGCCCCCACTTGGCCTGAGGGTGTTACATCCTGGCTGGCCCACACTGACGGCTGGCCCTCCTGGTCCTGTCTCTCTGCAGAGGTCCAGTTCCGGCCGTACCGCACGGACGACTTCATCACACGCCTGTACTACGAGACGCCGCGGTTCACGGTGCTGAACCAGACGTGGGTGCTGAAGGCTCGCGTGAACGACTCGGAGCGCAACCCCAACCTTTCGTGCAGGCGTACACTGTCCTTCCAGCTGCTGCTCAAGAGCAAGGTCACGGCGCCGCTCGAGTGCTCCTTCCTGCTGCTCAAGGGCCCCTACGATGATGTGCGCATCAGCCCTGTCATCTACCACTTTGTCTTCACCAACGAGAGCAACGAGACGGACTACGTGCCCCTGCCCATCATCGACTCGGTGGAGTGCAACAAGTTGCTGGCTGCCAAGAACATCAACCTGCGGCTCTTCCTCTTCCAGATCCAGAAGTAACAGCGGGACGGCCGCAGGCGCTCGGGACTCAGCTTTTCTTTTCCTTTTTTTTTTTTTTTTCTTTTTTTTTCTTTTTTTTTTTTTTTTTTTTTTTTTTAGGAGAAGGAGTGCGTAGGCAAGCACCAGCCTGGGCCGCCTGCATGTCTGCGCAGCAGGAGTCCTCGCCCAGTGCCCTGCCTCGGAGGACCCACCGGGCCTGGAGGACTCGGCGTGTTTGATTGCATTAAAAAGGCAGCCTTGTTTCCTACTTGCTGTTTTGTTGGCGGGGAAAAGCAAGGCAAGAGTGATGGCAAGGACAGCAGAACGCCCCCAGCCCCCATCCTTGCCACCGCACTTGTGTGCCCTGCCCTGCCCCCAGAAAGACTCAGAGACTGCCTGCCCTCCAACACCGCTGGGGGCGTCCCTGAGACCCCCCAGGGAAGTCGGAATGCAGGGTGAGATTGGGGGAGAGGATGCGCAGGCTGAAGGGTCAGGGCCTGCTGGGTCAGCCTCCAGGGCCCAGCACTCCAGACTAGGGGTCCTGCCCTGGGGACCGTCCCACCTTCTGTGCAGTGGCTGGGGCAGGGCCACGGCCTGGAAGGCTGGTCTGGGGCCCGCCTTTGCCCTTGACCCTTACAGCTTCTAGGAGGGGCATAGCCCAGCCCACCGTGCTTTGTATAGATGTGACCGCTTGTTGCCACAATACCAAAGAACCCATTTTGTCTGCCCTGCCAAGCCACCCAGGAGCCTGATCCCTGCTTCCCGCCAGGGCCTGGCACCCCTGTGCCCTGTGGGACCTGAGCCAGGGGAAGGAGGCACTGTGGGCTGGAGTCTGCTCACTTCCCCGTACAGGGTAGTAGGCTGGGGCCCTTCTGCTCCAGGCCTGCTGTGAGCTCCCAGCCAGAGTGAGGGGCCCAGGGCCACCTGCTGGTCGACCTTCTGCACACCCTTGGGCTTGGGTACCTCCAGGGGGCATTCCACTGTCTGCTCCCACTCCCACCCCACAGCAGAGGTGTGGCACCCTTGTGGACGCACAGGGCAGGAGTGGATGGGGAGGGCTTATGTGCACCCACTTTAGGGGTATGCAACATGCTGATTGATCCCCGGGAAAGAGGTTCCTGGAGAGGTGCAGCTGGGGTGGGTGAAGCAGGAGCGGGGAGCCCGGAGAGGGCACAGCTCTGCACAGATGAGCATGCCCAGGACTGCCAAGGTAGGGCCCCAGGGAGAAGAGAGGCTGCAGAGTAAAGGGGTTGCCCACGGACACGTGGAAGGCAAGGGCAGCACCCTTGCGTATGTGCCAGGGGTCTGCCTGGAGCTGTGCACATGTGCTGAACCATCCAGCCTGGGAATTCTGGGTCCCTGGGGCAGCTGCCTACAGACCTGTGCAGCAGCATCACCCTGGGCCTAGGTCACCCTGGTTCTCGTTGCCAGGTGCCATCACCTCTGTCCCATGGGCCAGGCCACCCAAAGTGACGTTTTCAGACAATAAAGTGGTTTTCTAAGGAGCGGAGCAGGAAGTGTGTGTCCCTCTGTTGGCTAAGGAGCGGAGCAGGAAGTGTGTGTCCCTCTGTTGGAGTTGGCGTCCCGTCACGGGCCCAGTATTTGCAGGTGTTTTCTGTATTGGACTGTAGTAGAAGAGAGAGTTGCAAACCACTGTCTCCCGTCCTTACCGGAAGGCAGCCCATTTTCCAGCCACTATACCCTGCTTCTCCCTGCTTCTGCCCCGCTCCTCACAACCCCCTTGGGCCCTTCCTGAGGCTGCCACCGCTCACAAGCCCTCCGAGTGCCCACCTTGGTAGCATGGCCATCCTCCTGTGGGGAATGGGTAGGTGATACGGGCCAGCATTCTATTCTCCCTTTTTTTTTTTTTAAGATTTTATTTATTTATTGAAAGTCAGATATACAAAGAGGAGGAGAGACAGGAAGATCTTCCGTGCGATGATTCACTCCCCAAGTGAGCGCAACAGCCAATGCTATGCCGATGCAAAGCCAGGAGCCAGGAACTTCCTCCGGGTATCCCACACAGGTTCAGGGTCCCAAAGCTTTGGGCTGTCCTCCACTGCTTTCTCAGGCCACAAGCAGGGAGCTGGATGGGAAGTGGAGCTGCCAGGATTAGAACTGGCGCCCATATGGGATCCCGGGGCGTTCAAGGCGAGAACTTTAGCTGCTAGGCCACGCTCACCAGCATTCTCTTAAGACAATTTATTTGCAAGGCCAAGATTGGGAAGGAAAGACAAAGACATACTCTCTGGTTTGCTGCCCAAGGAGCCATGATGGAGCCAGGAGCCTGAGGTCACCCACACGAGTGCAGAGGCCCAGGCACTTGAGCCCTCCTCTGCTGCTTGCCAGCTGTGTAAGTGGGGAGCTGGGTTGGAACTGACACGCAGCTGTGACATCCCAGTGAGGAGGGCAGCCGCTGCCAGTGCCAGGCTTGTCCCACATCCCAGACCCAGCTGACAGCCTCGGTCTGATTCCCTTCCTCCCACACCCAGGAAGAGGCTTGGAGGTGCTAAGGCCTGGATGGCCCAGCTGGGCCCTGTGCCAAGAGGCCAGCACTTGCTGCCCTCAGTCTGGGCCTGGGCACCCTCCCTGCCCCATCCCACACCCACAGGCCCTGTAGTCTGTCCGTCAGCGGCCTCTGCTGATCACTGCAGTGGCAAACCTGCTTGTCCCATCCTGCAGAGCAGCCTCAGTGGACTCTGCACCAGCTGACCCAGCGGCCTAGATGTAGGACTGACCAGCCTGTGGGAGCTGCTGTCCTGGGAGGAGACGTTGGTGAAGACAGTGCAGGAACAACGCCCACATGCAGTGGGGGCAGAAGTGCGGTCTGCTCCGCTTCATCACCAGCATCCCATGGAGGTGCTGGTTCGAGTCTCGGGCTGTTGCCTTTGTGACCGAGCTCCTGTTTGCAGCCTGGGAAAGTAACGAGGGTGATGCAAAGCCTTGGGACCCTGCACCCACATGGGAGACCCAGAAGACACTCCTGGCTTCAACCTGGCCCAGACTTGTCCACTGGGGCCATCTGGAGAGCGAACCAGTGGACGAACCAGTGGACGAAAGATCTCTCACTGTCTGTAATTATGTGTCAACCAAGACTTTCACTCCACATGGAACTGCAGAACAGGTTGTGTCAACTGAGTGTTCCAATGGCGGAGTTTGGGTTGGGGTCAGATGGCACTGCTCCCTGTCCTCACCTTGTGTGGGGGAGCAGGGTCAGCTGGGCCGGTACAGTGCCCCTAGAGTGGGCTGAAGGTCATTACCGGGCCAGCATCTGTACTGTGTATTGTAGGCTGGAACTTTGTTGCATCAAAAGGGGTGGAGGTGTCAAGCAGGTGGGGGGCTGCCTGCACTGCCCTCCCTGCAACAGGAAACACACAATTCTTTTTTGTAATTTTTAAGTTTTTTTTTTTTTTTAATCAGAAAGGCAGATTTACAGAGAGAAGGAAAGAAAGATCCTTCATCCACTGGTTCGCTCCCCCACAGTGGCTGGAACAGCCAGAGCTGAGCCATCCCAAGCCAGGAACCAGGAGTTCCTTTCGGGTCTACTGCACAGGTGCAGGATCCCAAGGACTTGAGCTGTACTCAACTGCTTTCCCAGGCCACAAGCTGGGAGCAGGATGGGAAGTGGAGCAGCCGGGACTTGAACTGGCACCCACATGGGATGCTGGCACTTGGAGATGCAGGATTAGCCAGTTGATCCAAAGTACCAACCCAACACTGGGAATTCTAACATGCCTCTCGGTGTTCCTGGGGTGCACCAAGGTGTGTCCTGGGCTGACCCGCAGCAGCCCCAAAACTGGACTCAGCAAGGGGGCCACGCCTTGGGCTGACCCAGAGGGCAGGGGCTCCTTCATGATGTCCCCAGGACACCCAGTGCATTGCATTATAACACTGTTGGTTCCTCTTGTGGCTAGGGTGGAACATTCCTTTTTTCTTTTTTTTCTCTCTCTTTTTTTTTTCCTTTTAAGGATTTATTTATTTACTAGTTGCCTAAAAGGCAGAGTTATATAGAGAGATAAGAAGAGAGAGCTCATGGTCACAATAGCCTAAGTTGAGCTGGCCGGAAGCCAGAAGCCTGGGCCTTCTAGGTCTCCCTCGTGGGCACAAGCGCCCAGACTTGGACCATACCTGCTGCTTTCCCAGGTGCTATGAGCAGGGACCTGGATATGAAGCGGAGCAGATGGGACTCAAGCTGGCGCCTGTAAGGGATCCTGGCATTGCAGTGGGAGGATTAGCCATTGAGTCATCACGCCCTTCTTGGAAAGTTTCGTGTGACGGCAGATGGTGTGCAGCCACGAAGTCAAGCCTGGACTGCAGGCTCCGGCGGACACGCACCCTGGGAGGCGGCGCGGGGGTCCGGGTTCTTGCCCACATTTGGGGTGACCCAGCGGACGCGGTGAGGGCATCGCTCTTGCTATCAGATAAATACAAACCCGTCCCCGCGCGCTTTAGTTTCCGCAGGACTCGGGTGCTACGGGAAGTGTCCCAGCCGGAGGCCCCAAGGTCGGCACCGCACCCCCAGCCCCGCCAGCTGCCCTCCCTGGCGGCCACCTCGGCGCCGGGCCGACCCCAGGACTTCATTTCCCAGGACGCCGTGCGCCGGCATTCCACGCCCCCGGGGGCGGCACCGGGGCGCGCGCGCCGCGCGGGAAGTCCGAGCCGGTGCTGCGGGAGACGGCGCGCGGAGCATGAGCCTGGAGCGCGAACTCCGTCGTGAGTGCCGGGGGCCCGCGGCGCGGGGACGGGCAGGGGGGCGCGGGCGGCGGCTCAGCCCTGCGCTCCTCCCTGTCGGCAGAGCTGAGCAAGGCCCAGGCCAAGGCGCAGAGGAGCGGGCAGCTGCAGGAGGAGGCCGCCTGCTGCCACCAGCTGGGCGAGCTGCTGGCCGGCCATGGTGAGCGCGGGGCGGCGGGGTCGGGCTCGGCGAGCGCGGGGCGGCGGGGCCGGGCTCGGGCAGCCGTGAACCCGTGAACCCCGCGCAGGCCGCTACGCCGAGGCCCTGGAGCAGCACCGGCGCGAGCTGCAGCTTCTGGAGGCCGCCGGCGACACCCTGGGCTGCGCTGTGGCGCACCGCAAGGTCGGGGAGCGCCTGGCTGAGCTGGAAGACTTCGAGGCCGCCCTGCAGGTGCGGAGGGCGCGGGGGGGGGGGGCCTCTGCAGGGAGGGTGGGATCCGCACGGGGTCCCAGGTAGGGGGACAGCTCCCGAGAGCCAAACCGGTGGCAAGAGTGGGACACCAGAGGCTTTTGGGGCGCACAGGGGCTCCCCTGCACAAGCAGCCCCAGGCCTGGGGCAAGTGGAGCCCAAGTGGCCCGGCCTGCCCTGTGGGCGTCCGGGGTGCCTTGACACGTGCACAGCTGTTCCTCCCGCACCAGCACCAGCACCACTACCTGGAGCTGGCCGCTGCCCTGTCCAACCACACGGAGCTGCAGCGGGCCTGGGCCACCATAGGGCGCACCCACCTGGACATCTTCGACCACGGCCAGTCACGGGAGCCCTTGCTGCAGGCACAGGCCGCCTTCGAGAAGAGCCTGGCCATTGTGGACGAGAAGTTGGAGGGTACGTCCCACTACGGGTGTTCCCAGGTCTGACCCCACGGGGAGGAGAGATGAGTGTGCCAAGGCAGCCAAGTGTGAGGGGGGCATCTTCCAGGGACCCTGACCCAGCGAGAGCTGAGCGAGATGAGGACCAGGCTCTACCTCAATCTGGGTCTCACCTTCGAGAGCCTGCAGCAGACCACGCTGTGCCACGACTACTTCAAGAAGAGCATCTTCCTGGCCGAGTGAGGAGGCCCCTGGCCACCCCGAGACCCCCAGGAGGGCTGGGCCTGTCCCCAAACCCCTACCCACCTCTCACCCCTGCCCCAGGCAGAACCACCTGTACGAGGACCTGTTCCGTGCCCGCTACAACCTGGGTGCCATCCACTGGCGCGAAGGGCACCACTCGCAGGCCATGCGCTGCCTGGAGGGGGCCCGGGAGTGTGCACGTACCATGAAGAGGCGGTTTCTGGAGAGCGAGTGCTGTTTGCTCATCTCGCAGGTATCCCTCCCTCAGCCAGGATGGGCACCTCCTCAGGAACTCCCCCCACAGTCATGGCAGGCACTGCCACACAGATATAGCCAGCTGGGACAGGCACGGCCCTCCATGGGGATGGGCATGGCCTAGGCACTGCCCAGAGCCTGCAGCCTCTCTTCTCCGGCCCCTCAGGTCCTCCAGGACCTGGGTGACTTCCTGGCAGCCAAGCGGGCGCTGAAGAAGGCCTTCAGGCTGGGCTCCCAGAAGCCCTCACAGGGGGCGGTGGTTCTCCGGAGCCTCAAACATGGTGAGCCTGACCAGCCGGGGCGGGGTACCTACAGTTGGGGCCCTCCCTTAGAGCATCCAGCTCTGGACCCGGACGCCCCCTCACAGCCCTCTCTTGGCAGTGCTGGCAGTGGTCCGGTTGCAGCAGCAGCTGGAGGAGGCCGAGGGCAGCGACCCTCAGGGTGCCATGGCCATCTGTGAGCAGCTGGGTGACCTGTTCTCCAAGGCAGGCGACTTTTCCAAGGCAGCCCAGGCGTACCAGAAGCAGGTGTGTGGGCCCCAGCAGGGCAGGGCGCAGGGGAGGGAGGCGGCTCCCGCCTCACTGTGCTGGTTCCATAGCTGCATCTGGCTGAGCTGCTGCAGCGACCAGGGCCTGAGCTGGCCGTCATCCACGTGTCGCTGGCCACCACGCTGGGAGACATGAAGCGGTACCGCCAGGCAGAGCACCACTTCCAGGAGGAGCTGAGGCTGCGGAACGGCAACGCCCTAGAGGTGAACCTACCCCTGTACTCCCCCAGGGCTCAGGCGCACACAGGCTCCCCTGGGAGGTGGGTAGCTTCCAGCAGATGGGAGGTGGGCACAGAACTGAGCCCATGCGGACGCCAGGCCAGGGCCACAGGCAGTGACACGGAGCAGGGATGCCACTGACAGCTCCTTCCTTCCCCAGGAGGCCGAGACCTGGCTAAACATCGCACTGTCCCGTGAAGAGGCTGGAGATCCCTACGAGGTGCTGGCCCCGTGCTTCCAGAAGGCCCTAGGCTGTGCCCAGGAGGCCCAGCAGCCAGAGCTGCAGGTACGGGGCCCATGCTGTTCCCACCCACACCAGGTCCTACAGTACACTCTCACTTGATCTGCACCCCACGACCTGGCCCCAAGTAATGTCCAACCAGCACTCCCTCACCCGCTGCCCCTGAGGACGTCCCCCTGACCCTGCTCTGCCCCCAGAGGCGTGTGCTGCGGCTTCTCCACGCAGTGCAGTTGAGGCTGCAGCCTCAGGAGGCCCATGCCACTGAGCTCAGACTGCAGGAGCTGGGTGTGGCTGAAGATGAGGAGGAGGAGGAGGAAGAGGAGGAGGAGGCCAGCAGAGCCTTGGAGGACAGTGAGCCTGACCTCTCTGAGAGTGGTGAGAGCTACTGTGCCACTTAGTTACGCTCTCCCCGTGGGCTGGCCCGTGAGCGGGTGCTGTGCCCAGGAGCCTGCCCTGGCCATGACCCTGGCCTTCCAGGGGACAGCCATACATGGGTGCCCAGGCTGGGGCTTAGGGCTGCACCTCTGGGCGGGGGGGGGGTGGCTGTCTGGGTGCCAGCAGGGCAGGCACATCAGAGGGCCTGGCTTTCCTGTGCAGGAGCCCAGCACAGCCATAGGGTCTTCCCAAACCAGATGGTCGGTTGCATGGGTAGAAGGTGGGACTGCCCAGCAGCAGCAGCCAAAAACAGAACTAGGGCCATGGGCTCCAGGCTGCTTTTCTGCTGAGCGGTGGTTGGTGGGAGGAGAGGAAGGCAGAGTGAGGGCTGAGGCTGTGCCAGGGCCTCCCTGGTGAGGGGCAGTGGGCGGGCTGGGCTGCGGAGAGAGAGATAGGCTAGGCGAGGGCAAGCCACACAGCCAGGAGCCCCGGGACCCCCACCCTTACGTGTGCCCTGCCCAGCTGCTGAGAGGCTGCCGGGAGGCGGGAGCTTCTTGCCCTGTACTGGCTAACCTGGGGCTGTGGGCTGGGCTGTGTTCCAGAGGACGATGTGGACAGCCAGTCCCAGCAGCCAGAGGATGAGGAGCTGCGGGGCTGTCTGGGCCGCCGGAAAGTGGACAAGGTGCGGAAGCCCCTCCCCTCGGCCCAGCTCTTCGTGCCCCTCCCCTCGGCCCAGCAGCCCTGCCCCTCATACTTCTACCCGCCCTGCGGGCTGTGCCCACAGTGGAATCGGCGCAATGACATGGGTGAGACGCTGCTGCACCGAGCCTGCATCGAAGGCCAGCTGCGCCGCGTCCAGGACCTCGTGAAACAGGTGAGCTGCTGCCTGAGGCAGACCCGGCTGGGCCAGGCTCTCTGTGCCTCGGCCTGCCTCTCCTCAGGACCCGACACCATGTCCTTGGCAGTCAGCACGGCCGTCCCTGCCTCTGCCACGCATGTTGTCCTTCCTCATGGGCCAGGGCAGGTGGGGGGCTGGGCAGCCTGCAGTGGGGGGTGATCCTAGGGCTGGCTGTGGGACCAGCGGAGGGGGCTGGACAGCCTGCAGTGGGGGGTGATCCTAGGGCTGGCTGTAGGACCAGCGGAGGGGGCTGGACAGCCTGCAGTGGGGGGTGATCCTAGGGTGGGCTGTAGGGCCAATGGTGGGACCGGGCTGTAGGACCAGCGGTGTGGGGCTAGACTGGGCTGCTTGCTGTCCTTGGTCCCAGGGCCACCCTGTGAACCCTCGAGACTATTGTGGCTGGACTCCACTGCATGAGGCCTGCAACTACGGGCACCTGGGTGAGCACGGGCAGGCCACCCCCATGGGCGGACAGAGATCAGAAGAGGTCTCGGGAGCCCAACTTCCATCCCAATCCACTCCCAGAGATCGTCCGTTTCCTGCTGGACCATGGAGCCGCAGTGGACGACCCAGGTGGCCAGGGCTGTGAGGGCATCACCCCCCTGCATGATGCCCTCAACTGTGGCCACTTCGAGGTGGCTGCGCTGCTCATTGAGCGAGGGGCGTCTGTCACTCTGCGGACCCGGAAGGTGAGCTGGACAGGGGTGGGGGCAGGGGGCCAGTGGCTGCTGTGCCCTTGCTGACCCCTGCGCCCCACAGGGTCACAGCCCCCTGGAGACCCTGCAGCAGTGGGTGACGCTGTACTGCCGGGAGCTGGACTTGGAGACCCGACAGAAGGCCGCGGCCACAGAGAGTCTGTTACAGGCCACTGCAGCGGGCCGAGGCAGGCAGGGCTGCCCTTGCCCCGGGGCTGGGGGCTGGGCCAGGGACGAGGTGCCCCTCTCATGGCCAACTCTCTCCCTCAGCTGCCGTGCAGGAGGAACCCGAAAACTCTCTGTTTGACCCTGAGGTGTCTCCTCCCTCCAGCCCCCTCCCAGAGTCACCCTCTGGGACCCCTGCTCCTTCAGAGGCCTCCCAGGCCTGCGCTGGGGGCTCTCCCAGGCGGGACGTGCCGCCGGCTGCCAGACTTCGGAGGCACCGGGCCAGGGTGGTCAGCAACAGCAGCTCAGAGGACGAGGACGACTCAGGCCGCCCCCGGCCATCGCAGAAGAGGCCTCGGCACTCTGCTTCCGAGGCGGCTGCGGCAGGGGCTGGCCGGGCAGCTTATCAGGCAGCCATGCGCGGTGTGGGCAGTGCCCAGAGTCGCCTGGGGTCTGGCCCTCGGTGTCTGGGCAGAGTTCCCCCTCCCCGAGCGGCCCTCATTCCCGAGGACGAGTACCTGGCCGGGGACTGGCTGGAGATAGACACACCCCAGGGTCACAGTCGGCAGAGCAGCCGCCCACCCCCTTGGGCCCAGAGCAGTGGGGACAGCAGGTCTGGTGCCCTGGGGGAACAGCACCCCACCCGGCCCCAGACCCAGCAGAGCCACTCGGCACAGCCCATGGGTCGGGGTGGCCCTGTGGATGCAGGAGCCGGCAACCTGACTGCTGACCCCGCGGGGCGGGGAACCCTGCTGACAGGCCAGCCCTCGGTGAGTGCAGGACACGGGCTCAGCTGGGGTCTCCCCTGTAGGGGCTGGGGCCTCTATCTTTCCTGATGGCCTGTCTCCTGCTCGCCTTAGGGTTCAGTGCCACCCCCTCCCCTCCGGGTCCGAGTTCGAGTCCAGGATAATGTCTTTCTCATCCCCGTGCCGCACAGGTGAGGCCTGCCCTGCCACAGTGGCCAGCAGTACCTGTGCAGGGTGTGCAACAAGGGCTGCTGATCCATGCACCCGCTAGGTGCCAGCGGATGGCCTGGGGTTGAAGGGCCTTGCACATACCCAAGCAGGTGTCCCCTGAGTAGGCTGAGGAGGCCCTGTTGTCCCTAGGGGTGATGGCTGGGTGAGGGAGCTGTCGGGCCCTGCACTGGCTGTCCTGGGCTCACTGTGTCCTGTGTTCTGTAGCAGTGAGGCCCCTCTGGTGGCCTGGTTGGCTGAACAGGCCGCCCAGCGCTACTACCAGACCTGTGGGCTGCTGCCCAGGCTCACCCTGCAGAAGGAGGGGGCCCTGCTGGACCCCCAAGACCCCATCCCTGATGTGCTGCAAAGCAATGACGAGGTAGGCAGTGGACACCACAGCCTGTACTGAAGGCGCGTCCATGCCGACCTGGGGGCAGCTCACCCATGGTGCTTTTCAGGTGTTGGCCGAAGTAAGCTCCTGGGACCTGCCCCCGCTGGCTGACCGCTACCGCAGGGCTTGCCAGAGCCTGGGGCAAGGTGAGGGCCCAGGGCCGGACTGGGGTCCACAGCCCATTGGGCTACGGGCTCCCCTCCCCAAACCTGTGCTATCTTGTGTGGGGTGAGCCTGGGGGATGGTGGGAAGAGGGGGCTGGCGGAGGGCAGGCTCGGGTCCTGCTGAGCCTGTGTGTCCCTCTCCATGCAGAAGAGCACCCACAAGTGCTGCAGGCTGCCGAGTGCCAGGACGCCAGCCCCTCCTTCAGTACCCACTGCCTGGCTCTGCGCCCAGCTCAGCTCACGCCTCTACTCCGAGCCCTCAAATTGCACACTGCACTCCGGGAGTTGCGCCTGGCAGGGAACCGGCTGGGGGATGGCTGTGCCGCAGAGCTGCTGGCCACCTTGGCCACAATGCCCAGTCTGGGCCTTCTCGACCTGTCCTCCAACCACTTGGGTCCTGAAGGTCTGCGCCACCTGGCCATGGGCCTCCCGGGCCGGGGCGTGCTGCAGGTAAAGGCCAGTGTGGCACCTCCCCAGGGCCAGGCCAAGGCCAAGGACGGCACGCCTCCAGGATTGCAGGAGCACCTTCTTTTCTTCTGCAGAACTTGGAGGAGCTGGACTTGAGCATGAACCCCTTGGGGGACGGCTGTGGTCAGGTGCTGGCCCTCCTCCTGCAGGCCTGCCCCTTGCTCCACACCCTGCGCCTGCAGGCCTGTGGCTTTGGCCCTGCTTTCCTTTTGAGCCCTCAGGAAGTCCTGGCAAGCACTCTGCGAGGTGAGCAGACCGGAAGTCCAGCCCATGGGCCCGGTGGTTGGGCCTTACTCTTCACACCTAGCAGGAAAATGCCAGCCTTTCCTGGGGGGCGGGACATGTCTGCCTGCCAAGTGCTATGAGGCCAGAACAAGATCGCCAGGGCTCTTTGGGGACACAGCCTGCAGGTCCCCCAGCCTCCTTGTGTACCCAAAGGGGGCTGAGGGCTCAGGCCTTGACAGGCTCTGGCTCTGTGCAGGTGCAGAGCGCCTGCGGTCCCTGTCCCTGTCTTTCAATGCCTTGGGCACCGCTGCCCTCACCAGGCTCCTGCAGAACCTGCCAGCCCATGCCCTCCTGCGCCTGGAGCTTGGCTCTGTCATAGCCAGCAAGACTGACCTGGGCCTCGTGGAGCCTGTGGTTGGGTACCTGACCAAGGTATGGGGAGAGTTGGAGCTGCTGGGGCAGAGCCCTGGGTCTCGGCTCCCCAGTGAGAGGGACTGCCATGCAGGGTGGGCTGGATCCCAGCACTGCTGAGAGCATTTAGTGGCTTCATCTGTGGGGAAGCACCACACAGGCCCAGAAGGTTCTGGTTTGCACGGCAGAGGCACCCTGCCCCCGGGTGCTTCTGGATGTGGGGCCTCTGTCGGGAGGCCAGGAGGGTGGGCTTCCACTCAGCCCAGCCCCCTTGGTCCTCTGTGTCCAGGAACGCTGTGTGCTGACCCACCTTATGCTGTCTGCAAACCACCTGGGCGACCAAGCCGTGCGAGACCTGAGCAGGTGCCTCCCCACCTCTGTTCCCACCACCTGACCGTCCTGGGAGCCTCGGGAGGTGCCCAATGCCCGTGCCAGCCAGGTGGCTAATGTGTGCTTCTCTGCGTGCCGGCCCAGGTGCCTTCCTCTGTGCCCGTCGCTCGTCTCCCTCGACCTGTCTGCCAACCCTGCCATCAGCCGTGCCGGCCTGCAGGAGCTCCTGTGTATGCTGCGGGAACGGCGGCAGGGCCTCAGCTTCCTGGGCCTGGCAGGTACGAGGGCAGAGAAGGGGGTGCCCAAGGCTCTGGCACCACCAGACTGCCTGGCTGCCCACCTGGCCGTGCCCTGCACAGGGGAACTACAGGGCAGGCTGGGCGCCAGGAGTGATTTGTGCGTCTAGGCCCAGGGTGTCCTCTCCTGGGCTGAGCCCCTCGCCGTGGACTGAGGCCGCCCCTTGCCCACAGGCTGCACCGTGCACGGCCCCCTGGGTGCCGGCCTGTGGGACGCGGTGGGCGCTCAGCTGCAGGAGCTGCGCCTGTGCAGCCGAGGCCTGGACGCCGACGACCGCGATGCCCTGCTCCGCCTGCAGCCCGGGCCCGGCGCGCTGCTCCGCGGCCACAAGCTCTTCCTCCGGCGCCTCTGACCCTGCCTGCCCCCTCGGACCCCCAATAAACGCAGCAGCCACTCCTGGTGCCTGGTTCCCTGAGAGCTGACGGCGGGGGCGGGGCCAAGCGCGGGGGCGGGGCCAAGGACAAGAACCGGGCGCCGAGTGGGCGGGTCAAGGTCAGGGGAGGGCCCGCTCAGGGGCGGGGCCAAGGACTAGGGCGGAAACCCATGGCCGCTCGCGGGCGGGGCATCGCGCAGGCACTCCGCGGAGTGCCGAGTCATCGCTCGGTGGGAGGGTAGTGCCGAGAGCCGATCGGATCGCCCGGCGCCATCTCCGGGAGGCGCGGATCCCGCCCAGGTACTCGGGCCGGGAGGGAGCTGGGGACCCCGGGTACTCGGGCCGGGAGGGGGCTTGGACCCCGGGCACTCGGGCTGGGAGGGGGTCCTGGCGACCCTAGGACCGAGCGGCCGCCTCCAAACGGGCACCGCGCAGCTGGCCTTCGTCCCTTTGTGCCCACGCCCCTGCGCCCCGAGTGCGTCGTGGGGGTCCCGGGGTCCTTCTGAGTTGCCGCAGGCTGTGCCCCCAGGGCTCCGTCATCCCCTCCCCGGCCCAAGCCCCTTCCTCCCAGGACCCCCGGCCCAAGCCCCGACTGCGTCCTGGGGGTCCCGGGGTCCTTCTGAGCTGCCGCAGGCTGTGCTCCCAGGTCCCCGCGCTGTGGCCGCCACGATCTGCAGCATGTTCCACGGGGTCCCCTCCACGCCAGGCCTGGGCGGTGAGTGAGGGTCCGGGTGCAGAGTCGGGGGAAGGGCTGCTGGACACTCGGCCCTGGGGTGCCCAGAAGCCCGTCCTGGTGGGTCATTGATCGGTGTCCCCAGTGTCCCACCGGGTGGGAGCTGGCGAGGCTCAGAGCCTGTCTTGTCCTGTTGCAGCACCTGGGAACAAGCCAGAGCTCTACGAGGTGAGTAGGGGCTGTCCTCTGGGACCCTAACCTGGCCAGTCATGCCCGGGTGGTCTGGCTGCAATGTCTGACCATGCATGCCCCTGTGGCCTGGCCACCACAGCTGACCGTGCGTGCCCCTGTGGCCTGATGGTAACATCAGCCACACCTGTCTGCTCTTTTGACAGGAAGTGAAGCTGTACAAGAATGCCCGGGAACGGGAGAAGTGAGTGGATGCCCCAGCATTCCCTGGGCCTGTTTAAATCTGTCCCTCATGGAGACCTGGGATCCTGGAGCCAGGGTGGGGAGAAGGCCGGCCTGCGCTGTGCTATGGCTGCCCACAGGAGGGCCTGGGCTCTGGAGGCCTCTACATCCAGCCTTGCGCTGCAGGCTGCCGGACGCTCCCCTCAGGTACGACAACATGGCGGAGCTGTTTGCCGTGGTGAAGACCATGCAGGCCCTGGAGAAAGCCTACATCAAGGACTGTGTAACCCCCAACGAGTGAGTCCCCGGGCCATGCTGGTGCTCAGGTGGGACCCCTGTGAGTGTTCAGCCTGCTCCTGCACACACATACACACACACCCCTGCTCCTACAGACACACACACACAAAGATGGGGCACCTGGTTGTGAGAAGGGAGATGGCCCACCACACTGGCCGTGCGAGAGGGCAGCTGCTGGTGTCCCCTCAGGTACACAGCTGCCTGCTCCCGGCTCCTGGTCCAGTACAAAGCTGCCTTCCGGCAGGTCCAGGGCTCAGAAATCAGCTCCATTGATGAATTCTGCCGCAAGTTCCGTGTGAGTGAGCGGCCCCCCAAGCCACGGGTGGGCACGGGTGTGGGGTGAGCCCAGCACCCACGCCAGCATTCCCCCAGCTGGACTGCCCTCTGGCCATGGAGCGGATCAAGGAGGACAGGCCCATCACCATCAAGGATGACAAGGGCAACCTGAACCGCTGCATCGCTGATGTCGTGTCGGTAGGTCCTGGCCGGGTACGCCGTGGGGGGTCATCCCCGGGCAGGCTAGAGAGCCACTGTGGTCTCTCTGACCACGCGGCCCTTGGCACCTCCTCTTCCCTAGCTCTTCATCACGGTCATGGACAAGCTGCGCTTGGAGATCCGTGCCATGGATGAGGTACAGGGGCTGGTCAAGAGAAGGGGCCAGGGAGGGGACCTGGGGGGTTAGGGACACGCTGCCACATTCCCCACAGATCCAGCCTGACCTGCGGGAACTCATGGAGACCATGCACCGCATGAGTCACCTGCCTGCTGACTTCGAGGGTCGTCAGACGGTCAGCCAGTGGTAAGTGCCCTCCTGGCTGGGCAGAGCTGTCCCTGCCCTGCCCTGCCCCCAGCCCCCTGCCCCTCCCAGCCCGGCCCAGCCCAGCCAGGTCCAGCCCCCAGCTTCCAGCCTGGCCCAGCTCAGTCCCCTGCCCACCATGCGCTAGGCTGCAGACCCTCAGTGGCATGTCAGCATCCGACGAGCTGGACGACTCCCAGGTGCGCCAGATGCTCTTTGATCTGGAATCGGCCTACAATGCCTTCAACCGTTTCCTGCACTCCTGAGTACCATGTGGCCATCGTCCCCTGTGTGGGCCCAGGACTGTGTGTGTCAGGACCGCAGAGCCCTGTCTCCCAATAAAGATGCTATTCCTCCCACCATGGGCAGCTCATTCCTCAGCTTGCTGTACCTGCCGTCTGCCTCCCCCACCTGGACCAGCTGTGGTCTGACTCAGTCCCCCAGCCCCCCATGCCAGAGCTCTGGACACACCACTGCCCTCCCCAGCTTGTGCTGTTTGCCAACTCATCTGCTCTGCCTGTTTTGGCAAGTGACACACCCCCACCCTGGGCTCTTGTGGGGAAACAGCTCTCTAGGAACTCCTTGGTTCACAAGCCTTGTTGTGCCTCACAGAACACGGAATACAGGGGACGCCGGGCCTTGAGGGACGGCGGGTACAGGGGACCCCGGGTACGGAGGCACGGGGGTACAGGGGACGCCGGGCCTTGGGAGACGGTGGGTATGAGGGGATGCCGGGCCTTGGAGGACACTGGGCCTTGGGGAACGCCAGGTCCGGTGGGGAAGGCCAGACCTTAGGGGACCCCAGGCCTTTGCAGACACTACCAGCTCCATGCAGTAGGCCAGGGGGATCATCAAGCAGAGCTGCCAGCAAGGTACTTACAGCAGCGTGTAGCCTAACTGGAAGCTAGGTGCTGTGGTGGCAATACAAGCCCAGAGCTGACACCTAGCTGGGGTGGGGTGGGAGCCCAACAACAAAGCCCAGGAGAATGAGAGTGCTCCGAGGGGTCCCGGTGGGCTCGGGGTCGCTGTTCACAGTCTCCCACTCAACACCGCCCCTCCCATGCCCTGGCAGCCACTTCCTGTCAGAGTGGATTTAACAGCTCCAGGAACCACACACGAACAGTACCTCTAGGAACCCCACAAACAGCACAATCGGGATTTGTCCTTTTTTGGTAAAGGTTTAGTTATCTGATAAGGCAGTGTTAAAGACAGCCCACCCACTGGCTCATTCCCCATGTGACTGCCACCGCTCCATGAGGGTCCAGGGCCCAGGGACCCGTCTGCTGGGGGGCGCTGGCGGCCTGGGGACTGTGCACGAGGAAGGAGGCTTGACAGCTCTGCCCCTTGGCCCAGAGCCTGCGAGCTGGGGACAGGCAGGTCAAGGCCAAGACCTTTGGTCACAAGTTGATGGGACTCCAGTTCAGTAGACCACAGGGCATCTGCGGCTGTGTGGCCCCAGGCAGCTGCCTTGAAGTTCACCAGCCAGACAGTGGGCTCTCCAGCCGCTCCCCCAAGATCCCACCAGGATTCGGGTTAAATGCCACACTGGGGTCTCCCCAGCCAGGGGGGCCCAGACTTTGGCACGTGTGGATGGGGCACTGGGGAGAAGCATGTGACCTGGAGAGGGGACAGAGTCCTTCAGCCTCGGGCTGCAGCAACACACCCAGCCACACCCCAAGGGCTTGGCTGGACCCAGAGGGAGAGGTCAGCCTGCTCCTGAGCCAGACCCCCGCCTCCCCCAGAGGCCACCTGGCTGCGATAGCTGCCAGGTCAAAGGTCAGGGAGCTGCAGCCTCATCCTGACCCAGGTCCCCAGCCAAAAGCCAGCCAGCCAGGGTCCCAACTTCCCCATCATTTCCTCACACTGGGGAGCATGACTCAGCAACAGGCCCTGTAGGTCTCCTGGGACCCCAGCTGCAGTGCGGCTGGAAGGGCCCCAAGATGAGGCACCTCTGCACACCTGTCCATGACCACACCTGGCTTGACCCTAGGCCCTGCCCCCACACAGCAGAGTGGTCCCACCAGCACCCTCCAGGCCGGGCGTGCACGCCAACCCCCACCCAAGGGGAAGAGGCCAGTCCTGAGCCCCCAGAGGAAGGGCTGTGTGGGAAGACCTGCCCCTGGACTGGCTAATCCAGGCACCTGCAGCAGCCAATCACAGGGCCCAGCCCAAATACCTGGGAGAGGTCCTGGGCTGCTCCTTGGCCAACCCCAGTCTGGCCCCAGGCAGCCCCAGTGACCCTGCTCCCAGAGCCTCCATGGCGTCCCCGGCCAGGCTGCGGCTGGCCCTGCTGGCCCTGCTGGCCTTGCTGGCGGTGGCGACGGTGGCGGAGGCAGTGGTGGCAGCAGCCCCACAGCATCCCAGGCTGCTGAGTCTGCTGGCCTCGGGCCGGGGCACTCTGGACCACGAGGTGCTGAGCAGCTTGTTAAATACGCTGGCGGCCCGTGTGCACTGCACTGGCGGGCCGTGTGGAAAGGTGAGCCCCACCCGACGGGTCCCCCAGCCCCAGCCCCTTCCCGTCTGCTTGCTCCACCCTGCCTGTGTGCCGGCTGCAAAGGCCCCCGGGCAAACTCCAGGAGGCGGGCCTGTCCTGGCCCTCCCCAAGCTGGGCCCTGGCTCCTGGAGAAAGCTAACAATGGAGAGTCCTACCAGGGACCCCAGAGTGACACAGCAAGCGGGCCAGGGGCTGGGAAAGGCCGTGGGGGTAGACTGCAGGGGGGACCAGCGGACTCTTGTGGGACTGGTGTCTAGACCAGGCTCTACCCACCTGCCTCTGCCCACAGTGCCTAACCGTGGAGCATGCCCTGGCCCTGGGCAAGCCGGAGGCCCTGGGGCCGGGCCTGGAGTCCACACACATCGCCCGCCTCAGTGCAGCAGCCGTCCTCTACCTCGGGGACCCGGAAGGCACCTGTGAGGACATCCAGGCTGGCCGCTGGGCCTCCCGTGCCGACAGCATCCTGGCCCAGCTGCAGGACCCCCAGGCCCTGACCCTGGAGCTGAGCCGGCTGCTGCGAAGGATTGGGGACCCTGTTGGCCGCCAGGCCATGGAGAAGGAGGTCAGGGCACTAGGCGGTGTGGGGAGGGGGTGCTGGGTTCAGCCACGGTGGCAAAGTGTGGGGGAGACACTGGAGAAGGGGCTGCAGGCTGGGGTCCCCCAGAGGCTAGGGAGGGGCTGCAGTGAGGGGGGTGATCTCTGGGGTTCCGGGGTGCTAGGCTTTCTCCTCCTCCAGGACTGCACCAGTGTCCGTCAACTGCTGGATGAGGCTGGAGGTGCGGGGGTCCCTGGAAACCCTGGCGGGGCCCTGGCTGCCCTGCTGGACCACGTCAGGAGCGGCTCCTGCTTTCGCACCCTGCCGAGCCCCCAGTACTTTGTCGACTTCGTGTTCCGGCAGCATACCACTGAGGCCCCCAACATCACGCTGACCGGTGAGGCTGGGCGGGCCAGGGTGGAGGGGGCGGGTGCCAGGAAGCTCCTGGGACCCCCAGCCGTGTTGACCTCCAACCCCAACCCTGGCCAGAGCTGGACGCTTTGATGCAGCAGCTGGGGATCGGTGCAACGGCCCACGACGACCATGAGGACCACAGGAGTCTGGGCAGGGTGGCCGGCCGGCAGGACCCCACGGCTGTCAACGACAGTTCCTCTGAGTGGGACACGGTGAGCGGCCTGGGGCGCTCCGCGGAGTGGACGGGAGCCCACAGGGCTGCTGAGGCCCTGACCGCGCCCCACCTCGGTTGCCCCAGGTCTGCCTGAGCCCCCGCGAGGTGATGGCGGCGCATGGCCTGTCGGAACAGGAAGGTGTGAGCCCGGAGGCCTGGGCCCTGCTCAGTCCTGCCCTGCTACAGCAGCAGCTGAGCGGAGCCTGCAGCCCCCAGGCCGAAGCCCCCACACAGGAGCAGCTCAGCCAGGCTGAGAGTAAGTGCCCAAGGCAGGAGGGGCAGGACTGCGGCCGAGGATGGGGCCGGCGGGGCAGGGCTCGGACTCACGCAGCCTTGCTCCTCAGAGTACCTCTACGGCTCCCTGGCCACGCTGCTCATCTGCCTGTGCGCCGTCTTCGGCCTGCTGCTGCTGACCTGCGCACGCTGCAGTGCGGTCACCCACTACGTACTGCAAGCCTTCCTGGGCCTGGCCGTGGGCGCTCTCACAGGCGACGCGTTCCTGCATCTGACGCCCAAGGTGGGCCCTGTCTCCCCCGCCCCGGACGCACCCAGCCCCCAACTCCTCCACGCGCGGCCGACCCCCAGCACCTCCTCCTCTGCAGGTGCTGGGCCTGCACAGCCACGGGGACCAGGACCACTCGCACAGCCACGCACAGGCCGCAGACCTCCAGCACACCTGGCGCCTCCTAGTGGTGCTCGGCGGCTTTTACGCCTTCTTCCTGTTTGAGAACCTCTTCAACCTCCTGCTGCCCAAGGACCCCGAGGTCAGGCTGGACCAGGAATTGGTGGCAGGTGGGCAGGTGGGCAGGTGGGCAGGTGGGCAGGTGGGCAGGTGGGGGTGCTCCGCAGGACCTGAGCAGCTGTCCCCACAGGACGCAGGGAAGGATGGGGCCTGCGGCCACAGCCACGGAGGCCACAGCCACGGCATGTCCCTGCAGCTGGCCCCCAGCGAGCGCAGGCAGCCCAAACAGCCACACGAGGGCTCCCGCGCTGACCTGGTGAGTGGGACCCCGCTGACCACCCCCAGCACCGCATGGAGGGAGGGCTCCCGGTCATGGACTGCTGCCGGAGCCCTCAGCCATTCTCTTCCCAGGTGCTAGAGGAGGGCCCTGAGCTGCTGAGCCTGGAGCCACGGAGGTCAAGCCCAGGTGAGCCTCCCTGCCGTCCGCCCCCCACGGGAGGCCGGGCATGGAGGGCCCATCAGTGGGGTGTGGGCTGGGACCCACACTGGCTGTGCCCGCCCCCTCTGGAGGCTGGGCATGGAGGGCCCATCAGTGGGGTGTGGGCTGGGACCCACACTGGCTGTGCCCGCCCCCTCTGGAGGCTGGGCATGGAGGGCCCATCAGTGGGGTGTGGGCTGGGACCCACACTGGCCGTGCCCGCCCCCTCGGGAGGCTGGAGAGGCTACGGAGGCCGGGCATGGAGGGCCCATCAGTGTGGTGTGGGCTGGGACCCACACTGGCCGTGCCCGCCCCCTCGGGAGGCCGGGCATGGAGGGCCCATCAGTGGGGTGTGGGCTGGGACCCACACTGGCTGTTCCCGGCCCCTCGGGAGGCTGGGCATGGAGGGCCCATCAGTGGGGTGTGGGCTGGGACCCACACTGGCTGTTCCCGGCCCCTCGGGAGGCCGGGCATGGAGGGCCCATCAGTGGGGTGTGGGCTGGGACCCACAGTGGCCGTGCCTGCCCCCTCGGGAGGCCGGGCATGGAGGGCGCATCAGTGGGGTGTGGGCTGGGACCCACAGTGGCCGTGCCTGCCCCCTCGGGAGGCCGGGCATGGAGGGCCCATCAGTGGGGTGTGGGCTGGGACCCACACTGGCCGTGCCCACAGAACTGAGACTGCTGCCTTACCTGATCACGCTGGGCGATGCTGTACACAACTTCGCCGATGGGCTGGCCGTGGGCGCCGCCTTCGCATCCTCCTGGAAGACTGGACTGGCCACCTCGCTGGCCGTGTTCTGCCACGAGCTGCCCCACGAGCTGGGTGAGCATGGGGCAGGGGCCTCACCTCGGTGGACGGCATCTGCTCGGGGCGGGGCTCTCGCCCTGACCACACCTTCCCACAGGGGACTTTGCGGCCTTGCTACACGCGGGGCTGACCGTGCGGCGTGCATTGCTGCTAAACCTGGCCTCGGCAGTCACGGCCTTCGTGGGACTGTACGTGGCGCTCGCGGTCGGAGTGGGCGAGGAGGGCGAGATCTGGATCCTGGCAGTAGCCATGGGCCTGTTCCTCTACGTGGCGCTCTGTGACATGGTCAGGGCTGCGGCGGTCAGCAGGGAGGGGCTGCCCCTGGCATGGGCCCTGACCTGGCGACTGAGTCGCTCCCCACTCTTCCCCAGCTCCCAGCCATGCTGAACGTTAAGGACCAAAGGCCCTGGCTTGTTTTCCTGCTGCACAACGTGGGCCTGCTGGGCGGCTGGACCGTCCTGTTGCTGCTGTCTCTCTATGAGGAAGACATAGCCTTGTGAGCCTCCACCTGCTGGCCCTCTCCCCACGCCCTCACCCCACAACCCCAGCTGTCTGGGCCCTCTCCCTGCTGAAGCCCCTCCCCATCCCTCTTTGTCCCAGTCCAGTGCGCTGCCCCGCCCCCAACTCCTGCCGCAATAAAGAAGTGCTTGTCCCGAGAGCATATTGTCTCAGCTTAACACCGAGACCCCCCTCAGGATGGGTGATGCCCACAGGCCCAGCACTGGGGGCCCTTGGGCCTGTGTGCAGTTGAGAGCAGAGCCCTGTGGCCTGTGTGGGGGTGCGGGCGAGGCCCTGCGGCCTGCCACAATCCAGCGTCACTCTCAGTTCAGGAGGTGCAGTCCCTCTGGGGACAGCAAGGAGGCAGCCTCATGCAAGCTGCTTGCCTGTGCTGTGAGGCCTGGCCCAGCGTGAGCACCTCCTCACCGATGCCCCCTGGCTTAGGGCTTCAGCAGGTCCTCTGGTGGACATGACGACTTGGCACTGCAGGTGACTGCCATGAGACAGGCCCCTGGGATGGGTGGGAGAGATGCTGAGGGCCCGGGAATCTTCTCCCAGGAGCCAGGCCCACGGCCAGCTGTTGCAGCCTGTGAGTGCTCCACTTTGGCTGCGGCTCCTGCTGGTGGTCTGGACAGGCCACAGAGGATGGCCCAAGAGTGGAGCCCACAGCAGCAGGGGAGCCCCAGACGGCGTGCCTGGGCTGGCCATTGTAGGCCTCGGGAGTGAGCGGCAGCATGTAGGCCCCTCTCTGTCACTTTGACTTTCAGTTATAGAAATAAATCTTCAGGAAACAACCTTGGGAATCAGCAGCGTTTCTATGGAAAAGCTTCCAGAAAGGCTTTTCTTCATTACTTTGTTTTTTTAAGATTTATTTAATTTTATTGGAAAGTCAGATATACAGAGAGGAGGAGAGACAGGAAGGAAGATCTTCTGTCAGGAGCCGTGTACTGAAGCCATTTTGAATATAGAACTGTAGGCCAGTGGAAAACCCCTGGCTGGCTAGATGCTTGGGAAAGAAGTTATGAAACTAGTCACACACTTAGCTTCAATTGTTTGTAGCAACTGTTTCAGAATGTGATTTATGCTGTACCTGCCGACACCTTGTTACTGATTACCTATGCCATTGTTGATGTGCTGGTTACTATTGTGGATATGGTGGCTGCTCAAGAACAATCGGTCTGGAGACCATGGTTGCGTCCATTTCTCCTTTCCTCCCTGAGCCTTAGTTACTGAAAAATATAAAAACCTTAATTAAAATCAATAAACTGACAGCTTGATCAGACATCCGGTCTTGCTGTCCATTCTTCGTGTCTCTTGTCCCATTCATTCTCTCCTAGGTGGTTGCGTCCCCCGTTGACTGTCCTGCTGGATGGGACAATCTTCCATCTGATGATTCACTCCCCAAGTGGCCACAACAGCCGGCGCTGTGCCGATTCAAAACCAGGAGCCAGGAGCCTCTTCCAAGCCTCTACGCAGGCGCATAGTCCCAAGGCTTTCCCAGGCCACAAGCAGGGAGCTGGATGGGAAGTGGGGCCACTAGAATTAGAACCGATGCCCCTGGCCGTTGTGGTCACTTCGGGAGTGAATAATTGGATGGAAAATCTTCCTCTCTGTCTCTCCTCCTTTTTGTATCTGACTTTGCAATATATATAAATAAAACTTAAAAAAAAAAAAAAAACTGGTGCCCATATGGGATCCCGGTACTTTCAATGTGAGGACCTTAGCCACTAGACCACCATGCTGCGTCCCTTTTCTGCAGTTTTAACAGGAGCTGCTCTAGGGGACTCCGGGTACATCCAGACTGACACACGATCGGGATTTGTCCTTTTTGGTAAAGGTTTAGTTATCTGATAAGGCAGTGTTAAAGACAGCCCACCCACTGGCTCATTCCCCATGTGACTGCCACCGCTCCATGAGGGTCCAGGGCCCAGGGACCCGTCTGCTGGGGGGCGCTGGCGGCCTGGGGACTGTGCACGAGGAAGGAGGCTTGACAGCTCTGCCCCTTGGCCCAGAGCCTGCGAGCTGGGGACAGGCAGGTCAAGGCCAAGACCTTTGGTCACAAGTTGATGGGACTCCAGTTCAGTAGACCACAGGGCATCTGCGGCTGTGTGGCCCCAGGCAGCTGCCTTGAAGTTCACCAGCCAGACAGTGGGCTCTCCAGCCGCTCCCCCAAGATCCCACCAGGATTCGGGTTAAATGCCACACTGGGGTCTCCCCAGCCAGGGGGGCCCAGACTTTGGCACGTGTGGATGGGGCACTGGGGAGAAGCATGTGACCTGGAGAGGGGACAGAGTCCTTCAGCCTCGGGCTGCAGCAACACACCCAGCCACACCCCAAGGGCTTGGCTGGACCCAGAGGGAGAGGTCAGCCTGCTCCTGAGCCAGACCCCCGCCTCCCCCAGAGGCCACCTGGCTGCGATAGCTGCCAGGTCAAAGGTCAGGGAGCTGCAGCCTCATCCTGACCCAGGTCCCCAGCCAAAAGCCAGCCAGCCAGGGTCCCAACTTCCCCATCATTTCCTCACACTGGGGAGCATGACTCAGCAACAGGCCCTGTAGGTCTCCTGGGACCCCAGCTGCAGTGCGGCTGGAAGGGCCCCAAGATGAGGCACCTCTGCACACCTGTCCATGACCACACCTGGCTTGACCCTAGGCCCTGCCCCCACACAGCAGAGTGGTCCCACCAGCACCCTCCAGGCCGGGCGTGCACGCCAACCCCCACCCAAGGGGAAGAGGCCAGTCCTGAGCCCCCAGAGGAAGGGCTGTGTGGGAAGACCTGCCCCTGGACTGGCTAATCCAGGCACCTGCAGCAGCCAATCACAGGGCCCAGCCCAAATACCTGGGAGAGGTCCTGGGCTGCTCCTTGGCCAACCCCAGTCTGGCCCCAGGCAGCCCCAGTGACCCTGCTCCCAGAGCCTCCATGGCGTCCCCGGCCAGGCTGCGGCTGGCCCTGCTGGCCCTGCTGGCCTTGCTGGCGGTGGCGACGGTGGCGGAGGCAGTGGTGGCAGCAGCCCCACAGCATCCCAGGCTGCTGAGTCTGCTGGCCTCGGGCCGGGGCACTCTGGACCACGAGGTGCTGAGCAGCTTGTTAAATACGCTGGCGGCCCGTGTGCACTGCACTGGCGGGCCGTGTGGAAAGGTGAGCCCCACCCGACGGGTCCCCCAGCCCCAGCCCCTTCCCGTCTGCTTGCTCCACCCTGCCTGTGTGCCGGCTGCAAAGGCCCCCGGGCAAACTCCAGGAGGCGGGCCTGTCCTGGCCCTCCCCAAGCTGGGCCCTGGCTCCTGGAGAAAGCTAACAATGGAGAGTCCTACCAGGGACCCCAGAGTGACACAGCAAGCGGGCCAGGGGCTGGGAAAGGCCGTGGGGGTAGACTGCAGGGGGGACCAGCGGACTCTTGTGGGACTGGTGTCTAGACCAGGCTCTACCCACCTGCCTCTGCCCACAGTGCCTAACCGTGGAGCATGCCCTGGCCCTGGGCAAGCCGGAGGCCCTGGGGCCGGGCCTGGAGTCCACACACATCGCCCGCCTCAGTGCAGCAGCCGTCCTCTACCTCGGGGACCCGGAAGGCACCTGTGAGGACATCCAGGCTGGCCGCTGGGCCTCCCGTGCCGACAGCATCCTGGCCCAGCTGCAGGACCCCCAGGCCCTGACCCTGGAGCTGAGCCGGCTGCTGCGAAGGATTGGGGACCCTGTTGGCCGCCAGGCCATGGAGAAGGAGGTCAGGGCACTAGGCGGTGTGGGGAGGGGGTGCTGGGTTCAGCCACGGTGGCAAAGTGTGGGGGAGACACTGGAGAAGGGGCTGCAGGCTGGGGTCCCCCAGAGGCTAGGGAGGGGCTGCAGTGAGGGGGGTGATCTCTGGGGTTCCGGGGTGCTAGGCTTTCTCCTCCTCCAGGACTGCACCAGTGTCCGTCAACTGCTGGATGAGGCTGGAGGTGCGGGGGTCCCTGGAAACCCTGGCGGGGCCCTGGCTGCCCTGCTGGACCACGTCAGGAGCGGCTCCTGCTTTCGCACCCTGCCGAGCCCCCAGTACTTTGTCGACTTCGTGTTCCGGCAGCATACCACTGAGGCCCCCAACATCACGCTGACCGGTGAGGCTGGGCGGGCCAGGGTGGAGGGGGCGGGTGCCAGGAAGCTCCTGGGACCCCCAGCCGTGTTGACCTCCAACCCCAACCCTGGCCAGAGCTGGACGCTTTGATGCAGCAGCTGGGGATCGGTGCAACGGCCCACGACGACCATGAGGACCACAGGAGTCTGGGCAGGGTGGCCGGCCGGCAGGACCCCACGGCTGTCAACGACAGTTCCTCTGAGTGGGACACGGTGAGCGGCCTGGGGCGCTCCGCGGAGTGGACGGGAGCCCACAGGGCTGCTGAGGCCCTGACCGCGCCCCACCTCGGTTGCCCCAGGTCTGCCTGAGCCCCCGCGAGGTGATGGCGGCGCATGGCCTGTCGGAACAGGAAGGTGTGAGCCCGGAGGCCTGGGCCCTGCTCAGTCCTGCCCTGCTACAGCAGCAGCTGAGCGGAGCCTGCAGCCCCCAGGCCGAAGCCCCCACACAGGAGCAGCTCAGCCAGGCTGAGAGTAAGTGCCCAAGGCAGGAGGGGCAGGACTGCGGCCGAGGATGGGGCCGGCGGGGCAGGGCTCGGACTCACGCAGCCTTGCTCCTCAGAGTACCTCTACGGCTCCCTGGCCACGCTGCTCATCTGCCTGTGCGCCGTCTTCGGCCTGCTGCTGCTGACCTGCGCACGCTGCAGTGCGGTCACCCACTACGTACTGCAAGCCTTCCTGGGCCTGGCCGTGGGCGCTCTCACAGGCGACGCGTTCCTGCATCTGACGCCCAAGGTGGGCCCTGTCTCCCCCGCCCCGGACGCACCCAGCCCCCAACTCCTCCACGCGCGGCCGACCCCCAGCACCTCCTCCTCTGCAGGTGCTGGGCCTGCACAGCCACGGGGACCAGGACCACTCGCACAGCCACGCACAGGCCGCAGACCTCCAGCACACCTGGCGCCTC